ACTCAGCCTTGCGTAACTCAGCCTTGCGTAACTCAGCCTTGCGTAACTCAGCCTTGCGTAACTCAGCCTTGCGTAACTCAGCCTTGCGTAACTCAGCCTTGCGTAGCTCAGCCTTGCCCGGCGTAGCGCTAAACCTCTCTGGTCGAAATTCTCTTATCGATAACGCTGGGTTTTTTGGAGTTCCGCGCGACTCAAAATTTTTGGCTGTAAGCGTCTGCGCTTCGAGGTCATTTCTCAAGGTCTCTTTACTCTTTCTCGGCTGCCCTCGTGTGCCCAATTTACTGGTGAAGACACTGTCAGCATCGCCTGGCTTTTCCCCCGCCAGTGCTGCCTTTGGTTGAGCCCGAGTGGGCGTCTGCGGCCATGTCGTCCACCACAACGCAGACCAGGACGAAATGGTCCGTAGAGTACGACACTGTCAAGAGACACAAGCTGTTTCGCAACACACCGAAAGACCGAAGCGCGTTTCCTGCCCTCCAAGCCGCCGTCAAACCGCACATCGAGTCGTTCAATGCGCTGTGGGGCGAGAAATTGATCGACGAAGGTTTGAAAGATATTGGCATACAGTCCGTTGTTGATGGCGATATTCGAAACCCTAGTCGGACGGTCGCACGCAATAAGCTGGACCTCAGAGTGACAGAGGTTATGTTGGAAAAGGCTGTCCTGCCGCCGTCGAACAAATTCAGTATCCAAGATCGAAACATCTACCCTTCCGAGTGTCGAGAACGCCATGCTACGTACCGAGGAAAGCTAAGAGCTCGGTTACAATACAGAATAAACAATGGAGATTGGAAAGAATCAATACGGGATGTCGGTCAGATGCCTATCATGCTGCGGTCGAACAGGTGCCATCTGGAAAAGTTCTCACCCGCAGAAATGGTTCGCCACAAAGAGGAGTCGGAAGAAATGGGAGGCTATTTTATTGTCAATGGAAACGAAAAGCTCATCAGGATGATAATAGCATCGAGGAGGAACTATCCTATGGCAATTGAACGGAATGCATTCACCGGAAGAGGGCCGACTTTCTCAAAACTTGGTGTGCAGATCCGGTCGGTCCGGCCAGATCAGACGTCCCAGACGAATGTCCTTCACTATCTTACGGACGGGAATGTCACGTTCAGGTTTTCCTGGAGGAAAAACGAGTTCCTTGTACCTGTGGTCATGATTCTCAAGGCTCTGGTCGAGACCAATGATCGAGAAATCGGCGAGGGCATCATTGGAGCGTGGTCAAACAAATCGCCCAATTCCTTCGTGACCGATCGTACCGAACTTCTTCTGCGGACATACAAAGCATACAACTTGAAGACAAGAGCACAAACACTAGCCTACTTAGGCGAGAAGTTCCGACCTGTACTCGGCAATCCCATCACAATGTCGGATGAGAAGGTTGGAGAAGACTTCCTACGGAAGGTTGTCTTACCACATCTCGGCAACCTGGACGTGACGCCCGCCCAGAACAACGACAAGTTCCAGTTGATGCTGTTCATGATCCGGAAACTGTACGCCCTGGCGGCAGGAGACTGTGCCCTGGATAATCCCGACACAGTGTCAAACCATGAAGTTCTGCTGGGAGGATTCCTCTATGGTATGATCCTCAAAGAGGGCATACATGACTGGCTGGTATCAATCGGACAGACCGCGAGAGAGTGGTTGAGGAACAAGAACGACGCCAAATTCACAGATCCCAGTTTCGAAACAGACTTTTTACCGAAAATCGTGCGAAGAACGAATGAGAACATAGGAGGCAAGCTGGAGTACTTTTTATCTACAGGCAATCTCGTCAGTCAGACTGGTCTAGATCAGTCGCAGACGTCTGGCTTCACGATCGTTGCTGAAAAGATCAACTTCTACCGATTCATTAGCCATTTCAGATGTATACATCGAGGTACCTTCTTCGCACAGCTGAAGACAACAACAGTCCGGAAGCTCTTACCTGAAAGTTGGGGTTTCTTATGTCCCGTCCACACTCCGGATGGTTCTCCTTGCGGACTGCTCAACCATTTGTCTCATCAGTGCATGATACAGATCAAGCGGATTGATACTTCCGGCATCGAGAAGGCGGTCATTCAGCTCGGACTAGCCCCAGTACCAGCTATGGATGTTCAAGACAGCCTGTCAGTTCAGCTCGATGGACGGATACTAGGATATTGTTCAGCCAAGAGAGCAAGAGAGATTGCGCAGCTCCTGCGGCACTGGAAGGTCAACGGCGAACACAAAATCCCCAATGAACTGGAGATCGGGCACGTGCCAACCTCAAATGGCGGTTTGTATCCTGGACTCTACCTCTTCACCGATCCCTCCCGCATGCTACGTCCGGTAAAATACATTCCTTCGGATAAACTCGACTACGTTGGACCTTTCGAGCAGCAATACATGAACATTGCATGTGTCGATGCCGATATTATACCCAACCTGACCACGCACATCGAGTACAAGCCCACGAACATCCTTTCCATCCTCGCCAACATGACTCCCTTTTCCGACTTCAACCAATCCCCTCGAAACATGTACCAATGCCAAATGAGCAAGCAAGCCATGGGCACGCCATCGTCGAACCTGATGTGCCGAACAGATAACAAAGCCTATCTCCTGCAGACAGGCCAAACGCCGGTTGTAAGACCACCACTGTACAACGAGTACGGCCTGGACAATTTCCCGAATGGCATGAACGCTGTTGTCGCCGTCATCTCATACACGGGCTACGACATGGACGACGCCATGATAATCAACAAATCCTCGCACGAGCGCGGATTCGGCGACGGCGTCATTTTCAAGACCAAAGTGTACAACCTCGATGAAAAGTCCCGCGGTCCTCGATCCAAGACGGAAATCAAATCGTTGTTCGGTTTTGCTGAAGGAGACCCCAACATTTCAACCGACGCCGTTCGCGCGCTCGATCCCGACGGACTGCCCGCCATCGGCACGAAAGTCGGCGAAGGCGATATCGTGCTCGCGTACCACAGTGTCATGTTCGACCCGTCGGAAGGTAAATTGAAGAATCTGGACGGCCGGACGAGTTACTTCAAGTACAAGGACGCTGAGGAGGCATATATCGACCAGATTCGTCTGATCGGGTCCGAGAGTGGTGACCAGCCCTGTCAGGCGATCAGCATCAAATATCGAATTCCCCGACGGCCTATCATCGGTGACAAGTTCTCCTCGCGGCACGGGCAAAAGGGTGTTTGTTCGATGCTCTGGCCAAGCGAGGACATGCCGTTCAGCGAATCCGGGATCCAGCCTGACGTTATCATCAATCCGCATGCATTCCCCTCGCGAATGACGATCGGCATGTTCGTCGAGTCGTTGGCGGGCAAATCTGGCGCACTGCACGGTCTGGCACAGGACTGCACGCCGTTCTCGTTCGACGAGGATAACACGGCGGGCAATTTCTTCGGCGACCAGCTCCGGCAGGCGGGGTACAATTTCTACGGCAACGAGCCAATGTACAGCGGCATAACGGGCAAGGAGTTCGCGGCGGACATTTACATTGGTGTCGTGTATTACCAGAGACTGAGACACATGGTTAGCGACAAGTTCCAGGTTCGTACCACAGGCCCGGTCAACGCGCTGCATGGCCAGCCCATCAAGGGAAGGAGCAAAGGTGGTGGTATTCGAGTCGGAGAGATGGAGAGAGATTCGCTGATTGCGCACGGCTGCGCTTATTTGCTGCAGGATCGGTTGATGGACTGCAGTGACAAGAGCCGCGCGTGGGTGTGTCGGTCTTGTGGAAGTTTCTTGAGCACCATGATGGTGCCCAACCAGTTCACCGTCGGGAAGAGAGGAGGCCGCGTCGAACCGAGCGGTGTCGTGAGGTGTCGCGCTTGTGCTCGGCCCGCGACGTTTGACGACAGCAAGATGCTCGTCTGGGAGGACGGAGCCGGAAGGAAATATGTCGGCGGCGATAACACTACAGTCGTCAATGTCCCGGGCGTTTTAAGACTGTTGGATGTGGATTTGGCTGCTATGGGTGTCCGAATGAGGTTTGAGATTGAGAACTAGGCTTAACTACTACCTGTAGCGTTGTCATGGAAGTGAGCCCACGTGCGACATGAAAATGAAAATTATTACATTGTGACAAGGTCGTTTTTCAACTTCCCCCCAGAGTCCACATCGTCGGGATTGAGCATGCCCAACCTGATGGCGAAGTCGCTTCGGCCGATCTCTTCGACGAGTTCTCGTGCCATGACCAGCCTGCGCGTGTACCGCGTGACACTGCCTGGTTGTGAAGACACGCTGACCGTACGCTCGTTCATGACCAATTCTTGACATGTAGCGTTGTGCAGGGCCAGGGCTCCATGGCCAAGTAGGGCATACAAGGCGAGTATAACCTTTCCTTGATTCGGCGCATTGACAAGCACGATGACCGCAATGTAGACCAGCAGTCCGGCAACCCAGTCCAGGGACTCGCATAGCACAGGGTGTTTCGGACGCGCGAGCCAGCTTCCCGACGTTACGGCCTTGAGGTCGTCGACTAGCCCTTTCATCCTGATCCAGCGGTCTTCGGACAGGAGGATCAGCAGGTCGCCCTTGACACCGGGCTCGGATTCGCCATGCCATGGCGACGTCGTCCTTGCACGGAGGGTGACGATCGAAAGGAGGCGAGACAGGAGGAGCAGAGCTACACTGGCCATGCAGGACGGGTGGAGTGATCTGCCGGTGAATAGAATACCACAGCAGCCGAGCAGTATAGTAGTTGTAGGGAGGTACAAGACGCCCCGTCGAGCCATATTGCGCATCTTGTTGCGAGGGGCTTTGTCGTTGTTGTCGGAGACCTCGACCGTGACAAGAGATCCTGTTTGGCCCATGCGCTGGAGATACATGACCGTAGCCTGGTTCTCGACGCGGAAGCAATACTAGTAGTGCCCAGCAAGTCAGTTGGGCAGGGAAAGCTGCACCTAGTCTAGCCCTAGCCCTAGCCCTATCCACGCCAGAAAATCCATCGATACCCCCCCCTCGTCGTCCAAGAAACGGCAGAGGAGGCATATGGGTATAACCGATAAAAGTACAAACTAAGCAACTAATTACTTACCCCGGTCGTCATCGCAGCGCAGGCGGGATACTCGCCTTCATTGAGAGCCCGATGGGACAGAGGCGTCTGCATACCCAGGCATAGCAGAAGGCAGTCGATGTATCCCGGCCGGCCTGTCAGTGCGAGGTACGTGTGAAGTGGAGGGATGACGGAAGGGTTGGCGAGGAGAAGGATGGGGAAGAGAGTAAGATCCATCATTTCGAGAAGGCGAGATACTAGTATTGGGACACGGAGCGGCTCGTGGGTGGAATTAATTCGTTTGACAAACACCTATGGCCACGTACAAGTAGAATGACAGTGGAGAGAGAAACGAGGAGTGATTTGAATTGTCAGGAGAAGGCTGGAGCACAAAGACATGGCTGACGATTTGGTGTAACCAATCCAATCACGGGCCCGATTCGTCGACTCCGGTAGGGCAGAGCTCTCAGCCTTTCCCTCACCAGCCTGTTCTTCTGGTCATGCGCAGCCTGGTAGGCTACTTGTGGGGCTGTAATATCACAGCGGTTCAGACCATAGAATTCTTTCGAAGATCTCAAAATCAATGTGATATCCTCCTCAGACCAGCCCACTCCTCCACAATGGTTAGGCCGTATGCGGGGTTATGGCGAGTATTCAGCAGTCAACAACTCATACCATCCATGGTAGTAGCACTAGAAGTGCAGCCGCCAACAACAATCTCGACGAAGGCCTTGACTTCTGCATGTCCACTCCCCGATCTGGTCCAGTCGCTGTCTCGCCACTCCTAGCTCCGTTCCAGCGCTCTTGAAGTGTAGCAGTTGATAATAAAACGAGGGTCGTGCAGAGCGCTAGCACAAACATTGAAACTCCATTTTGAATCCGCGCCCTCGCTCCCCTTTTGTTAATAGTATCGAAAAATGACGATGGGAAATACTCTGTCAAGCGCCGCTCTCAGAAATAATGTATCTACTAACTACTAGTAGTCGACTTACCGATACAGAGGTTGTCAGTTGTGCCTCTACTCTGGAATACTAGTACAGAGTGTTCTCGTGGATGGATTGGGGAAGGTTTCGCTTCCCATGTACATGCGCAATAGCCGTCAGAACTTCCACCGTTCCAATTGTAATGCTGTGCGAGGGAAGGCTTCGTGTCCTCAAACGCGAGAGCAGTTTCTGGAACTACTGTATTCAACAGGATGCACAGTCACTTTACATTGGAGCGCAACAGGCCGGCCGATTGGGGACACGTGATATGGAATCGGCAGACTTCCCGGAAGACTGATCCCACTGCAACAATAAGGTAGGTACCTCAAGTGGTTCGTTGCTGCCTGCGATCAGGATGCACATTTGAGGAAATGATGTTCCGGAGCATCGACTCTTTGGCTACACTGCGACAACAGTTGACCGAGCTCGGTTTCAACTCGCTCTTAGTCGGCCGAACGCTTACGTGTCGAGAGTGTATATATACGGGGAATATACCACCCTCATAGCCTCCAGAGGTCAAGAACACAACTCTGAATTCGGATTCAGATGACCTTGCTCGGCAAGCATTCCTCGTCATACTCTCAAACAGTGCTTGCGCGTACTCCACGTCATCGTGGTCGCTATTTAGCATTTCCTTTGCCTCGCCAGACAACTTCCTACCAGAGACAAGGCTCGGGACACCACCACAGCCTTGCCTTCGTCAGTTATCCGCGAGAGGCTTCAGGCAGTCAACTCAAACCTTCTCTAAATCGGCAGGCGCATAAGATGGCAGCCTCAACTGCGTCCGCACCACCGCACCAGGACAGGTTGAAGTCCTTCGGGGTATGTAACGTATCTCGGCGACGTTTCTCCCTCCGTCGCTCTTAGCCCAACGATTCCGTACTGAAAATTTGACTAGTTCGATGATGGCCGTGAAGAAGGTCTGCGCGAATACATCTTCGCGCGACCAGACTTGGAGACATCGCTGCGCAACAATCCAAAGGCGGTCCTTGCCGCCATAAGCGAATACACAGCCAAGAAACGCATGATCACCTTCGGAGAGGTCAAGATCAACAAATGTCGTGAGCTGCTGGCACAGATGAACCCGCCCCCAAAGGCCCTCATCGAATTGGGTACATATGTCGGCATGTCAGCCATCGGCTGGGGCGACATTTTGAAATCGCTGAACCCTGGTGAGGAAAGCCAGTGCAAGGTCTTCGCAATGGAGCTGGACCCGAAATTCGCAGCCATTGCACGAGACCTGGTCGACCTTGCTGGGCTGAAAGACATCGTCACTGTCTTGGAGGGTCCAGCGGCCGACAACATCCGCGCACTCAAGACTTCGCATACTGTGGATAAGGTCGACGTCGCCTTCTTTGACCAGTGGCAGGAATCCTATAAACCAGATCTCATAGTGTGCGAGGAATCTGGTATATTTCGTAAAGGAACGGTCATCCTTGCCGACAATACTGACAGCCCCGGAACGCCTGACTATAACCAGTACCTTGAAGAGTCCAGCGGTCGACAAGGTGGTGTCAAATATCAGAACGTGAAGCATGAGACAGCTTCGAAGATTGCGGTAAGTTAGAATGGGTCATCTCGTCGCCATCTGACATTGCTGATCGTGGAACAGAAAATCATTTTGGCAAGTACAGTTCTTGAGGTACCTTGAAGGGCGCCTGAGCCGAAGCATTACTTGTAGAATTGAATTTATTGGCTCGAGGGACACATTCGTTCAGCCCTTTGTCGCACATCGAGAAATAGCTCAGAAGTCGGTATTGATAGGTAGCGTGGACGGAAAACCTTCAACCTTCGTCGCCATGATTGTCCTTGACCGTCTCATCCACGTCGCTTTCACCGTCAGTGATGTCTGCATCTACTAGCGCCTGCTCGGTTTGACTGGTATTGTCTAGTGCATTAATAGGAGTCTTCGTGGCCTCAATGCCGCCCGACGTGACGAACAAGAATGTCTCATTCGGGAAGTTGTCGACATGGTTGAAGAAGTTCCCAAACACGTTGTCGTTTTCCTCGTCACGATACATTCGTTCGTAAATCTGAGCTTGCTTGAACGCATCCATTTCAGTTTTGAACTTGTCGAAATCGATCGGTTCTTTGGCCAATTCGTTCTTCGCCCGTTTGTTGTAGTTGTCGAACACAGGCCGTTCCAGCAATAATCCCAAGCTAGGTGCTTTAGGTATGGAGATTGGCTCAGGACCCAAGCTCTCATACATTCGGTTTGGATCACAGCCACACCGGACCACCAATGCTACCATACCCACCATCTTGCGGATCTGATGCATCATGAAACTCTGGCCATGAACCTTGAGACTGAGCCATTCGGTGCCGTTGATGAGAATGGGTTCCCGATTGACTACGAAGGACTTTATCAAACGCTTCGCCGAAGGGTCCTTGTAAGATTTTTGGACCGTAAAGTTGTGGTAGTTGCGAGTGCCTTTATAATAATCGAGACACTCTTGAATGCGATCGAGGCGAGATTGTGGAATGCGATACGCTCGTTTAGCCGTGAGGTAGGTTTGACGAAGACGTTTCATGGCTTCTTGAAGAATCGCTGACCGTGATGACTTGGACTCAGAAGAGACTTTCTCGATGGGTTCCGTTGCGCTGTTCTCGACATCCACGTTCTCTTGAGTTTGTGGCTTCTCGTCCTCCATCTTTTCAGGCCGTCCTTGGGACTCTTGCTTATTGTGATCGGTTTCAGCATCTCCCGAGACCTGTTGATCGATCTTTTGTGCTTCGATTTTGTCGGCGCTTTCTGTTTGCTCTTTGGGCAGTTCCTGGTTGGGGGCCATCTCGACATCGGAAGGGGGCTGTTGCTCGCTGTTTGGTGCTTCGGATCTGTCGGCCTTCATCCACAGCGCTTTCTCCAATATGGCCCTGGTCTCTTCATCGTATTCCATCAGTATGGGCTTGATCATCTCTTCATCGACCTTCTCCCAGTATCCCGCGACCTCTTCTTGTCTTTTTCGGTAGGCATCTATATCGTTTTCCTTCTCAGCCCACTCCTCGAGAGCTCTGCCCAAAAAGCTGCTGGGGTGCGGTGGCAGGAAGCTGTGCGTAGGGATCAAGTACTCGTATATTCTCGAGTCCACCAACTGATATGCGCTGAAGCTGTTGATTGTCCTTTCAAATCCCCAGACTCGTATTTGCGGAGCCAGATTGTCATTAATCTTCTTGACAATATCCTCGTCTTCAACGATCAATTTCAGGGAAATGACATTGCCAGCGGCGTGGACGCCCTTGTCGGTACGTGCGCATCTTACAAAGGAGGATTTCTTCGGGTCATCGGCATTGGCTTTGGAGATGGCTCCTGCTGCAACGAAGGCTTGAAAGAGGTCACCTTCGATGGTCTTATGTTCGTGAGTACTAGGTGTTGTTAGCAGGTTGAATCTCATATCTCCGATCGAACTTCCTCACAATTGCATGCCCCTGTATCCTGTTCCGGCATACCCAATAAGTACTGCGACTTTCTTCTTCGGTCTTCTCTCTTCTGCTGCTAGGACTTCGTCGCTGAACTTGGTAGCATGAATCGGTAACTCGGGCTTGCCCTCATCAATTCGTTGCCGTTTCGCAGCCTGCTCATCCTGATTCCGTTGCCGCTTGTCTCCTTTTGTCTTACTTAGCAGGTCAGTCCTGCGACGTATAGAGGAGGGTACTTGTGGTAGACTTACGACCACTCTGTTCTTCCCATATCCCTCTTCTTGCCGTTACGACCTCCTCGACCACCCCTGCCGCCTCCGCGGGAAAAATCTTTCGGGCCCATTGTGCCTGTAGCAAGTGTGTTTCTTCGAATGTGATTGACGGGCGCGAATCATGCGGTTTGGACCTTTTAGGCCAACGCGGGCGACGACGTCTGTTGCGAATGTGCGGTGCTACACTTCGACTAGGGAAAGAGAACAGATTCGGGAACACTTTTGAGAATAACGACTTAAGCCACATAGGTACGCCCAAGCCTGGAACTATTTTAACAAAAAGATATTCTTGCTGCGTGGGGGACTTTTCGTTGGAGAGACCGGGGAGAAGTGACGTTGTGCTTCACTGTACTCAGCACTCCTACGGTAGCGCATTAGGCTCACTAGGCGCCCAGAAGAACTTTGGCTACCCTTGTCCTGCGAGCTCCGCTTTTACGGTCTCTCAATCCCTTTTCCGCTTGGATTTCTCGGATCTGGTAGACCAGCTTCTCCAGGCTGTCTCTGGATCCAATGGAGACAACGCACCCGTGCCCCCAAACCCACAATGCATCCAGGTCCTTCAGGATACACACCGAGACCGTGCGCCAATGAGTACAACGGGCTGGGAGACACACACGGAAAAGAGGAGATCGAGAAACTTTCTGTCATAAATACACAGCCTGGGGAGCACAGAGAAAGACGATCCTTCTCCATTGAGGTCAGGCACCTTGACTCTCTGTCAATAGGCGACGTTCCGCTCTGTATACACCACGCTGGTCTCCTATAATACAAGTATGCAAACCATCAGCCCCAAATGACAGCTTGTCTCTTCTTTGCATCCATGGTTCATCAGAATTCATAACTCATCCCTCTCGTCGTTTTGGTTTTGTCGGCGCGTCGACGCGAAACAAGACTTGTTTCCAGCCGACTATCTCTTTTGTCTAGTCGACACCATCCGAACGTTGCAAGGTACACGATACTCAATCCTTCCATCGGTAATGGTAGAGCACGCGGAACCATCCCTGAGCCAACAACAGAGACAAATTGGGCAGGACTGCTGCATTATCACCAGCCCCTTCTGATAATGGCATCGATCTCCCACCCACATCGTCAATCATATTGAGCAAACAATCAGCCCAGTGTGACATCCGATATTCGTCGGCTGCAGCTTTTGCCTCGGACCAGAACCAACTAAAGCCGTAAGTGTTGTGGAACGCTTCCGATCTGTTCTGAAGGGCCGCCTTCAAGCGACTCAGGTTCTCAACTGCCGGCTTGGTGTACACCTCGGACTTTGCGTGTATGACGAATTCGCAGAATGTAATGGTAGCGATTGACCAGCAGTGCATGTCCAGAGGGTTGAAAGGTGCTACTGTCATCGATTGGCTGGTGAGAAATTCGGTTAACTGTGTAGCCTTCATCTGGACAAGCATAGGACTGGATTCATTATCTGGATAGCGCGACATGAGCAAGTCCAGGAACAGCTTGGTTTGATGCACGATCGGTGAGTCCAGGGTGAGGGGAGGGTATCTTTTCAGGGTATCTTCGAAGAGCGAGAAAGCAAGGATGCGTTTTACTTGCGCGCCGACAGGACTGTAAGGGTCCAAGTGAAGGAGGCAGGACACCATGCCAACAGTGTTGGAGGAATGAGCGAGAAATCCAGCTTCGGCAGGTACCTTGGTAATATCAGCATATCCTACCATGGTGTCTTTGCTCTGCCTGTCGGCTACCGATAATTCTTGCAAGCCAGACCCCAAGCCAAGATCATGCAATTTGGACAACAGACAGGCACAGTTGAATGATTGTTGGACAATCTGGCTGAGCTGACTTGGGTCCATATTGTCTACAAATGTGGTCGATTCTGTTGCTCGAAGTTGGTCGATCATCCGCAGGCTGGAGTTGATGAGGTCGGTTTTCGTTGTCATTGACCCCTGTACATGGCTGATATCACTATCACATGCAGCGGCCAACAGTATAAGTGTCCAGACGCATAGAAGACGTCCTGAAATCGTGTCAGGGCCTCCTTGCTGTGCGACGGACGCGACGTTGCTAGCCAGTTCTTCGAAGTCCTCGAATGCAGTGGTGGGCAGTTCGTGTTTGAGGGGTTGAGCGGACGAGTTGGAAAACTGGGATGTAGTGTCGGCATGGTTGCCATTAGTCGCGCTACCATTCTCGAAATTGCCCATCAAGGCGATGGCAACGGCGAAGGAGTGTTGTAATACTGGAGAGGCCTGATGTACTATTCCCGAAACTGCTTCAGCATCTGGAAGGAGCGCGAATAGTGGGTGCACATGCCGATAGTATTTGTTCAAGTGAGCTTCATTCAGGTTGAAAGGTTCAAGCTTCGCATATTGGTCATCAAGTCGTGGTCGTTTTTGGGGTGGAGGAGATTCAAGTCCAGCCCAGAAAGGTTTGACACTCTCTGACATTTTGAGACCGTCCTGGTTCGTCTGGTGTGAAGAGGGGCCAGGCATGGACTGATCAGGAGCGATTGCCAAACTTCCAGCGTCTCGCGGCCGCAATCCAGGAGCGATGTTTCCCCAAGCGCCAGTACTTGGGATTCTGTCGCGCTGAAATTCGAGCGGTGCGAACGGATTGCGAGGGTCGTTAAAGGAGAAATGACGCCTGGGAGTAGACTCATCGGGAGAGAAAGCTTCGGCATAACCAGCAAAATTAGAGCTCCCGTCCAAGGACTGTCGCAGCGCCTGCTTCTGTACGTGTTCGACTTGCTGAACGCGTTCGGCCAGTTCTTTGATATAACTAAAGCAGGTTTAGTCACACTGAATCCATTTGCGCATCTACACTTACCCTTTGGAGGGACCGCGCTTCATAGGCTTGCGCTCAAATTCACAAATCACACCAGCCTTTTGGCAGTTTGTGCAAGTTTTCGGCGTGCCATCAGCCTCCACTGGAGCATCGCAACGGACCTGGTATTCTCAATATACATGGCTTCACAACCGAAGACAGGGACGCGTACCTTCTTTCTCCTACACTCATCACACGCACGCGAAGTCTTTGATCTTTTCCTCTTATCGCCAGTGTTAGCCATATGCTCTGACGATTCGTCCACACTGTCGCGCGCAGGTATGAAGGATGCTTGGTTTGGAGTCTGAGGAGGGGCCATGGAGGCATCTGCGCCTGCGCCAGACACCGTGCCATTCGAAGCCGCAGTTATACCGCCGAGATGGTCTGTCGCAGGGTGGTTGATGGATGCTGTGGGATCGCCGAGGTCTCGTGGATATGAAGACATGCCATAATTCGGGTTCATGGCCAGCTGGGTGTCGATGGGGAAGGAGAATGCATTTGAGTCGAAATGGGAGGTACCAGGGGGCGCAAAAGAGGAGATCGGATCGTCGCTGGATTGATCGCGACCATTCAGACTCCTAGCCATGACTTTATGAGCTCACAAGAGCCGAATTGAAGGTGTGGCCGTGGTTCCGAAAGATGGAAGGATTGTAAGAATTGAGTCGCGTTTTTGGAGCGGGAGGATCATGCCTCGGACGAGCACCAATCAACAGCTCACCTGCTAACAAGCCAACCAGAACAGCTCGGAACAATAACTTGAATTGGGGGCTGATGGGGCACATGGGGTCACTAACTTAGCCTCACCAGCCTTCAGAGCCACAGAGCTTTCTAAGGTGGCAGTGAGGGGGAAGCTCCAGCACTCTCCAGTCATGGCCAGCCTGTCTCCCCGGTATCCTGCCCACCGACCGCTTCCAGCTGCCTACTATGGTACATGGGTACAACACCTTGACACTAGACAACAAAGGGACTCCCATCCTATCTTGCTCAAATGAATCGATGCCGGTTCTGTATGTAGGGAATTCCACCATGATTGTAGACGGCGTAGGGAACAAGCAATGGTGACGACACCTCTAGAGCGCAGGCAAACAAGTCATGTCACCAGCATGTCTTCCGACGTTCATTCCTGCCCCTGTCTGATTATCACACCATGCCTTGAGACATTTTACCTCGACTTATGAATAGGCTGTTGTCTGTACCGAATCCAGTTTTGCGTTCGCGGAAAAAAGGATTCAAGGACATTGTGATTGCCAGACATTCTCCATCATACCATAATCATCGACCCTTTTCATCCAGCATAACCTGAACAGTGATCACACCGTCTACTCTTTCACCAAGATGGCAGCACCGTCAACACAATCCATTCCATCGGTCATGCGGGCCTGGCAATACTCGTCGACGCATGGCGGATTGGAGAGAAACCTCGTCCTGAACGAGTCGGCTGCTCTTCCGCCTCACGACGACAAAGCCCTGGGCAAAGACAAAGTGCTCGTTCAAGTGCTCGCGGCTTCACTGAATCCCGTAGACTACAAGTTTGTCGAGTTGCCTTTGGTAGGGCGCATGGCGGTGAAGACACCGGCTTGCCCAGGCCTTGATTTTGCAGGGCGTGTGGTCAAACCTGCTCCCGGCACAGCTACATCAGAGTTTCCGGTCGGACAGCTTGTTTTCGGGCGTCTGGCTCATCCGACCTCGTTCGGCACGTTGGAAGACTATACGGTGGTACAAACTGGGCAAATGGCGAAAATCCCCACAAGAGTGTCCGTCCAAGACGCCGCCTGCGTGGGCACGGCCGGCTTGACGGCGTATGAATGCATTGTTCCGAATGTCAAAGGTGGAGATAAGATATTCATCAATGGCGGTAGCGGAGGAACAGGTGTTTGGTGAGTGTATTCTTCTCCAAAGGCTGTGCGATCCAAGCGAGAGTCTCATGCTTTGTCTCTGTCTGCCTTGGCTATACACTTCTAACTGACAATCTGCAGGGGCATACAGATCGCCAAAGCAGTTGGGTGTCACGTTGCAACGACGTGTTCAGGGAAGAATGTTCAATTTTGCAAGGACTTGGGCGCAGATGAGGTGATCGACTATCAGAGCCAGAACGTCGTTGAGGCGTTAAAGAAAGGGGTTAGTGAGTCTGGGCGCAAGTTCGATCTGGTGGTTGACAATGTTGGCACGCTGCCTGCCTTGTACTGGAATTGCCATCATTTCACAAACCCTAGGGCCAAGTACGTGCAAGTGGGCATAGAGGGGTCGTTACACACAGTCGTCGATCTCGTGATGAGATTTCTGTGGCCTGGATTCTTGGGTGGAGGGAAGCGGAAGTTGCAGATGCTCACGGTCAAAGGGAGCAGGAAAGACCTGGAAGGAATCGGGGAGTGGATGAGTCAGGGAAAGGTCAGAGCCGTACAGGATCAAGTCCTACGGATGGAAGACGCCCCGAAGGCATTTGAGCGGCTCAAAACGCATCATGCTCGGGGGAAAATCGTTGTTACGGTGGGTGAGTCAGTGAGTGAGTGAGTGAGTGAGTGAGCGGGCGGAATTCTTCTGGGAGATTTGTCTTGTGTATACCTCGTGTGTAGCAATAATAGGCTCTAAAAGTAAAGCCAAACAGGCAGGCACCCAGGCAGGTAGTTCAAGGTTTGCGGCCGTTCATTTGGACAAGGCTCCGTACGACACTTGACCGCCAGGAAGTCATTTCCACGGGAGCCACGAGAAGCATCCGTCAGCATTAAACGAGAGTTCCGCCATCCCGCCAGGAGGTTCGAGGTTCGCAAAACGTACGCCCTTGCGCCCTAGAGTCCACGGCGAGGTCGACTCGGATATGCACGATGGACTTCTGGACTGTCGGCAGGTGGGTTCCGATGGCAGCAGGTGTGTCATGCCTCTTCCTCTTGCATGCTGAAGAAGGACGTCAACGGCACGTAGGCCCATGCATGGCACAGAGTCAGCTGAGTAGCGACGTAAGCAGATGCTGAAGGAAGAGTCGGAGGCTACGGCCGATGGTCCAGCTGGCCCAGGGTTGATTGCAACAGGGGACTTTTGCTACGTCCGGACGGGGTTATCGATAAAGCGGATTAATGCATGCAGAAGTACCAGAGTAACTGCTAGAGGAATAGCCCCAGGTAGAGGCCACACCTTTACTGGGATTGGTGGAGGCAGTGCAAGCGCAGGGGTTCGTAAGGCCATGGACAGACTTGGATAAGCCTTGTTTCGAGAATTTACAGAGGCTCACTCAAGGTTGATTCCCATGGGACCCGGTGTTGTTGTGTGACTGTACGGCACCTGACTGCATGACTCTTGTTGTCTGCAATTCTGTACTCATGGTGCCGGGACGGAGATAGACGAGGGGGAAATATCAGGAAGGGAAAAAACCAGAAGAGAGGAGATGACAGATGGCCCTCGTGTTTTTGAGTCTTGTGTGGCATCATTGTGCATGAATAGATTGTAACCGGTGAACCAAACACACCAGTCTGGGTGAAGACTTCTCACAAGTGTTCACAAGTGTTCACGAGGTGTTCTTCAGCCCTGCGAGTCCTACTATTTGGGGCTTGTCCTCCTCCAGTTTAGCGCCTTCATTGCCCTGATAGTGATTGGGGGCGCAGACCAAACGACACGAACCGAACCGACACTGCCACTGTGGCCGGCCACCTGCCCTGGAGTGCCTACGCACGCTACGGTAGGTGCTTCCCCATCCATCATTCCCATTTCCTTTGCCCTTCTCTCAACCAACTCGTTTCATACCCCCTCAGAATCAAACACGAAATAAACGCTGTTTCTGTCTTTGGCCCCGTTTCGCTTTGTGTCGGCCTGCGGACCAACCTTCCACCCTTCCACCCTTCGGAACAAGCAGGGTGCCACCAGGGCAGTGCCTAGATGTGAATCCAATCATGACTCACGCTGCCTACTCACCACCTGATTGAATGCTCATGGCAGCCTGGGAATTGGGCCATTCCTTCCACTTCGGGTTAGCCACGTCCCCAGGCTTCGACTCAAAAGTGCCTGGCAAAAGGTCCCCTCGATTCATCATACGCTCAATGCACTGATGTGTCCTACCATTGGCCTGGTCCACACCTCGAGGCTATAAACTGCATGGCATCCTCCTCTCCTCTATCCCATTGATTCTTCTTCTTCTACCACTCACATCTGATTGCCTCTACATTGACCTTTCGTTCAATTCTTCTACAACTCACTGTCCAGTGCCATCGCAGTCGACAAGGCTGCTGCTCAATTCCTTCCCAATACCTCACCACACAGTCACGCTGTCGTCTCAACGTACCACCACCTACTACTATTACCCCAAGAGGTCGCATACTTTGGATGACTTGATTCCTCAGTATCAATACATCACCATCACCCGTGCTCCGACAAGGCCTCAAACGCCTCCACCTTCTACACCACCCTTGACATATTCCAATACTTCCACTCCCACCACCAGATCACCGTCGACACCAGTGGAAAAGATGGCCAGAGGTCCGACCACTCAGCGCGTGGTTAACTTCGCCAAGGAAGTCACCACCAGACGCCCACTACGCGATGACGAGTACTCGGTTATGTCTCACTTCGCCCGGCACGCTTCCAAATGCAAAGCCTGTGCCAATCCATATGCCTCGTGGAAACAGGACATTGATCTTTGTGACCGAGGCTGGAGTTATGCCAGAGACGTTGCCAGATACACGTACTCCAAAGGAGGAAGACCCTTCTCCATTATTGACCGACGGAGGGGCGAGTATGTCCAGCTCGAGATCCCACCCGAATTCGAGGTCATCAACAGTCTCCTCAAAGCCTGGGATCATGGCTTGTCTCTGAACAAGATCAAGAAACCTGTCATCGTTGTGCCCCAGACCCCAAAGCGTGACGCTGTAGAGGCTCCCAAGGTTGTCTCCGCATCCAACGACTACGTCTACGAAGATACCCCACGAGACAGGCGGTCACGTAACTACGACGTGGTCGAGATCATCCCCAGCTCAAGCCGTCGTGACCGAAGGGAGAAGGCATACCGCAACGACCGAGGCGAAGAGCGATACCGGTACGAACGAAGAGAGAGACCTGTCAGCTACTACGAGAGCAAAGGGAGTCTCTACGAACGCGATGAAGAAGAGAAAAGACGTCGACAACGGTATGATGAGCAACCCATCGTCATCATCGCCGAACCTACACGGCGGTATGCCAGACGGTGAAAGACCAGGCGCTTCAGGGAGTTACGAGTTAATAGTTTGACTTTTCCACGATCAACATGTATCAACAATGAAACCAACAAGACATTGGCCCAAGTGGGTGGTCCAGCATCACAAGACATGTTCGACTTAAAACAATTCAGTCGAGTCTTTGAGCGGCCCCCACATCATCTGGATGGCCCGGCGATGAACCAATATCAAAAGGAGAGCCCGGCTTGCAACAGTCCAGTCGAGCTCAGGCTCGCAATACAGCACACCACAACATCAACATCAAGGAGGATTCGAGGTGGCACTCGTGTTTGGTCTATGATTGATTGTGTATGGCTTATGGTCTCTTCGGGGTTGTCTTGATTGCATTTGTCATTGACTCCGCCATTTATTGCTATCTGCTTTTGCTCATTTGGTGCGCCTTCTTCTTACCTCATTCACAGCTCCAAAAAAAAATCACTTGCTTCATTGGGCTGGGGCTGGGCGTCTGCTCGTTTCCCACGCTGCGAACACAAGTGGTCTCCTGGGAAGGGGGCCGAAACAAGGAGTAATCTGGTTATGATATGAGATGGCAAAATAGCAATGCATATGCAAAGTTTTCTTTGGATCAGAGTACAGACATGTCTTTGTGGCCAACGGAGGGAGGTTAGGGAGGTGAATGGCCCCGACCAGGCTGACCGCGAGCCTGAGACTCAGGAGGGTGTGCAGGCGTCACGCCCGTATCACGATACCGGGCCTCAACGGGGCTCTGCGGCCCTGACAAGCTGAGTCTCAAATTGCCGCACACCTTGATTACTCAAGATTCGGGGCCAAGCAGATTTGGAACTTTGGGTCTGATGTTGCCTGCAAGGCCTGCTCCTCCATGCAGGTTTTTCTTAGGTCAGCGCCCTTGCTTGAGCCAAGAGACAAGTCCTTTTCCCCGCGCTGAATTGCCGGAGAATGGATATGGGAAGGACTTTTATTTAGATACTGTAGCTTATGTAGTCATGTCCTCGGACATAAAGACACAGTGGTCCAAAACAAGTTCTACAATCAAGAACGATCAAAGAAGGGGTTCTCTCGATGCTGGCGAGCTGGTAAGAAAATGCTCTGCTTACATAATACGAAGCGAAGCGAAGCGAGGCGAGACGAGGCGAGGCGGTCAATGTCATCGTCGCTGGCAATTGTGTGGTGATATCAAAGCAAGCACGGTATTGGCAGACTTTTCGTAGAAGATTGACCTGTACCTCCCAGCGATCCCCGTAGAAGGATCCGTGGCAGCAGAAGTCTTGCTACTTATACAAAACTAAACACAAACAGAGAAAAAGACCCTTCGATGGGTACTAGTACTGAGGTGGATGCCTAGCGCGAGGTCGGATAGGAAGAATGCGCCCCTTCGTCTCTGCCGTTAGGGAGAGACCATGGCTCGTCTCTTTGTGTCTTGTCTCTGGCCGATTCTCAGTTCAGCCGTGTACGCCCGTCATAATCGTGTTTGGAGTTGTTGCCTGTGTGTCAATCCCCATAAGACCCACGCCCATTTTCTATTCTATTCAGTTCAGCTCAGTTCAGTTCATATTCCGTATCGAAGACCGAGAACTCGTACTACTATACCTGCTCTAGGACTGGGTGAGATGGTCCGCATCCATGCCCCTTCGCACCTGTCGACGGCCGGGTACCACGTAGTAGAAGAGAATCATAGTCAGCGCAGACGAAGCGGCGAACATGAGGGGTGGCCTCGGGAGAGGCAGAACAGCGCAAGGCAGTGCAGTGCAGTACGGTGCGGTGCTGTTCTGTGACTGGAATTCATCACGCGACTTTTTCCCTTTTCTCCCGATGCACTGGCTATCATCAGATCCAAGACCAAAGGTCCGCATTTAACTCCAGGTCGGTGGTGTGGAGTCCTCTCATCCAGGCACCTCTTACTCGTAGCATCCGCGGCACTTTCGCCAGCACGCAGAATGTCCTCGCTCGCCACTTTGGGAGAGGTGGCCCCAAGCAGTTCTCGGTAATGGGGCCTTTTCTTGTCGGAATGGGGGCCTCCTGCTCGTTGCGCAAGGCAGCCATAAATGCTGTTACCAAGAAAGTGTACCTCCCCCTGTCTTCATCCTTACCTAGAGGGGCAACGAGGTGTGGTCATCGAACATGATGACTGTGTCAAGTCCGTCACGAAATCAAAACCAAGAACAGTGTTGAAGGATGCCCGAAACGCAAAGACACAAGTGAATAAGATGCAGAGACAAAATGTTTCGAGGTGACAAAGTCGGATCCATACCAGCTTCAGATCGAATGACTGTCCGTGGCGACAAGTCCTTCCTGATTGATTTTCCCTGCTACCGTTAACGCCGGTGCTATGCCACTGTTTTTGCCCTTTCTGAAAATTGTACATTCCGCACTTGCATTGTCGAACCCTCTTGGCCCGAGCAGAAACATGCTCTTAATGAGATCTTGCGGGCAACACTTGCCTCTAACCACTCTCTGACTCCTCCTCTTTAGCCAGACCGTGCTCTTTAAGCAGGGCCATGATCTCTTCACCAGACCACAGATGGTGGTAAATCTTGCCGTCTGCAGTTTTGCCAACAGTCGCGAACTCGACTGTAACACGATTAGTAGTCCGTCATGACCCTTGCTCCGAGGCGTTCAAAACTCACTCTTCTCGCTGCTCAATTTGGTTGAATCCATCGTCTTGCTCAGCACCTTGACAGCCATACCACACGCCTCTTTTAGATCGCATTCTTCCTTGTAGTCTTGCTTGAGGAGTGACTGTGCACTGGCGTTGTTGGCGCCCACGCTCGTGGCCTTCCATCCACCATAGTTCCCCGAGGGATTGCTTTGGTACAACTGGAATTGTCGTTGTGGATCCCACCCGGCGTAGATAAAGGAGACGCCAAACGGTCGCAGACCACCGTGTTGTGTGTAGCCTTGTTTCAAATCGCAAAGACGACGGACAAGCTGTTCGCAGGGGATGTCTTCGTTGTAGGTCAGTAGGAAGCGTTGCGCAGCTTGTCTAGCGTAATTGATCAGGATATTTGCATCGGCCGTCATTCCCGCTACGGCGCAGATCATGTTGCTAGGATACCGGTCAGTATGACAGCCGGAATGCAGAAGTTCGCTCTCGCGTGCGCTACTGGGGGGGAACGTACTCGTTCAAGATGTAGAGCTTCTCTGCTGAAGTATCTTGTTCCAGCAGTTTGCTGGTGACTTTTCGTTCTGCTGCAAGTACAATTCCATCTTGTGCTAATATTCCCAAAGCGGTGCCGGCATGTGATATGGCTTCGAGGGCATATTCGACTTGGTATAACCGGCCTTCGGGAGAGAAGATTGTTGTCTATGCGAAACGGTTAGCGATTGACTGATGTTAGTCAGGTAACGTTAGAAAAACGTACCCTTGAGTCGTATCTTCGAGCCATGATGCTGATATCTAGTCGGGGGAGTTGTGGAAATGTCACCGAGCAGCTCAAAGGAAGGAGATTGAGGATGGAAGACGGAAGATGGGTATTAATTGACATTCATGATGCGGAGGAGGAGCATTTGCAGGCACGGCAGCCTCACGCGTCCCCGCCGTTCACCCAATCAAATGGTTGTACAGCTTGCTTGAGGCTGGGTCACGTGAAAGTCGGTTAATTCCAGTTCACGACTCGCCCTCTTTTTATGGCAGTAGTTCAGGTATGCAAGCTCTATATGTTGACAGTCACCATCTTTTAGCCACCGCCTTGATGACCGAGATCAGGGGATCAAAATCGAATCCATCTCTACTGGTCTCTAGAGGTATTGCTCCCAAGTGAGTTTAGCGTCAGTTGGTTTACCAGGGCAGGGCGGTGGCAGAATTTCACGAGTTCCTGAGAATCACAATTGCTCCAACTTTTTGTCTAGAAGTATTCCAACCCTGTTCAGACTCCGTAGAGGGCGAGAGCTGCTTCTCTGAGTCCTTCGCTCACGATGCTGAAATCTACTTACCGTACCGCTGCTCCAGCCCCCGAGGAACGACCTCTACCACCAGGGTGGACTGAACACAAAGCCCCGACCGGACATACCTACTACTACAATGCAGAAACCAAGCAATCCACATACACCAGGCCCACTGCTCCCTCCGAGGAGCCCCTTCAGATCGACTATGGCGCCACTGAACCCGATCATGTCATGCGCGCATCGCTGCAGGCAATGGAAGAATTCCAAAGGAATACGCAAGGAGCAGGTCACTTCACTGGCGGGAGAAGTTACCAAGAACATTCCCGCCGAAGGGGGAACCAGGGAGACAGACCGAAGTCAAAGGCGCCTATCCCTGATTGCCCGCCGTGGGTTCTCGTCAAGACGAAGCTGGGCAGACGGTTCGTGCACAATGCAGAAACCAAGCAGAGTTTGTGGAAATTCCCGCAGGACGTCATGATGGCGGTCATCGAGATGGACAGGCAGGAGTGGGAGGCGAAGAAGAAAGCTGAGAGTCAGCCACCAGAGCCACAGACTACGCGGGCCGAAGAGGTCGAGACAAGGGCAGAATCCACGGTTACAGACCAACAGCCTCGAGCAGGGCCAGCTCGAGATGTCCAGGATTACGACAGCGATTCCTACGAAGAAGTCGAAGTCACTGACGACGAAGCCGACGGTGACCAAGAAAAACTCGCTAAACGGCCGCGCCTCTCAGCAACCCCTCCACCAGCCGGTCCGGTCGAATTCAATGAAGACGATATTGCCTGGCAACTTGCCGCCATGGAAGAAGACGCGTATTCCAACCCTGAGCACTCCGACCACCACTCTGCAGACGAGGATGAAGGCCTTCCCCTAACCTCTGCCGACAATACTGCCCTCTTCCGCTCCCTGCTAGACGACTCGGGCATATCTCCATATTCGACGTTCGAAAAACTGATCGAAGACCTTGCCATAGTCGAGGACGAGCGATGGGTCGCTTTGCCCAACACCACGTCCCGCCGCGACGCCTTTGCATCGTGGTCGAGAGACCGCATCGCCGAAATACAAGAGCGTAAAAAGATAGAATCCTCGTCCAAAAAGCCGCGGGACGCCAAAGTCGAGTATCTGCGCTTCCTGCACAAGCACGCCACGCCGAAACTGTACTGGCCCGAGTTCAAGCGCAAGTTCAAGAAAGAGGCCGAGATGCGGGATAGTGCGTTGCAGGATAAAGACCGGGAGAAATTGTACCGCGAACTTGTGGCGAAGTTGAAAACGAGTGAGAACGAGCGGAGGAAGGAGCTTGTCTCGCTTCTCAAGGGGATGGACAGGACGAACACGAACCGAGATCTGAGTCTTGATGAGTTGCCGGATAGCGTGGTGAGGGACGTCAAGTTCTATACGATCGAGCAGGGCAGGCGGGATGAGCTTGTGAGGACGTTTCTCGAGACGCAATGATACCGAATTCTGAACCGCTATAAGAAGTTGAGATTTCGCGAGGTCGCGAGGACGAGGTATAATGAATGTATGCAGTTTACGAGGATCAACACACGATGAACCCCGTATTATGTTAACTGCGATTGAACCGCCCACTCTCATTCTGTGACATCTAACTATTTAGTTGAAAGCCCACAACGCCATTAACTTCTAAGCCCAACCCCCAAGCTCCCATACCACGGTCCGTGATGCTCCAGCATATGAAACGCTTCTAACTGAGTCAGTCCTGCCTCAGACATGACATATGCTGCACCCCCTTGTCGTGAGAGAAAACACTGCAAGCACAATTGGCGGAATTGTTCATCTTCTACACTGACAAGAACGTTAAGCGGCGCGAAGCGAAGCCGAAAGCTGTACACACAACTAATCAATCCCAGCTCTTCTCTTGGGCGCAACACAACACAACAGATTTGCCATCGGGCAATAGTGCTGGTGTTGTTCCTGCCGCAGAAATATTTTCAATCAACGACACTCCCACGGGGTATATCCACACATCTTCTCCGCCACGTCGTACAAAAGTCTCTTATCCAACCATCTCTCAGTCTTTGCATATGTTGGCATTGAAACCTGATACAGAGATAGGCTGCTTGGTCTCAAACCGAGCAAAAAGGCTTGCTGCCTCAAATCCCACCCCCCTGACCGCCTGCAGCGATACTACTCTCCTGCAACATGGTAGTGAGCACGTCCAACCGATTCGCCGCCTCGGGATTCTTCTCGATGCACTCCTTGATGATCTTGAATTCGATCTCTCCTGCATTCGGCGCCTGAGCACAGAGTTGAACAACAGCGGGACTCGATGCCAGTGGACCCAATATTTTCTGGGCTGTCATCGTGGCAGGTGACTGTGGTTGCAGTTGTGACGGTTGTCCATAACCAGGATATGGCTGTCCCGGTGGGGCAAACCCCGGAGTCGGCATCATTTGAGGAGGCGCCCCGTTGGCTCCATACTGACCTGGCACAGGCGCAGGCGACTGACTGTATATACCAGTCTGCGGCGGCTCGAAGCTACCATCATGCGGGGTGATGGGCGTCTGTGCAACTGCAGGTCCTCTGCTCGATGGACTCGCCGCAGTGGGTGTACCATCCAAGTTCGCTCCCTGCATGTGAGGCAGCTCGCTGTTCTTGATGACAATTGGAACGAGCAGCATACGTTCTCTCGCCGGGTCGGAGAAGTCAGTCTCGAGTTTCTTGACGAAAGTAGGCAACTCTTGACCCTCGTTCAATGGAATGAGGTAAATGTCTTTGATCGCTGCATTGTGATGCTGCACCCCCACGCCGAATCGATCTTTGCTCTTGAAATACCGGAATAACTTGTCGAACTCTTCTTGGTCGGGCGAGTTTTGTGGCTCCGGCATGTAAACAATCACCAGGTCTGACGTATTGCTGTACTCGAGGCCACAGAGGTACTCATCTGCCTTGGGCGGTTGTATGCGACCTCCGATGGAGATTTCCTGCGGTAAGACGTCGCGATATGTCATGCGGAGAGTGTCGCTGTCAGGCGTTGCTCCTGCTGCATGTCTCGCCGTGGCGCGGAAACGACCGAGATTACCACCATTAATGGTACCTCGCCAGACCACACCGTCGGCCTCAGCGGACTCTTTGGGTGAATACGGCGGTGATTCGGCCTCTTCGTCTTTGAGTAGCTCATCGATATCGGCGTCTGCCTTGGCGCCTGGTCCCATGGGCTCTCTGACAGCCATGCCGGGTGACTGCTGGGAAAGGTCGCCAAACCGGTGTCCATCAACATCAGGCGAACCCTGAACATTTGACCAGACCTTGTCGATGTCGAAGTTGGAGGACGATTGTCGCTTGGTATCAACCGATGGCTTAGGCCTGGATCGACCCGCTCCAGGGATTTCCGATGGACTCTTAATAACAGGGCTCTTTGACTCGGCATCTGACTGCTCGATTCCGCTTGGTCTCCGGACGGGAGCATTCGAGGTCTGAGATTCAGCAGCGACTTGTCTCGACTCATCGACGTATTCCTCTCCCTTGTGCGTACGGCGGATACGAGGCCCTTGCTCTTCGACGATTGTGTGCTGTTTCTCCAGCTCTTTCATGGTAGCCGCATCCTTTTTCTTCTGCTCTTCGCTCGCCATATCTTTTGGATCCATACCCGCAAGCTCTTCAGGGCTGAGATCGCCACTAAGTAGTCGTACTGCGAGAGCATGGTTCTTCTTCAGGTTGAAGGGGATGGATCGTAGCTGATTCTTGTACGCTTCATTCGGTTCGCCGCTGCCACCAGCATGGATGTGATAGAGGGCGCTCTCAAGACGCAGGCCGATGCCGTTTGAGATAGCTTGGGTGCTTGAGCCGCTTGGGGCAGTGTACTCGCCTTGTTTTGATGCTTCTTTGATTTGACTCTCCATCAGCTTGATCAAAGTAGACGCAGCTTGCCTCCTGGAACTATTCGCAAGCTCCTTTACGTCTGTCACCACAGGGTATTCGGACTTGGATGCAGGCTTTGAGGGAGTCTCGCTAGGTTTGCGCGCTGGAGTTGCAGCTTTGGCGCCATTCGTGTCTGCCGCAGGTGTTCCTCGAGCTTTCTTGTTCTGTGTTCTAGTTAATACATTGTTGTCCTGAAAAGTGGCAACGTAACCCACCTTCAATTCTGGTACGCTGGGGGATTCCTCCAGTTTGCGCTTCTGTCCGGTCGCCGTGGGTTGAGGTGTTTGGTCCTTGGCCTCTTGAGACGCCCTTGGGCCTACCTCGCTTGTTCGAGCACCGCCAGACTTTCGACCCTTTTTACCCTTTTTCTTCGTCCTCTCTTCAAACTTCCTTAGCGCTTCATCCCAGGGGCGCTCCCCACGCGCCATAGCGGCGATCAGTTCTTTGTGGTCCTCGGGCTTGCATTGTTCGCAAAAGTATGTTTCGGGCTGGTAATCTTCTTCTAGACCCATGCAGCTGTTGTGTTGCCATGCTTCACATCTGTCACAGCAGATCATTGCTCGAGGGACATCTTCTTCCTCTTCATATGTTCCGCAGACACATCGAATGATCTCTTCGGACTCTTCGTCTCCTTCTTCCTCCTCTTCAACTGCCTTGGCTTTCGAGCTTTTTCCCTTTCCTTTCTTTTTTGGAGCATCTTCTTGGATGTCGCGGTCTTTGGTGTATTGTCCTTTGGTCGCGCGACCGGATCGTCGAGGTTCGTCTGGTCGTCTGTCAGTGAGGGGTTCCACCATGGACTGCGCAACACAAAGCGCGCCATCATGATGTTGCTTACCAGCCATTGTGAAGATGTATGATGTCGTCGCGCGACACTACACGGGACGCAGCAGCGAGTAGAGGCTTGTCACAAATCACGTTTAAATCGCGATCTACAACAAGTCGCGGGGAACGTTCACGAGACCAGTTGGTGAATGCGCCAACAGGCCAACTCTTGTGTTTTCAGACTCGATGAGACTAAACGCTAACGATGCCAGTAGGGCAAACGCTCTCACTAGCTAGAAGTTTCTAGGAGGCTGATTGAGTAGATGGTGAACGAAGTGCTGTTTGAATGGCGAAGGTGGAGGCAACGTAGGCGGGAGATGAGTTCACAGGGCCTCCTCTTCGACAGCTCGCCAAGATATCGTGTAAAAGTGGCGTTGTTATTCGTCTTCTTACGGCACAAAACAAACGCCGCTTTGGGAAGATGGACTCCATACCGATAAAGATAAAATGGACGATCCACTAGAGAAAGTCGCGTGCACGTGACCAGCGTCATTCATTGAATGGCAGCGTGATGCCTTTGACAGCATTCTCGCTTGTGCTTGCGAAGTGTTTCATCTGGGGTGCGTCTACACCTGCGTGACTGACTGTTCTTCCCTCCATCTTTTCGACCGCGGACAATCATGGCTGACGTCCGCGCCCTCCTCGCTGCCGAGAGGCAATCTCGAAGAATCTCTCACCCTCACCTCTCGTACACTAAATCGGGTATGCTAATATGCACCATATGTGACCTGAATGTCAAATCCGAGGCGCTATGGGAGGGGCATCTTAGGAGCGCAAATCACCGGAAAAATGTTCAACGTGCGCAAGAGAACGCAACCAAAGGCACAAAGAGAAAGATCGAGGATGTGGATGAAGTGCAAGAGGAGCGAGACGAGACTGATACAGATACACGGAAAAAGGCAAGGTCGCGGCCGGTGGGTCTGAACAAGAAGCCGACAACTGGTGATGTTGGGCAAGAGCCTGCACCGGAACAAGCTGAACCAGAGCATGTGTTGAACGAGTCAATACAACAGCCCGTGCCTTCTACTGCTCCGGCAGCAGACACCGTGGACGGGGGTTCGACCCAGGCTCCAGCTGTTGATGAAGACGAATGGGCGTCCTTCGAGCGAGAAGTCGCTCCGTTGGCAGCCGCACAACCAGACTATGCTTCGGCCACGATAACTGCAGCGCCAGTCACGGCTGAGCAATTGAAACAACAGTCAGACGAAGACAAACGACACAGACTAGAGACAGAAGCAGAGGATGAGAAAGAGGATGAAGAGAGGCGGCTAGAAGAGGAATTCGAGGTGATGGAGGAGATGGAGGAGCGAGTACGGAAACTACGAGAGAAGAGGGACGCCTTGAGACATGCCGCGCAAGCAAGCACGGATCCAGGAAAAGGACAACCTAGCACAACAGCTGGCAGCTTAGAGCAAGAAACACGGCCTGATGAAGCCGACGAAGCCGACGAAGATGAGGGTGCCGATGAAGATGACTGGTATGCATGAGATTCGTCATGTCATTAACACCGGAAATGCAACTCCACAAACAAGCGAGGGAAAGCCGAACCTCTAGCCTGTCTATACCATGAGAACGCTGCCAAATATGAATGCAATGAATGCATAAATCATTCAAAAATCCTCGCCCATCAACTCCTCTATTTCGACAATCCCAGTCACTTCGTTGCTCTGGTCGACGATCCCAAGCAGGGTCCCCCTCCTCAGGAATTCTTTACCACGTCCAGAACCCTCATCGCGCATCTGGTGGATCCAACGTCTGCACTCGTCCAAGGTCGTATTGGCGAGCACGGATATCCAGTCAGTCTTTTCAACAACCACTCTCCCAAACTGATCCTCCAAGTCTGCAACGGGCAGTTCGGGGATTTGGAGACTCTGTATCCTTCGAGGGCCGATCATATGGTGCAAGGAAGTCCGAACAAATCCTTTTGATGACCGCACAGCAGCCAGAAGCACATCGAAGCACAGGAGCGGTTGTCCTGGACGTGGGGTTGCTATGGGGATTTGAGAGACTGTCGTCGCCAGATCAGACATTCGTGGCTCGGATGGGACTGTCGGCTTGAGTGCTGCGCCTATGGCACCTCCAGGATGATTGGCCGCAAATATGGCAGGTGTCTGCTGTCCAGCTGCGGAATGCAACTCGTCGGCAACTGCAAGTGCGAGACTATCGCCAATTGCCAGCGTGATCGTTGTCGATGTCGTTGGTGCCGACACGCCGAACGACGTCATCTCAGACTCGTGGATAATAGTTGGTATCAGAATGTTCTTGGAACCTGCTCTTGCAGGATTCGAGAGTAGTAGGCATGAGCCTTCGTTCAAATGTCCAGACATGACGATCAGGGGTATCGACGATTCGATGTGTGGAAGAAGAGAGATGAGTTCAGGCGTCTTTCCAGAAAATGTGACCATGATAATAGTATCATTGGGGCGAACAACCCCTAGGTCTCCATGTAAGGCCTCGATAGGGTGTAGGAATACCGCATGGATACCCAGGGAAACAAAGGTGGCGACGAGCTTCTTTGCGATATGGCCAGACTTGCCGACACCTGTAAAGATGGTCTTCCCATGGCGAGTTTCAGAATGGATAATCTGTCTAATGGCCCGCAAGAGGGACCCCTGGATCTCGGCGGAATTGGTATAGAGTTCTTCAAGATGCGATAAAGCGAGCCTCTCGGTTGTTAGGACATGTAGCGCCTTCTTGATCGTTCTGCAGTCTGCGTCAAAAGCCTCTTCATAGAAAGCCTCGGAGAGTTCTGGAGGCGTAATTGGCAAAGGTTCGATTTGTTCTGCTACCGGACCACACAACGGCATGGAAGGTGTACGAGGCGTTGGAAGCGAAGACCCGTGCGAATATGCCATCTTGTTGTGCTGGTCTAGCGGCACAGGAAGCGGAAGGTCGCTCGGGAAATTATTCCCGGCAAGGCCAGAGTCCTGAGGGCTTTTACTTGATCACTGGCGGCTTTCGGGTCGAACCCGCATGAGCGCTCCGTTGTTGAGATGATACTAGATGTCTAAGTATCCCAAGATATTGATTGCTGATTGTTCGGGGATGGAGCCAGTCGATCAGCGATCGTACAGGCGTGGAAAAGTTCGCCACTCCAGGTTGTAAGAGCCAGATGTTAGTGACATGACGCCATAGATTGGAAGAAAGACAACGAGGAATGTACGGCTGAGGGTGATGTAGAAGTGGTGGAGAGGATTGCAGAACGAAAATAGTGAAAGAGGATTGTAGGGATGGTACGAGTGACATTGTTAATCAAGGATGGTACTAGTACGTGTGTACTTGTAGATATCGCAATCGCAATCGCAATCGCAATCGACGGGCGAAAAAGGGTCCTGACAGGGGTGGAAGAACCGGGTACATTTGGGGCGCACCAGGCTAGGCTCGGGAACGCCAGAAAATGCACCACCGATGCGGACGTATCACTCAAAAAGAAAAGGATCCATGGGCGACTGGAACAAGAGCTAGAGAAGTGGATGCGGAAAGACATTGGACACGACTTTCGTTTAGCTCGGATGATGGAGGAACATGAGATAAGGTCGCCGACCGCCTGGGAGAGGGCCTACAAGAAGATTACAAGTACGTCGACAAGTAGTAGGTAAATAGAACGCGCGGAAAGCTTCGATTGACAGACCGCCTTCTCAGCCAAAAGCACGTCAGAGATAGCGGAGTGGTACGGGAAGACAGAGTTCGGAAGCACAGATCGAGGGGTGCTCGGGGTGGTGCTCGTATCAAGCATGAAGCATCAGCACCAGGTACTCGGGACTCGGAATTACCGACAGTGGTGACTCTTTGATTGATGAAAAGGTGTCCTCAGTGTGTTTTTACTTGTATGAGAGCAGCAACTCGATCGTAGGAGAAATAGAGAAAACGTCAATCGCACGCCAAGGCCACGTATCAAAATTCACTGTTGCACCACACTGGGAAGTCACTTGCAGTAAAGCTTCTGCGATGACCTTTTGCAGCCATCTGCAATCTTCTATCCATCCAAGGCTCTCACCTGCATAACAAGACCTACTAATGTGTAGCCTACCGCACTTCGGAGCCCAACTTGCTCAAGTATTTTCCGGCTCCATCGACTTTGCCGGCTCTGAGGAGCACCTGTCTTCCGCGCTGTCACAAATACATCTCTAGAGGCGCGACCTAGAACATCGAGTGATGCGTCATCACTTTGTCCAACCATCTTCGCACACGAGATGCCGTCGGCCTCTTTACTACCTACATGGTCATCCGCACCTACCTTGGCAACACATGCACTTACTCGAGCTTTCCCCAGACTAGGCAACGCAAGGTACCTAGTCAATGCCAACCACCTGAAGCATGTGCTTGCAAACCACAACTGCCGGCAGCTCCCTGGATGACTAATACTCGTGACTGCAGGCGAACCCTCGTAGAATCTCTCACCGCTCAAACAGACACCACGAACAGGACCGAAGCACGATGCGGACACGAAGCGCATTTCGACGCATGAATGATGCACGCTGCTTCCCAAGGAGGCACATGCTTTCCGATCACTTACATTGCTCGCTTGGTAAGCAGTGCGTCCATTTCGTGGGCAGCATATTCCCGGCCCGCACTTCATGCGAAGGATTTCCCGCAGAATAGTAGGACTTAAGCAATGTCCTTACCAAGGGTATTGCTTACCATACCCGTCACTGTATGCGGGCTGCGAGCGTGCATCTAAGCTCAATGACTGTTGGTCGTGGTGAAACCATGTCTATCCCTATCTTGACGCATAGGGCGACGCTATTTCAGTCGATGTGACTTTCAATTCTGTGAAGTCTTTCTGAACCTGAGCCAGTTTGTTTTCAGTGTTCTTCTGTTTTTTGTTGAAAATTGGAGTTTCATTCTATCCATTAGACAGAGGTTGCCCTGATGCGCACGACAATCAAGCAAAGGCGCACCACCGCAGCCTGTGCTGATATCTCCTCTGATATGAGGTCGATGTGTGGATTGCCCCTGCCGATTCTGGCGACTGCGAGTGCGCCTTGACAGCGATTTCGACGAGAACAAGCTTCGCCCCAAACGCTCTTTAGTCTGTACCGCTGGAGTCGGACACTGAGAGTCAGGCTTTACCTCAGCATCCAACTCGGATTGTGGCGCAAGATCGAGCCAGGGGTCCGATTTGCCGCCCGTCTAAGTACCTCGGATGCCGATGATACTTAGCTTGATGACTCTTACAGTAAGTATCCGACTGACCATGGAGCCCTACATCTCTGAGTCCATCTGCGTCGTGCCGACGCCCGTTGGTGCGCCAAGATACGAGCTGCACCTGAGCGGTACTTAACGAGTCTGACATACGCAACAATCTCCTCCGTATGAGCGGGTCTACATGGTCTCCCAAGGGTACAGGCGTCCAAGTCAGCCCTGTCAGTCTACTAAGATTCTCCTGCTGTTACCGTCATGGCGACGGCCTGCAAACCACGCATTATTGAATGGCACAAAAAATGGTCTCAAACATACTAATATAAAGCCACGAGAATCCACAACGTCTTGGTCAGACTCAGGTCCAGCTGCGGACCGCACTGTCTCAGCACATTCGGAAATGTCTACCCTTCCACCCAAAGCTCGTCCCGTTTTGATTACAGCTGTCAACGGATTCATATCCAGCAACATCACCTCTTGCTTCCTCTCGCATGGGTACACCGTTATCGGCACAGTTCGCTCGCTATACCAGCACGCCTGGCTGCAACGCCTCTTTGACACTCAGTACCCCGGCTTGTTCTCGCTGGTCGAAGTCGCTGACATTGGCGACGATGGTGCATTGGAATCCATCATACGGGCTAGAGCCGTCGTCTCAGTGATCATCACGACTTCGCTCTTGGACACGAACCAAAATACGCCGGAGCCGTACATCTCCAAATCCGTCGATATCGCACTGGCGTCACTGCGAGCTGCGAGTCGCTGCCCGGCCGTTCAGTCCGTCGTCGTTACCAGCAGCGCATGGGCGATGGCCACGCCACATGTGAATGTGCGTGAAGCGCTCACAGCGTCTGACTACAACGAAGAGGCAATTGGCCTGGTCTACGACGACGCCGTGACCGACCCCACTTATCGAGGGTTCCTTATCGTCATGGCTGCCAACGCGAAAAAGGGAAGAGCCATGTGGGACTTTGTACGGGAAACGAAGCCATCCTGGAGATTCAACAAGCTCTTGGTCGACACCACGTTCGGAAATATAGTCAGCGCCACGGACCAGGGCTTCCCGAGCACGGCGTCCCTTGTGAACGGGCCGGAAGCCGCGAGGTCTGCGAGTTTCAGCCTCACGCCACAATGGTTCGTGGATGTCGAGGATGTGGCGATGTTGCATGTTGCGGCGGCGACTAGGCTCGATATCTCGTCCGAACGTATATTCGCATACGGACGTCGGTTCACGTGGAAGGCGATCACGGGGATTCTGCAGAATTGCAGACCAGAGGCAGAGTGGACAACTGACATCAACGAGGACGAAGGAGAATGTCTCGTCGAGTGCCTAACGAGAGAGGCGCCGAAATTCTTCGCTCCATGGGACAGGCCCAAGGCTGGACAGACTTGGAGACGTCAATCAGGAATACCGTACGCGATCATAAGTTTGTGGAGCAGGATCCGGCGCAGATATTTGTTCACAAATGGTAAAGAGAAGAACGCTGCGCGAGGCCGCTTCACCAGTTTCGGGTGCTTGTCAAGGTCAGTGTACGCATACATACTGAGTGGCCCTTTGAAGTAGCGCCTGCCAGAATACTGGAGCTGGGTCAATGATCAGCATCATCTTCCAGCTTAAGTCGAGGATTATCAGTCGGCCCTCACACTTCGGAGCCTCATCACGTGATAAGCAAGCCCAAGGCTGTATGACTTTTACTAATCGGGCCTAGTACAGCCTTATGGTCATCCCCTTCCTTTTTCCCCTTGGACTACCACTGACTCCTTTCATATCAGACAGTCCCAAGAGTCCGAGCCAGCTGATTCCTCGGACCCTGAGCAGATTTCCCTGTAGGGGCTGTCGCAGTATTCACCAATTTCAGACCCTCTTGTCCGAATCAATTACCTCAACCTCCGCAGCACCAGGCTTCTCTGCAAGCTGTCTCTCCCTTTCCGCCTGCACCTGAATGTCGGCATGCTTGCGTCCCTGGATTCCAATCTTGTACCACGGCAAACTGAACAGACGGTCCATAGCTTCGAGCGACAAACCTGCCGTCTCGGGGATAGTGAACCACACCCATACGCCCCCGAGCGCCGTGATGGCGAAGAAGAACCAGAATGTGCCCTTTGCCGACATACCCCCATCAGTCGTACTCAGCAGCATCGATGGGACGGCCTTGCTGTTTCCGTACTGGTTGACGAAGTGGAAGCACATTACCAGTGAGCTGGAAAGAGCTCGGATTCGCAAGGGGTAGATTTCTGCGTTGATCTAGCAAGAAGTCAGTCAACAAGTCTCGCAACAGAGAGATTGGAATTGCTTACAAGGTATTGAATGCTGTTCCATCCCATGGCCCAGCCAAAGCCCGAAAGATATATCATTACGATAGCGCCGATGCTCGCGCGCTTTTGGCTCGAGTTGAATTTGAAGCCCTCATCCTCGATATTCGGCACGGCGGTGAGGAAGGCAGCGACGTAGGCCATAGAAAGGGCTTGCAGGCTGATGCCGATTGTCAGGGCACGCTTTCTGCCGATAACGTCGACTAGAAACAAGGCGCACATGATTGCCGCGACGAATTTGACCACGCCGAAGATGGCAGTTGCGAAGAGCTTCTCATTCTGTCCTTTTGTGCCGAGCAGAGCGAAAAAGTCGGCGGCGTAGATGGTGATGCTGCCGGCGCCTGACCATTGCGAGAGGAGTTGAACGCCGAGACCAAGGTACAGGCGATATGCATTGTTGGGCATGCAGAACATCTCGCGGAGAATGCCAAACACGCCTTGGCCCATGGTGGCTTCTTGCTCTTCTTCGAGCTGGTGCTGGATGTCGCGGATCTCGTGGATGATGACTTCGTGGTCTGATGGGAGACCTCGAACGCGAGCGAGATTTCTTATGGCGTGTTCAACATTTCCGCACTTGATCAGGTAGCGAGGAGATTCGAAGTTGAAGAAGGACAGGATCAGGATGATTCCGGCGAACATGATGTGCAGCGTGGTCGGTATGACCCATGCGTTTGCGGTGTACTGGTCGATATGGAGAGAGCTGCCCCATGTGGTGAAATAGGCAAGCATGATGCCGATGTAAACTGCACCTGCAAAAACGCAAGTACAGAGGCCACGGACGGCTTTGGGTGATATCTCAGCAATGTATACTGGAGCTATCACGGTCGTTTCTCCGATCTGCATGTATTCAAGCAACATGTCAGCATGACGATAGGCACAATGTTTGTGACGATCTTTGAGTCTTGGGCTGGTGGTATGGTGATCGAAATGGAGGACAACTTACGCCGATGCCTGCAATGAACCTGCCTGCATAGACTTGACCGAGACGGCCATTGTTGGTCAGAAAGATGATGATGCCTAGAATCCAGACGATGCAAAGCTGGCGGGTGGCCCACAGACGGCCAATGCGGTCGGCGACGAGGAAAGCGAGGAGAGCGCCAGCAACAGATCCAATCTGCACCATGGCAGAGACGTTGCCCTTGACATTGGCATAAGTTACATCGTCGAGCTCATCGAGATGGAGAATGTTCTGAAAGTGCTTGGTATTGAATGTTCTGATATACGGCAGATTAGCACGAGGTTCGTCGCGCAAGATCGTGGTGATGGTACCCTGAGATCAGACCTTCATCTATACCTCTCGCTGCACCCATAATACCGAAGGAGAAGACGGCGAACCATAGCCTCCAGTTAAGCACTTCCTTTGGGTCATCGCCCCGGTTGAGCTTGAAAATGTTGACAGGTTTCTTTGCAGCACCCATTTCTGGCGGATGCAAAAGACTCTGACCACGAAAAAGTGTCGGGCGAAATGGCTGGATGCCAGAGTAGGATTGAGAGTCAGTAAGAGAAGAGGGGGGTTTGATATAGACTTCAACCTTGACCCAGGTCGGAACAATGTTGCAACGAGCAACGGTCCATACTACCATTCAATAGCCGTGCATACCCATGATCGGCATGGACCTACGGCTATCAAAGTTGTCTTTTGGTTGGAAATGCTTCTGGAAGGCTTGTTTTGCCCAGACGTTAGTTTTCGTGCAGGAGTACTATGCTCCGCGGCCAAGTTGATGTCCACGATCGTGTCAGTACATCTTGGCCTCGAGACGAGGCAGAACCGTGAGCACCATAACTTCTGCTCGTTGATGCAACCCTTCTTCGACGGCAGGATCGACTGAAGGATGCTTTCTCAGGGCTTTTGGTTCGTTTGACCAGTAAAATGGCAGACCAAGGCTGGGGTATGCCCCCAGTTGCAGGGGTCTTTCCCACACCACTCATCAGCCCCCGGCGGAGAAGGCCGGATTGTGGTGCATGTGAACAACAAGGAGGAGACCGACGGGCCAGTACGAGTAGCACTGCATACACACTGTAGCACTCGAGCACTGCATTATATGTTATATGTCGTACGCCCAGCCTTGCCCAGACCTTGAATGCAACGACCAAGGCTTTTGGCGTATGCATCTCGACGGACCGCGACGATCAGTGTTTTGTTTCGCCGACGATTGCCGCTATTCGAGCTAGAGTACGACCTAAAAAGTACAGGTACTGGTCCTCGTAGTCGCAGGCGAGCCGATGGAAAATCCGACGGAGACTCTCGTACTGTATATCGAGAGCGGCTTCATCCGCTACAGTGTGTGTATGCACTTGATATGGGGCTTTGCGGATCCGGAAGATTCTCTCTCGTCAATCTTGTAGCCCCACGACAGCATATGTCCGTCTTCTCCCGAGGCTGGAGTGCGGTCAATAGCCGACACCTTGCCAATCCTCATTGAATGAGAGCCTAAGTGCACCGTATGACTTGAACAAGCTCTGGTACGTATCGTCTGTGCAAAGTCTTTCGGTAGTAGTACGTGCGGGAGCCACGGGCTGCATCAGACACTCCCGCAGTATGACCAGCCCGCACTCCTTTGCAATCTTCAAGTGTCTCAATCGCCGGATCAGGCCCCCATGGCAGCAGCTGCGGGACACTGCTATTGCCTGATCATCCTAGAAAGATGTGGTATTAGTTGTCGAGTCGTGTTCGAGGTATCTGGCGCGTGAGCGCGTACGGTCTTTGACGTCTCTTGATTGAGACCGGTCTTATCAGTCGACATACGGATCGAGAGGATTTCAAAGTGAGCGATCTTGTAGTTTTGCAGCCTTTGTGAACTAGTCATTTTCTTCGGGCGGAATTGGTAAGAAATGATCGGCTGCATACCTAAGGTCGATCCACGTTTCGATTTGAATACCCGGAGCGCAGCAAAGAGCCTCATCGGGTTACCTAAGTGGAACGCACTTCAGCCTTGCAGGCTTACATACACATGCTCGGACCTGCTAGTATCAATGCACTTACCAGGATAGGGAATTATGTCGAATACGAGCTTGCCGAGCGGCCCCCAAGACCTCTCGTGGTCCTTAGTTTTACAATCCATTCATTGTACGGAGCGTTGAGGTTATGCTAGACGTTGCTCATCATGAAGCCAGCCTTGATTCAGCTCGCCGTCAGTAGCTAAGACCGGAGCAGGGCTCTTTTCAAGTTAGCAGAGTCAGAGACTGAGATGTGATAGTGGACACGACATGCCCAACCCAGCCCTATAAGTGCGCCATGGCACGTTTGGGGGTGGCCCTACACTTGGCTTTGTCGATCAAGAATGTCGCAGGACCTGCATGAAGACTGATTCCTGCCTCCAGGACCATCTATAAAAGGTAGGCAAATGGTACCTTCAAGACGTGGTTTCTCGACCAGAAAGGACAACTTGTTCAGAGACCAACAGTCACTTTTGTTACATTCGCTACGTTAGCATCATCACCATGGTTGCCATCAAGTTCCTCGCCAGCTGCTTCACTTTGGCAATTTACGGTGCCCACGCCTGTTCACTTGAAGCCCGTCAAGACAGCTCCGACTTCTTGCACCTCGGCAACGATGGCCCCGCAGACCAAGAGACCGTTGGATTCGCCATCAACCACCTATCCCTCATCGTGAAGAACCTCACCGCCAGCAAACACTTCTATGGCAAAGTACTCGGAATGCGCCACATCTTCACGGCAGACTTGACCCCGTTCTACAGCGTCGCCTACATGGGCCATGCGCAGGGCGGGCGGAACGGCAGCGGGTACCAAACAGGTGCAGAAATGCTCCGGGACAAGAACAACGCCGCAGGCCTCCTTGAGTTCCAGTACTTTGCCAACTCCGAGGACAAAGGCCTGACGGCGACTACTCAGCGGCCTAACACTCTCAGTCACATTGGACTTATCGTGCCGAACCTTGAGAAGGCCCAGGCGCGGATGAAAAAGTATGGTGTCAAGATCACCAAGGGCATTGGCCAAAGTGCTGAGGGGATCAAGTCGGTTGAGAATGCGTATGGTTTTGGGGAGTATGCCACCAAGAACCAGACCAAGCGTGATCTGCTCGTCAAAGGCCAGTCATTGATTGGGTTCGCTCAGTTTTTGACGGTGGAGGATCCGGATGGGAATTTGATCGAAATTCAGCAATTTGTGCCGCCGCCAGGTGTTGCGTGAGGGCGTGCATCCTTCTGAAATGCGCAGGCCTGAAGTTGAAGAGGGGAGAGGCTTTGACTGGAAGGACCATGGCCAAAGAAGTTCGAGGTTGCCAAAGAAAGATGGAAGTCGGGAGAAAGAAGGTCGAAGACATTCATGTTCTCGTGGTATCACCCCTTAATATTAGTGTAGCATATACACTCATACTAGATAGTACCTAAGGTAGACAAGGTACAGAGAATCGCAACAGCGACTCCTTCGAAGACTGGCCTTTCCCAAGAGTTTTCCTCAAGCAGGTGTCAGGATATCTAGAAGTCTTTGTAGCTCAGGGGAAGCCCAGTGTTAGCATAGGGCGGCAACAGCTTCGTCCCAAACGGGGTTCTACAGGGCTCATCTTAGCGCTTGGCGCCTCGTGAATCTGGCAGCAATCAGTGACATTTGATCGCTGACATGTCCCCCATCACCCCTGTTCATACAATCCATACAATCACAACCATACATGTAAGATCAGCAATTCCTTCCTTCGCTTATTTTGAGACATCTTGAACCTCAGACACGATCCTTGCTCCCTCATCGGGTCCTTGCGCTGGACGCTCCTTCCTAGTCGACTTTGCTCATCCGTGGAAACTCCATGTCCTCATTATAATCGCGCTCTTCCTTTCACATGGCATCGCCTCCCTACGGGGATCGCGTCCAACGGCCTTCTTCTGCCGCGCCGCCGACTTCTGGAGAAGACAACTTTCTGTTCATCAACCCACGCCGTAAATACAAACGTCGAGGTACTGGTTCCGTGTCCGAAAGCAAGAGCGAACGCTCAGACGATGAGGCAGGATCTTCCATGTCGGAATCAGAAGAACACGAACTTAGCGCGCTGGACTCGGATCCCGACTGGGATGGTGATGAAGAGACAGGTCGTAGCAAACACGAGAGGAAAGAATACCTGAAAAGAAAGAGACGGCGTCATGGCCTGGATTCCCGTATCGCAGGCACCGCAGTCATTTCCAAAGACGACGTCGAGGAAGCAGACAAGAGTGTTCTGCATCGACTTCTGATCAATGCCGGCCTCATTGGCTTGTGGTATTTCTTCTCTCTGGCCATATCCATTGTGAGTGTACTGTTCTGGGCTTGTAATTGCGTCGACTAAAGGGCACTGGCAGTACAACAAGATGATGTTCTCTTCAGACCACCTCGACTTCCACTTTCCGCTGTTTGCGACCTCTCTACACATGCTGGTGCAATTTTGTCTGGCATCCATCATCCTTCTCATCTTCCCATCTTTCCGACCATCCCTACCACAGCCACCAACGAGTCGAGGCGAATCTCATCCTCAAAACCCATTGGTGACGCCTTTATTCTATTTCACCCGACTTGTTCCAACGGGGACAACCACATCACTTGATATCGGCCTCGGAAATACCTCTCTTCGATACATAACCCTCACCTTCTACACCATGTGTAAATCTTCGGTCTTGATTTTTGTCCTAGCATTCGCATTCCTCTTCCGACTGGAGAAGATGTCCATGAAACTTATCCTCATTATTCTCGCCATGACAACTGGCGTCCTCATGATGGTTGCGGGTGAGACCGCATTCCACGCGCTTGGCTTCGCTTTGGCCATGTCCGCATCATTCTTCTCCGGGTTCAGGTGGGCGTTAACTCAGATCCTCCTCCTACGACATCCAGCAACCTCGAATCCTTTTGCAACGCTTTTCTTCCTGTCACCAATCATGTTTGTCTCATTGACAATCATCGCCTGTCTCTCCGAGACTCCTGCTGCTGTCATAACAGGAATCCACATGCTGGTGAGCACGCAAGGGCTCCTGAAGGCACTACTTCTGCTCTTCGTCCCTGGATGTCTAGCTTTCTGTATGATTGCTAGCGAGTTCACTCTGCTCCAGCGGACGAGTGTTGTCACACTCAGCATTTGTGGCATTTTCAAAGAAGTGGTCACCATCAGTGCTGCGGGAATAGTGTTCCATGACGAACTGTCGATGGTGAATATCAGTGGACTGATTGTCACAATCTGCAGTATCGCGAGCTACAACTATCTGAAAATCAAAAAGATGAGAGATGAAGCACGTACCAAGCTGCGGAAAAGGGATGATGACCAGGAAGATGAAGCGCCTTTCGACGATGAAGATGTCTCCATCGACCCTTTAGGTAACACGGAGGCAACGGATGCCGATTCTGTACCGCTTATGCAGAGTCAGGAGGGCAGACAAGGCGCATCGGTCGGTGCTTCAGGATCCAGATGAAATTTGTGAGCGAATGGCGGTTGTGGAAATCAAACAAAGAGCCTGGGAGAGATGGAGTAGTTCTTGCAACGATGCACTGCGCTCGGCGTTGATCAGCAGGCGGCCCGATAGAAACACTCGATTGCCCTTGAGAAGATGTACAGAATAGAAGCTTCACCGCTGGCCGCTTCGGCCACAATGTCTCCCTTGCGTAGCAAGGCTGGTAGATCAGGGAATGTGATTATCATTTGCGATTTCGACCATCGTTCTAAGGAACCCGGCGCAACAGCAGTTGCTCCAGAATCTCAGCGTCCACTTGGTGGCATTCGACGACAGACAGCAGCAAGCACAATTTGTGTAGCAGGAGGGCCTCCTGTACAATGTGAGGCGCAACTGCTTGACGCTATGGTGCCATTCGACAACAAACAACAACAACGGCAGTTTTTGTGGCAGGAGGGCCTCCTGTTGAATGCGAGGTCTGACTGCTGCTTCGACGATTCAAGCGGCAGCTGTTTTGCACCCCGGTCAACCGATTCATTACACGATTTACCTATGAGATCGTAGTATCTAGGCAACATGAGCAAACTCCTCTGGGACCAATTTTCTTCGTCTTAACTCTCGATATGATGGATCCGCTTTGGTTGTCAATGAACTCGGCGATTGGTTGCTCTCTCCATCGTCTGTTCAGGATACTGGTGCAGAACAGCCAATGCCATCTTACCACCAATCATCCAACTTGGTCCCTACTAGTACTTTGTTGGTTGAACCACTCTCATCAGCCGGCTTTCTGATGTCGCAGGGCCAGAAGGCCGGGGAAAGTGACTTGAGCCTCCACATACATTGGAGGCAATGGTTGGCCTTTCCTGACAATGAAAACACAACGAGTCAGTAGGCGTTTGGCAGCTTCAAGGATAGCAGGCTCGAGATTGACAATTTGGTTGACTTGGGCCTCGGGGAGTACCAAAGACCGACTCTCGAACCAAGTCATGACACTTTTCATCTGTGCGATGTCATTCTCTGAAAGCTTGGAGTTGGTCAGGATCTTTTTGCGAAGAGACGCCAGATCACCCCGTGCATTGAGCAACGTCTCTTCGGTGGCTTGGCTAAGCAGCAGCGAGGAATATTTGTGGCTCGCCTGAGACGCGGCAGAAGTGGCCACTCTAGTCGAGGCATCCGTCAACTGGCAGACGGTGGACATGAATTCCCATGATGGGTATTCTTCCTGTTCTAGGAAGATCAACGTCTCACTTTCTGTCCGAGAAGCATAATCGAAGACCAGATTCGCGGTGTAAGGACTATCGAACAATTCGTGACAAAATGGCCCGTAAAGCCAGGGTTTCTCGATGATGCGGTCTCGCGCACTTAGGAGCTCATCTCGGGCTTCTTTCCGAGTGACTTTCAAGGTGGTCAAGAAGCTCTCTATACTATCTCTGTCACTGGCTTCATCGAATAGATCGGCGAACTTGTAGAGCGGTGATCGGAAAATCGCCTCGGGAAGGAACTGTGCCAGCTGGCTTAAAGATGCAACCAGGTCGAGGGCCGCTTGCTCTGCTGCCGAGGAGCGAGCCATATCTTGATGAGTGCCGCTTGCGTGCAGACGATCCCAAAGCTGTACCAGGTGTTTCACAGTCACATCTCGGTGACGAGGATCGAGGAGCATCCTGAGGTACTTGCCATAGTCCATGCTAACGGAGTCCTCGTCATAGTAGATAATTTGGTCCTCATTTTCGGGATTGGAAAAGTAGTCGTCCAGTTGCGCGATGTGTCCTTCATGAATGGATTCAAAGATGTACCCTTCCCTCCTTGTATCACGGTAGGATTGTAGCTTCCGTCGAGAGTTTTTCAGGGACAGGGGAAGTATTGGGAACACATGCCTCATGTACGTGGTGTTGATCTGGTCGCGTTCGCCTTGGAAAAGCACCTCTTCCACGAAGACTGTTGAGTTACTGATCGTATTGGCCGGCACAGCCATGCCGTCCGCAAAGAGCAGAGATCGATGTAGTATGGCTCGCATGTAATTCTGAGGGGGAACTCCGAATCGATTCATCTTCGAGTTGACATTGTCCATCGAAGGGCTGAAAGCCAGCAACCGTTTCGTATGGATTGCAGGCTCCCGTACGATCCCTTGCCCCTCGCTTGATCGGCTCTCGTGTCGCAACATGACCCGCAGGATGTTCTCGAGCAAGCCATAGCTCTCGTAGTCACCCACAACCCAAGCCACACCGCTTGAGGTTTCGAATGCCGTTCGGGCTGGATCGGGATGCCCTGCTAGCAGCATCACCAGTCCACTGAGTGCACTCAAAACCCACGTCTGAGCGTGGAGCTGAGGTGGCTCGTTAAGAAAGGCCGCAGTCTCGAGATCCCTGCTGATCGTCCTGAGGTCAACTAGATGGTGATCAAGTTCCTTGCAGATTTGCCGCTTGACGTCCATGTCGAGCTCGTCCTTGTTTGTGAGGAGTGAGTCCACCAGTGCCCAGACCTGAGAACAGCTTCTAGCAGGGACATGCTGCGAGTTTGTTAGTACTCTTATCGAGGACCCAGTAGTCGAAGCTTACCTGCTGCAGCTGCTTCTTCAGATCCATTTCTTCCAAAATTGTGTTCCAATCTTGCCTCGGCGAAAGCCCTTGGTTCAATGCTTGCAAAAACTCGGGATTGGCTTTGCGACCGCTCTTCTCTTCGAAAAGGGCTACAATATCTATCATTAGGAGCTTGCACCAGGACTGTCCAAGGCCTTCTGTCCATCTCGCTATTTTCTGCTCGAAACGCGGAAATCTGTCCTTTCCCGAGGTCTTATCCCCAAGGAAAGCTCCATGCAGGAGATAAAGTCCGAGCGGCGAGTTTTCTGCTTGATTCAGTTTTTCCGTAAGCCTGGGCACTGAGGACTCAAATGCGCCGCCAGGGTAGGCCATCCACACAATGGATGCCTTTTTCTTGTTCGATAAGAAACGTAAATAATCAAGGTTGTCGTTCATATCGCTACCGCTGAACCCTGCGACCACCCAAGTTGTCCTGCTCAATAGTGTGTCAAGGACATCCGTGGCGAAGGAAGGGAGGCCTTGGGCCCGTTGTAACCGTGTGTCGATGCAACTCGGAGGATCGTAGCACGAGCCGTGCAGCTTGAAAAGAAAAGTCACTCTGCCGTTGCCCAATTGCGGCATCAGGGTTCGCACGAATGCGAACGACTTCGCTCCATTCACAATCAAGACCAATCTTTTGGTCGAAGACACCAGGGGTAGCCGAGCAGAAATCTCGGTGCCATCCAGGTGCGGATCTCCTGTGATCTTGTAATGATTGGAGGGAAGTGTTCGAAGAGCCTCCTCCAGATAGTCGTCGAAATTAGTAGTCACGACCGCGGCCACCTCGCCCGACGAGAGACATCTGGCAGTCCACCGGTGAATCTCATTGGTAGCCACCGATCCATCCTCCAACATTTCTGCTTTGAAAGCATCCAATACTTGCAAATATTCCTGTCCCAGGCGCCGCGAAATGACGTCCGTGACTAGATAGTTTGGTACCATCGATTTTGCAGATTGCAGATAGGCTTGAAGTCCTTCGGACACTGTTCAAAGTTTAGCAGAAGTTGCCGCCTTCGGTCAGAGCTGGAGGCCTACCAGTGCTAGCCACTTCGTTGGTGGCAACAGCCAAAGCCGATGTCCAGAGCAATTCCACAAAATTGTTCCACATCGGTAGCTGTGTTGGCGTGAAAGTCGAGACTGCGGGCCCCAGGAACAGAGTCACCCTGCCTTTGGATCTGCGGGTCAAGTCTTCCATTCGCGCTATAACCTGGTCTAGGTTGCGTGGATCGCCGGGTGGGTCAGAGGGGAAAGTCATGACCCGTGCCGCTGCCGCTGCGTGGAGAAAGCTTTGCCGATCCATCCTCGCCGTCATGCGGCTCGAGTGGTGTGAGTAGTGTAAGGCCGATGATGGCAAAAGTGGGATCTTCGCAGGTGACGGTCCTGAAGGTCGATGGGCAACTCAGAGTATCAGGAGGCAGATCAAATGTTTGCGATGTTCCTGTCATGATGGAAAAAGGCGGGCTCCATATCAGCCCCGTCGTCTTCGTTATCACACTGGGCAGCTGAAACCACCGCGGTAATGCAGATACTGGTGGCATCCAGACTTGAACATTAGGAGTAATAAACATCGCTCGTGGAAAAGGCTTCAAGGCTTGCGCTAGCGTATTGTATGCTTGGCCTGGCCGGATTGCTGTCGCAGTGGCTTTGGGAGAACATTGAACATTGGATGCTTTCCCGAGCTGAAACACTTCCAAGAGTTCTGTGTAATACAGAACAGAAGTGAGCTTCAACAAAAAGCTGACCTGGCACATGTACTCGGACCGGTTGGTGAGCTACAGTGACGAGGGGCGGACTGGCATGCATTAGCTCAACCCAACTACGCGTAGTGTGCCGACGCTTCGGCACCACACGCCTACCCGGTGCTTGCCAGAGTGCCAGAGTACATAGTACCGTACTACGGAGGAGTAAGGCTGATTTTCTGGGACCCCTACCGCCTGGTGACAGGAGGCGATCACCATTGGGAATTGGTTGGCTTAGACTGGGGCACCGGGGTTGGCGATGCAGCCATCATCAGCCTCCCGGAAATGCCAACTGCCAGCTCGCCTAGAGCGTCGGCCACAATCGTAACACAGCAACCACTCAAACGAGCACGAGCACGAGGTTTCGCTTGATAAGCTAGCGAAACGAAATTCTAGTGGTCATCTTCTCTCACCTTGTGGTCTCTCGACGAGATGTTTGCCCACGACAACATTCTTTCAGCCTTCGACGATCTTGTCGCCAGGAACATCGTTCTCTACGGCCCAGAGACTGTCATCAATCTCGTTGACGAAGGTTTTCAGGTGAGTACAACTCAGCCCCCCTCTTGCAGCTCTCAGAGAGTACTTTTATTGAGACTGAGAAGTTTGAATTTTGCATCTGCCCAGCATTAGCTTCCAAGCCATCCACCACCAATGCCTCAACCGAAGATGGACTTGAGCAGTTGCCAAAATTCGGGCCGGGTAGCGACCTCGTGGACGCCGACCCCCTGCTTAAAGTCGCAGAAGTCTCCAGCACACATCTGCTGGTGCTGAACCGCTTTTGTGTCTTTCGCCCGCAATTTCTCATCCTCACGCGGGACTCCTTTAAGCGACAGACGGAAATTTTGGACGTGCACGACTTTTCGGCGGCTTGGACAGTCCTGCAGAACCTAGAGCAAGATTATTTTGTCATGTTCAACTGTGGAAACGAGGCAGGCTGTAGCCGGCTGCATAAGCATATGCAAGTCATACCTTGTTCGGGAGGGTTCACCTTGTTTCCGGACAGAGACACCAAGAAGGAAAAAGTGCCTTTCAGACACTTCTTGAGGCGAATACCAAATGGGGGACCGCGATCGACGGAGGGAGGGTCGATTCCGCTTGTTGGGGTCTACCAGGAGCTCCTTGAAGACGCCTTTTCCGGAAAGAAACGCTCAAAAAATGATGGGGTTCAATACTACCCGCACAACGTCGTGCTAACGACGAGGTGGCTCATGGTCATCCCTCGCAGGAAAGCAACCTTCCATGGGGCCAGCGCAAATGCTGCCGGTATGATGGGCATGATTTGGGTCACCAGCGACCATGAGTTACAGTGCTGGAAAGACCAAGGGCTGTCAAATGTGCTTGGCGAATTGGGTACCCGCTTGAGATCATCGGATAGGCTATAGGCAGACGTCGCTGTCTACAACGTACTGTAGCTTATTTCAACGATCCATCTCTCGTCAGGTTCTCGTACAATGCCCAGGCAGCGAGGGTTTTGGCGTCCCTCGCTCCTTCTCTCCACAAGTCCTCATATTTGACCAGCTTGACCTCGATTTTCTCTCGGTCTTTGGCGTTCCCCGTCAGCTTGCCTTCGAGTTCCTTTATCTCCCTCAAAGACATCCTCCTTTCCCACAGGAAGAGTGCAATGAACTCGTCGCAGCCTCCAGGGCTCGGGTACATGGCTTTTTTCAGGTGCGGTTCCACATTCTTGGAGTTCTTCAAGGCCAGCTCCGTCATGTCCATAAGCTCGTGCTTTGGGACCTTAATGCCTGTCTCCTCTCGGATTTCGGTGGCAGCTGCACCCACGAAAGTGCCCTCCTCGTCAATCATTCCCGCCGGAATCTCGAAGAATCGAAGACTTCCCGCCGGGATGCGCGGCTGTTGTGTCATTATCACCCAGCGATCAGTGCTGTCTCCTAGCGGCCGAAGTATCATAAGGATGGCTACACTGCCGCCTCGGAGAAAGACGATTCCGGGCAAAGGCCTCGAGTCTGCGTCATTCTGGACAATGGTCTCCATCAGGACGAACCCTATGCGACTACCGAAGTATTCCACCGCATGCACATCGATCTGGCGCAGGGTATAACGCTCCTCCATTTTGTGGAAAGGATGATGTTGTGTGGACTGCAATGACAAGGATTTTTGCAAAGTTTCAAGCCAATTCTTGAAGGGAATGAAGGACAGTAACTGTTCGCGTGTGACATTCGCCGGTATTCTGACTTGCACTCTAGGGTAAGGCTTTGGGAGCTCAAATGCCGACATGATGAAGCGAGGGTTGTGCTGGCTCGAGTGTGTCAGGGCATCTGGACACTTGCGCTGAGCAGGCAGAACTCCAAGTACTTATAGTCTGTGAATCACATTTTCGAACTTGCTCGCTACCAAAGTGCCAGGTGCAAGCACCGCGGTGCTGATATAGTACTCGAGGGCAAGCATGTGAAGGCTGATGGGCCAGAATTTGTCGGTTGCACGCGAAGGAACTTTGGATGCAATACGCCAGACCTAGCCCGCTCCCCGGCCACAGGGGGTCTGCCGAATCCCTGGCACACTACCTGAGATTATGAAACGTCCTGAGGTACTATAGGTGGAAGCTGAAGAAGGCGCAACCACCTCCGGGGGCTTGGAGCACCGGGCGGAGTGATAGGTGCAGGAGAGCGCCTAGTGAGCCCTCGAGGCGCCGTCTGCTTCGGCAAGGCCAGCAGGGGTGTTTGCGGCTGAGCTCACCCCACTGAACTCGGTTCGCATACTAAAGAGCTGGAGAGCACTGCCCCCGTCTTCGACCTCAGAGCTTCCCTAACTGCCTCCAAGAACATCAAAGCTGGGAGAAATGGTCTGCAAAGTCTGCGAGGATATGCTCTCTGGCCACAAGGGCCGTCGAGACTCCGCGGTGTCACAGTTGCAGCTAAGCTTTTGGCACCATGACAAGGAAGACCATGTCAGAGCCTCGGCAAAGGAATCTGAATGCTATCTATGTCGCGTCATTTACGATAGACTAAAGGCATTGGGTTTGAAAACGCCCAGTCGCAAAGAGAAGGCCATTACCCAAAGCCAATTTCTATCGGCTTCTTTACGCTCCATCCCACGGCGGCCACGCACCTACCGACTTAGCTTTCAGATTACAGAGACTCGCCAATCTATTGCCAACTTTGTCTTACAAGAGAATGGTGGGCTCTTCTTGCTAACACTACCTTCCCTCGTCCTGCAACATACGGGCACTGACTCCTCAAGAAGCTAGTGACTTCGACCACCTATCCGAGGCTCCCATCAGTGCTCATACATCTGACCCGCCGGTCATCAAGATGGCTCGTGAATGGATTGAGCAATGTGCTGCTCAGCACCCCGGATGTGTACAGCAATCTTCCGCCAAATTACCATGGTATCCGACGCGTCTGATCGACGTACGCTTTATGCGTGATTCTCAGAATAAGACAAAAGCCGTTCGGCTTGTATCATCGAAGATAGGCGAGAAGAAGATTGCCGATCCTCAATTTGAAGGCCGCTATGTCACACTAAGTCATCGTTGGGGAAACAAGCCTTTCACCAAGCTCACGGAAGACAAACTGCCGGAGTTCCAGGAGGCAATACTGGTGAGAGATTTGCCTTGTACATTTCAAGATGCAATCCGGTTCGCGTGCGAGTTGAAAGAGGTCCGGTGGATCTGGATAGACGCCTTGTGCATCTTGCAAGATAGCGACAAGGATTGGCTCTACGAATCCTCTGTGATGGACCAGGTCTATACACACTCCTTCTGCAACATATCAGCCACTGCGGCCATGGACAACTCCGAAGGCCTCTTTCGATCGCGAGATCAGAAGAGGAAATGGGTGGACACTGTTTACGTGAAGACGGAAGACCTCAGCGTCACTTCGCAGCCGACGGTCGAGTGCACTATATCTGACCTTGAATTCTGGGACGAGAAGGTGGAAAACGCTCCTGCCAATAAGCGCTCGTGGGTGCTACAGGAGCGGCTATTAGCACCTCGGGTGATCCACTGGTGCAATGATCAAATCGCATTTGAATGCCGGGAGATGGACCGAGCAGAATGCCGTCCTGGAGATCTTCCTCATTTTCAAATGCGCGGAGGTGAGCTGATAGACCAAGCACGTCTCAAAGGCATCAGTGTACAAGTTGGCAGATCTTTAATGGAGACAAGACTCGCCAATGAGTATGGATTGGGAAGCTGGCAAGGCTCAGTCGAAATGGACGAATTGGATCCGAAGTTCTTTCTGTACGAGATTTGGAAGCGCGTCGTCGAGCAGTATACGAGAATGGAGCTTACCGAAAAGAGAGACCGACTCATCGCACTATCGGGGATCGCCAGGATGATGAAGTCGACCTTAGACGCACAGCGCTCTGATGACACCTATCTAGCAGGTCTGTGGCAGAATTATCTGGCTAGCCAACTCCTGTGGCACGTCAACGACCTCGACAACGTCCAGTCTCAACCTTTTGAGAACACCAGACCGGCGGAAAAGCGGGCTCCAACATTTTCCTGGGCCTCGGTCGAGACAGAACGTGGTGTAACGTTTCCAGAGACCACAGACAAAGGTCTCCTCATTCAGGTACAGGTCGTGCGTCTGACCTACCGCACACCGGACGATAAGTTTGGTCTAGTGACCGACGGGTATTTGGTTGTGAAGGGAGTATTGCGAAAGGTCCAACTGGTGGACCGTGCAAATGATACAGCACGTTCTGAATCTTGCTCTTTTCTTGGTTACAAGGTCGATGTAAGTGACTTAGCAACATCACTGCACAGCGTTACATGCTTACCAGAATGCGCAGTGGCATGCTTTTAGCATTGTCTCGCTTGCTCCAGCACTCTTCCTCGCAACCACAGTTTTGCTCAGCATGTTGTTCTGGAAATTACTGAGCGGCCAAAGGCTTCCGTGGATAACGTTTGTCTTGGCCAGCTGCGTGATCGCAATGGTGTTGCGTTTTGGAACTTCGAAGACTCCCACACGAAAGCCTGACAATACTAAGCTAATGGACGTAACCAATCGATATTTTTGGCGACTGGTGAAAAACGGTGTTCCCTCCAGCAAGCTGAACGAGATTGTTTATCTGGACAGCCCTGCAAGCGCTCCGTCTGTATTCGATGCAGATAGCCAGGTGTTTTGCCTTCCCGCGCTGCAAGACGAAAGGCACTTGTGGTGCCTTCTTCTCCAAGCCACGGATGGAGACCATGGCATTCGGTACCAAAGAGTGGGTATCACGAAAATCCTCAATATCTGGGAAGACGAAGTCAACGAGATCAAGGAGCCTCCGGGGGACAATCAGAATCCGCTAGGCGAATACTATTGGGGCTCAGAGGGCCGTGTTCGAAATGAGAGCACGATTTGCATTATATGAAGTCTGTTTTCGGGAAGACACTGTACAGCACTTGGAGGATTCTACATGAATCATGTCCTTTCCCATGTTGATCACATGGTTGTACCTTTCCGTGAGAAACTCGTTACGTAGTAACGTTATCTCAATTTCTAAGATGCATCTCTGGGTGAAATGACTTGGCTTGAATATGTAAGCGACATGAACACTGCCCAATATTGGCCTGAAGCCGGTGACAAATTGATGCTGTGCCGCCATCTCCCAACTACATATTCCCAGCTAGGTGAAAGCTGGCCAAATAGCATAGATGAATCAACTTGACCTAGACCGCTACTCGCGCTACAGTGCCGTCAACACCAAGACAGCTATATCAATACTCAGCCTCGCGTAGCCTCGTCGGAACTGGGCCAATGCAGCGCAAATGGCACTGGTACGGGTGAAATCCGTCTCAATCACTGGGACTCCCGGATGTTCGGAAACATGGCTTCTGATACTGCCAGATTGTGTATATATCTAGCCAGGTGCTGAAACTTGGGCATGAGAGGCAGACAAGAGACAGAACCACAGAGAGCCACACGATCTCAAACCCCAGATATCTCAAAGTTCCATTTGCATACTGCCCGTTCTATCCCCCGTACGACCAGATGAACTGTGTTTTGCGTTCATAAGATCCATGATAGTCACAGAATTGGTGAGCAAGTGATTCATAATGCAAGCTCTTCATTCATAAACGAACCTGGACCCTTCGCCTTCGGCCCTTCCAACACTCACTCACACAGACTGTGCCTCTTGTTGAAACATTACTCATGCGTAAAAGCCACTGGTCGTATTTCATTGCGGCATGTCACACGTGATATAGTATTGCATACTCAGCTCGACGCTTGCCGATATGCCCAGGCAAATTTAGCTATTGGGACGTTGCAAGGAAACTCAGCACCATTCTGGCTCAACTAATCCATGGAGAGACTGACCATAGTATGGTCCTGGGTTAAGTTGTATTTTGGACGAGATAGATCGATCGATCGTGGCCATGGCTTTCCTGTTCAGACGAGACATAAGCGAGGGTGTCTTTCTTCAGTACCACGTCTGTCTGCCCTCTTACTACAGAGCCCAGGACCTGTCGTTCATTCAATCTCCAGCAATTTCAACGCAGTGTCGATCACCGTCTCCCTCAGCGACCTGTAGATCCCCTTTCCAAACACGGCCCTAGCTTCCGCATCGTCCACCTTGACCGGATGCTCAGTGTCCTGCTCCTTGTTGGCGACAATACTCGCAGCCTGCACTGAGGCCCATCGCTTCATCTCCGGAAATCTCTGACCAAGGATCTCTAGAACATCCTTAGCGAAGAAAGGTTCTGGGCTCGCCATGATGATTCGTCTATTCTTCTCGGTGCCTTTGGTTAGAGACTGGACATGCAGGGCTGCGCAATCGCGAACGTCGATGTATGCAGTGTACAATGGCTGCCCGGGACTAGCTTCTGAGCCAGTGACTGGCTTGAGGAACGTGTTGTAGAATAGATCGGATGTCAGGTTTGTGCGGCCCTTGCTGAAGGCGTGCTGGTCGAGACGTTGGAGAGGGGGGCCGATGATCAGTGGCCTGCACAAGTCGAACAACATTCAGCCGTCAATACCACACACAGGGGTGGTAAGCAGCGAAAAGAGAGGTGGCAACTCACACTGAAAGCACACACACCGTAAACGCTGGCTTCTCGGTCTCAACAAAATTCCAAAGCGCCTTCTCCGCCAGGGTCTTCGAGATAATGTAGCTCGCTCCCGGATGTTGCATCTTACGGGCAACGTCTGGATCGACCTGCGCTCAAGGGACAATCACTGATCAGCCATCGGTGCCGCTTTTCTACAGCCATTCTTCCACGTCGCAGCGTCCGCCATTGGATAACATACCGCGTTCCAATCCTTGCTCGTCAACACTTTTCCGTCATACGGCTCCATTGGGCTCTGAACGGTGACAACACTGCCAGTAAAAGTCAAATGCTTCAAAGTCTTCAGATACTTCTGTGCCGCCCGGAGAAGCTCCAAATTGCTATTTTGAATAAGCCACATACAATATCTTTCGCTGCTTTCAGGACACTCGTGTAACTCACCCTTGGACAGCAGGACCGAGAAAATCTCTGTCAAAATCTGTTCCCGCCCCATCAGGAACAGGCGCCGCCGTGTGAATGATGTAGTCGAACTGGGTCTCTTGGAAGATCTTGTCATAGGCACCGGCTTTCGACATGTCAGGGACAGCAACCAGTTTGACATTCTTGGAAGCGAACTCCGGATGGGCAGAGAAGACATCGTCGGCTTTGACCTGGGATCTTACTGTCCCTACGACATCGAAAGAGCCCTGTTACTGTTCAGAGTAGCTCTTGAGGCCTGGCAAGGGAGGAAAGAGCGGTGCAGTGCACGTCGACTTACCTCGACAAGGTCTTTGAGGATGTGCGTGGCCAGAAAGCCATTGGCGCCGGTGAGTAGAACTTTAGGCATAGCGATGCGTGATCTTCTTCGCGCTTCAAATGGTAGACTGAAGCCTTGTGTACGAGACGGTTCGTCGCATGGCGAGAGCCTTATATAGTCGGTAGTGTTGTCCTGAGCACGGCCTCTCTCCGGTGTCTCCACTCTCGCTGCCCAGTACTATTGCCCGAATCGTCCAGTGCCGGCATAGCTTAGGTAACATACCAGAGTGCAGCATGTCTTCTCTGGATCTATACAATTATACACAACCGAAACTGGAGGGTATCTTATCAATCATGGAGCTCAATTTCTAAATGGCTCCACCGACAAAGACGATTAGTGAACATGCATCCAGCGCGACTCGGCCGATAGATACAAGTACCGTACCCAGGCAACCGCCTAGTTGCGTAACGAAAGAGACGTTCATGTGGACCTGATGGCCTCCTGCACAATGATTGCCATGTTTTGAGCTTGAGAGGATAATCTATTCCATGGAAGCGAAAGAGTTCGTTCGGCAGTCCTTCTCCTGCCAAGATTCAGCCTTGCACGTGCCTTCCCAGCACACCTCGCGGTTCCTCGAACGTGGTCGAGTTTCTGGATGTACAGTATCACACCACCATACGCAACTTCAATTTATCTTGCTTGACAATTTCATCTTTCTTCGCTAGCAATTCATCAACATCCCAGGTCGCACTTACGTATCGCCCATTCAGCCATGCTCTTTGCCCTTTGGTAAGCCACACCGCGAAACCAGCACAGAGCTCCGGGGTATCTATCATTGCTATTATCAGTGTCAGCTTGTCATTCGAAGACGTTGCCATCAAGTTTGGAAGAAACTCACCAGCCTCCACGAGCGGACCTAGATCCTTCGCGATCCCCGTCGGAACACCACCCGGATGTAGAGACAAGCAGTTGACTCCCTGCCCTTCATACTCTGACACGACAAATTCGGAAAGTCTGATGAGTGCAAACTTGGAAGCATGGTATGCTGAGCCGCCTGGCATGGCGAAATGAGCTGCAATTGTGGTTGTGTTGATGACGTCTACCGTAACACCTTGAGTCTTCGCTGTATCCACCAGCAAGGGAAGAAACGACTTCAACATCAGGTATGTGCCCTTGATATGCAGGTCCCAAGTCTTGAACCACATGTCGGTGTCGCCATCTGCGATTGGTGCCCATTTGTTGGTCATGCCTGCATTGTTGATCAGGACATCAAGCCTGCCTTCCTCCTGTCTGACTGTTTCGGCCATCGAGACGACTGAGCTCTCGGCAGTAACATCGACGGCCTGTTTACTGACTCTGACGTGCGGATTGATCTTTTTGATGCTCTGCTCTACCTCATCCAGTTCGGAAGCACTCCGTGCGCAGACGACAATGCAGGCAACACCACTCTCGGCGTATCGTAATGCGACGGACCGGCCAATGCCGCGACCGGATCCAGTAATTAGCACTACCTTTCCTGGTTGAGAGAGGTCGGACTTGGTAGGGTCGATAGCGGGATATATATCATTGTGAATGGTTTGAGTGAAGTTGTAGCCGGAATGTGGTGGGTATTCCATGACTGTTTTGGTAACGATCGAGCAGATGCTTGTTCTGATTGTTTCGGACACGACTAAGAGAGTATTGTGTTTCGAGACTCGAATGTCCCAGGAAGAAAGCCTTCCATGGCCCCATATATATACCCATGATGAAGATCGCTTCAAGCAATGAGGCTAGACTCTGTCCCGCTTGAGTCTTCTTTCATGGCGAGATGGCCCTGAATCAACCGACAAGTGTGAGCCACAGTTACCTGCGAGATGCCGTGTGCTTCGCCGTAATAATTGGTTCACCTCAGCCAAGCCATGATGTTTCTTACTTGCACTGGAGGCTGATTCGGCTAATAAGCCAACTGTTGGCTCACCCCGGTACTCACCCACTCACCGCTCACCTCGTCACCTAAGCCAACAGTACGGATCTACAAATTTCCTTCATGAGCCGAAAAGAGGCTATGAGAAGCGCACAGATTTTCGCCCTTCGATCAGAAGACCATCTCGGAACCTGCAAAGAGACTCCTCCGTGTAGGTAACCATTTGTCGGCCATCGCCAGCGTGGTTAAAAACGGATTGTCGACCATTTTGAAACACCCTTCAAGAATCGGCACCTTTCTACGGGAGTACAGTACAGCGAGCACATGACCCGGCAGGTGTATCTACTGGAAGCCCGAAACCCAGGCCTGGTGCTAAGGTATTCTCAGAGACGACAAACCTATGGCTTGCCCTTCGCGGTCAGCTGGGTGCCAGCATACAAAAGTCCTGCAAGCCGGGCCAACTCGTCTCAAGGTCTTGAATCGGTGGACCATTGCTTGCTCAAATCGGAGACGTTTGAAGCTCGAGTCCCAAAGAGCATTCGTCCAGTGTTAGTATTTCCTTTATTCTCTAAAGTCCTCTAGTTCGATGCAGCATCAGTTCCCCGGACAAAAGTCTAACAATCCTCGGCATGTCGACTGCCCATCGAGTCAGTCCTGATTTGCAATCCAACGGCTTTTTCGGGAACTGACCCTTCGGTCGACCCCGCTAATGCAAAAGGTCGCTTCAGCGGAATGTTTACCCCATACATCCCCCATACTAACTCGGCAATCTTTGTGGACGACGAGCGGGGTCTAGCTTGAGTCAGAAACACCTGACATCGAACAACCGCGGCGACGATTGACGTAGTAGTACTTAAGCGGGCCACTGGCAATCTGTACCAAATGCAACTTGAAACACAAAGAAGCCCACGCCCAACATGCATCGCGAAGGCATCAAGAGAAACAAGATCAATCCCTACAACATCCTCATCCTGTGCTTCCTAGGCCTCGGGTCCATGACCTATGGATACACAGCTAGTATCATAGGTACAACCCTAGGTCAACCCTCGTTCATCGAGTACTTTGACCTAGCCACCAGGAACAATGGCACCGACCTGATTTCCACCATGAACGGCCTCTTCCAGACCGGCGGCGTTATTGGCACCTTGATTCTTCCCTACATCTCCGATCGCTGGGGCCGGAAATGGGGCATCGCCGCTGTGAGTGTACCAATGTCAGTATTCTCTTGCGTCTAACCACCCAGCCTGCAGTCGGCGATCCTCTGCGTAATATCCGGCGCCTTTCTTGCCGGAAGTACCAACATTGGCGAGTTCATCTTCTTCCGGTTCATTGCAGGTGCCGGCGCATTCATGATTCTTGCCGCCGTACCCGTGAGGATATTGTCCTGTCCTGTGTCTCTGCGTGCAATATTCTCACATCAATCAGATCTGGATGAACGAAGTCGTACCGGTAGACCTTCGAGGCGGTCTCGTCGACATCCACGCTGTCTGCCTCCTGTTTGGTTATACAGTTCAGGGCTGGGTTGGCTTTGGCTTTTATTTCTGGGATGGAGGCAGCAAGACATGGCGTCCACCTCTGGCCCTTCAATGTGCTTGGCCCTTGATGCTCCTTGCCGGTTTGTATTGGATCCCCGAGTCTCCGCGCTGGCTGGTGATGAAAGACCGCCATGAGGAAGCCAAGGAGATTCTCAAGAAGCTTCACTCGTCACCAGGCGACCCGGATGATACTTTTGCCAGTACCGAGTACTATCAAATCAACAAGCAGATCGCAATCGATCGAACACTGGGAAGCTCGTGGATGCATATGATTCGGAAGCCTTCGTACCGCAAGAGGTGCCTCCTTGCTCTGGGTACAACGGGTATTGTCCAATGCTCGGGAGTTTTGGTTATCAACAGTAAGAATCCTGTGGTCTCTTCATCCAGATTAGTCCAGTCCATCCCTGACACAGTGTCCAGATTATGGCCCAACTCTCTACGCCACCCTGGGCTTCAGTCAAGTCAAGCAGCTCCTGTATCCTGCTGCATGGCTGACGTTTGCACTTGGTCTAAATGCTATGGCCATTTTCCTTGTCGACTTGTTCCCCCGAAACAAATACATCGCTTTTGGGGTCCTGGGATGTATGGCCACGCTGATCGTAGAAGCCGCCCTCGTGGCCAACTTTGTACCGTCGGACAATGAGAGTGCCCTGCAAGCTGCAGTTGCAATGTTCTTTGTCTTCCAGGTGGGTGATTTACGCATCCTTGAAATGGCGAGAACAAAATCATTGCTGACTGACTTCCGCCGTCTAGGTCTTCTACGGCTTATGTCTGGATGGGACACAATTTTCCTACCTGGGAGAAATCTTTCCGACCCACCTTCGCGCCAAAGGAGTCTCACTGGGCGTTGCGATGATCTCCCTGATGAACATTGTCTGGTTGCAGTCGGCGCCCACGGCATTCGCGTAAGGCCCATCCCGTGATGCTCACTCCGGCGCTTTTTGCGTATCTCTGACACAGTAATAGCAACATTGGATGGAAGTTCTACCTCGCATTCATCATTCCAGGCAGTATCGGCGGAGTTGTGATCTGGATCTTTTTCCCGGATACTCGAGGTATGCCACTCGAAGAGGTTGCCGCAATCTTCGGCGACGCAGACGAAGTGGCTGTCTATCAACGCGAGATCGAGATCGACGAGACCACGCATACAGTGATCAGTCACCGTGCTGAGCCTGAAAAGCCAGAGGCTACCAAAGCCATCGAGACGGTCTGAATGAATGCTTGGGCGTGAATGGGTCGGGTGTTTAGTGAGAAGCGTACAATGGATACTTTTGCATGATAGCTTGGACGGGCCCATTCAACGGCAAGAAGAGTGTCAACCAATGTAGCTCGATAGCTCTCGTCGACGTGGCAAATGCCTAATTGTTCTCCATCCGTGACCTGTGAGCGATCATGGACAAGGATTGTTGGCCTGTGAATATCCATCCACGTGAGGCGATGTCTTTGACTGCATAATTTTTTCCGTCCTGCATCTCATCACCGTCATGCCCGTTCTCTAACTTTGTGAGTGGTTCCTGAAAAAGAAGCCAGGTGTGTCGCAGCTACCTGGCTTGCTGGCTCGCTGGTAGTGTCGAGGAGTTTACCGGAACAAGATTTCGCCGGTCCGTGCCGCTTTCCTCCATCAGGGTGAGGGATTGCTTGTGTTGTAAGGTTCTGCTGTTTCACCAAAATACCCAAACGCTCCGTACACGGAAAGCACAATTACGGCTTTAGGAAATAAACATAAAGGAACAATAGTATAACCGATCCGTTCCGTCAGCCTCGGCTTTTCTCCATCGGGACATTTTGCGCTGGTATTGTCCTAAGGTTTGTTGGTGCATCGAAATCCTCAAATCTTCCGTAAAGGGCAAGGGCAATTACGGCTTTGGGAAATAAAATAAAAGCGTCGGGACAAGCGACAGCCACAGTCTACCTGGGTCTGTGTTACTGGGTGAGCTTTCCATGAGCCAGAATCATCGACTGACTACTCCGTACTCTTCCTGGCATGACAAGTGCAGCTGTCCTTCTGCGTAATGTTAGTATCATATGAATGAAGTCAGCTGCGGCTGGGGCCCGACGAGTCGCCGAGGTTCTACTGTTTCAATGGTCACCATCGCAGCTCGAAAAGAATGTATGGTAAGGATTGTCAGGCCAAATCTTGATTCTGTAGTCTGCCTGAGTAATCATCTATCTGTACAATTTCCAGGCGTCCTGCCTTTCGGTACCCAGACAGGACGGATAAATCAAATGAATACTCAAGCTTGCAGTACCAACGATTCAGCCCACGGCTTTTGTTTAATAAAGGGTTGACTCGGAGCAAAGCTACACAAGTCCGTCCACTAATCCACATGATCCTGCATACCGGCAAACCTGAGGCCTGCATGCTAAGCCTCAGGTCACCAGGATCATGTAGAAAAAGGACCTTCTCCAAAGAGGACCTTGGCGAGCTGTCTCAGAAAAGTCCGACTTCTGATCTGTTCGTAAGACATGCGTTGAGAACAAATCGACAATTGGCAGGGAAAGCCAAACTCATCGGAAACAAACCACCAAATCCTCTCCGAAGGCGGACTCATTCTTGTTGAAGTCAGTGTTCTCCAGAACCACCCACCCACCGCAATCATCACTTTCGACTTTCTCCGAAGATCAGTGAAGAGACAACGACTCCAGCTGAAACCAAGATTTCCAAGCAGATGGTTCTGAAGATCCGGCAACAACGATGAATGAGGGCCTCAACATCCGTGCGCACATCAACGGCTTCCATGAGATATCCCTCAAGACCATAGCTCAACAACAGAGAGATGTTTGGGTTGGAGAGCCTGCACACATCGTCCCAAACAGGACGAAGGGGGCTCAAACCAACTGGTTCCAAACGAAATAAAAAAACAAGACCTGCTTCATCCTCGAGATACCACCATGTCGAAAGACAGGGGTATATGATCGGTAAGATTTATGATTCCACTCCATCACGCAACTCCGGTTGCGATAATTTGGCACAGTGCCAGAACTCGAAACGCCAACTCTTGCTTTACACCTCTTGCAAGTCAAGAGGCGCGACAGCCACTGTTGGGATCGAGGGCTATCGAAAGGTTGGCGGAGAAATGGCAGAGTCTTCCCACCAGAGGAAGAAAGACTGGCTGCGCCACCGGAGGAGGGGCAGGGAAGGAACTCTGGTCCCTCGGTCGTTGGCGCGAAGATTGGTTTGCCGTGGTAAGAACAAAGGCCGGATTGCTGTTTGTTAGACAATTGGTCCCGACCGATGATCACCGCACAAAGCATCCTCCACAAAGCATGTCAACATACAACATCACACGCGCAAAACACAATGCCACCCATTGGCTTCGTCCATCACTTTTCATGTTCTCAATCGGAATTCCATTATCTCCACAAATGTTCCATGGCTTTCCGCTTCATGGCAATCCTAAGCTTTTGTGTTGCTCAGCTCGTAATATGTATGAGTTGTTTGCGCTTCGGCAAGAGCCTTTGCAATAAACCTTGGAAGTTGGCATTCTTTTCGTTCCAAAATGCGTTCAAAATTCAACAATATGGTTTTCTCAATCCCCGGTCCAAATACTTCCCCGTTTGCTGTCAATTCTTGTCATCTGGGTGGGTTCGTATGCTCGACGACCTGAATACCCTAGCTTTGCGTCCTGGTGGTCTTCCGGCGCGACTTCGATCTCTTTGGAAGGGGTATACTCTGGTGCAGGCGACATTGGCCTCCGAGAGTTGACATCGGCCAATGGGACGTCTACAAATCCAGCATACCGATCTTGATTGTCAGATCGAAAATCCATGTTTGGCGCAGGAGGACCACCGTCGCCTCTGACTTTGTCCCGCCCGGCCCAATGCGTTAAGGCTCGAATGATGCCGATCAACACAATGCCCAGCCAGACGAGCAAGAGGACAGTCGAGATGAGGGCCTCGGTGCGGATGCCGTCCTCGACTTCATTAACGACTCTTGCAACGGCGCTTGAGATCTTGTTGCTCGCGGCATCTCCAGGACTTGCTAGGAAAGAATCGTCCGGATTGCTTGTCGATGCAAGACTGGCAACGGCACCCAAGCTGAAAGTATCGTTCGAAAGAGTCGGGAAGTCAACGTGTGCATTTTCGTGAACCCAGGTCAAGCCCTTCTGAATGCCGGCAATCTTCAGGAGAAGAAGGCAGTTCAGGACTTCCATGATAGGATCATACAGGGGTGTGCCTCCAAATGTGGTATTGAGTACATCTGTGGTCTTGTCCACGAATGCATTGAGAGTATCATTGACTGCAGTCGTGGTGGTATTGACCCACCCCAGCATGTCCTTGTTGATGTCGTCGCTTGCTGACGCAATGGCCGCATTTGTACCGATGGCCCATTGCTCAGATGCGTTGTTGAGTTGCGCAACAACTTTGTCGGAAAATGAGCTGACTTGATTTGTTAGGTTCGGGACTTCCTTCTCCATCGAACGGAGAAGAATGGCTTGACAAGCACAGGCAAAAAAGCCAGTCAAAGCTAGGGTAAGAACGAACAAAGCGGCATCAGTAGTGGCATAAGCGACGACCCAACGAACCAGACTCTTCTTTCTCTGCGATTCAAATCGATGTGAGAGTTTGAGTCCTGCGGAGGAAGTGTATGGTCTGCTGACAATATACACGACGTCCATAGGATCGCGGTCGTTCGACTTGACCAGTTGACTGCGTTCTTGCATGAGGCGCCAGCGTCTGATTTCGCGCCATGCCATCGGGATCATTGCCAATATGGCAAGTACGAGAAGCACTCCAATGGCGATTTTCTTGGCGAGCGCGATCAGGTCGACCAGGCCGTCAAAAAAGTCGTTGATCCCGTCGTTGTCGCTGCAGAAAGTAAGCTGTTCTTTCTGTGGAATTGGAAACAACGATCGGTTGAATGTGTAGGTTCCCAGTGACTCATTGATCAGCTGCTTGACTTCATCAAAGGGAAGCCGGATGATGCCTTCGGTGAAATTTTTGACTTCGTCGAAGGTCGGGATAGAATTGTTGAGTTTTTGTAGATCGGCGGTAAGATTTCCTGGCAATTTGAGGCCTTCGAGAGTAGTCACCTGTTTTGTCAAGTTCAAAGGCGGAGGTGTCGGAACTGATACTCCAAAGGCCGTAAAACCGCTCAGGGCGTCCAAGAATTTGTTGTATGCGGACTCAAAATCTCCCACCGCACCTGACATGTCGTCCCCAAGGTTTTTGGTCAGACTGTTGAGGCTCTTTTGCGCAGATTGAAGGGTTCCGACGACTGTGTGCAGACTTCCGCTGACTGCTAGAGTGATAAGGCAAAGATAGGTGTTGGTCATCATTCCGATCACAAACACCACAATTTCTTCCACCGCTGTGACACTCAAAGTTGTCATTTGCATCAGACCATCGACCGACTTCTCAACGCCAGTAGCAGCCATCTCATTCAGCCCTTGGGACATGTAATGAGGCATAGATGCCATGGTGGAACCCATCGATTCGACGTCTGAACATGCGGAGAGAGCCTCACGTCGTGCTGAGCCGAGATTGTTGTCAAGGCCAGATATTGCGATGAGGGTACGAGCAAGGACAAGTAGGAGTAGAATGGTCCATCGATTGAGCCATATCTGTGATAAACGAGCCCGGAGGCCAAGGTAGGGTGTGATGGATGGTGCAGTATGTGACAACGACCGAGGTGGGTCTTGGTTGGAGTAGTAGTCTTGTATCTCATGGCTGCCGGCAGGCATGGACGGAGGAGGGCCAGCCGCAAGGGCTGACGGGGCAGGCATGGCGCAGAAGTTGACAGGAATTTATCTGAATTTGGTTTCGCGTTAGTTCTCGAATGCGCAGCAATAGATTATGCGATATGTTGTACAAGAGGAGATAGATCCAAGTAGACTGGTGATGATGATCCAAGTGATAAGGAAAGTTTAAGTCATCAAGACTTTAGCAAAGAAAGTATTCATAAAGCAAACAAAGGAGACTCGTCACTCCACAACAATGAGCAGTAAACTCGACAATAGCGAGGGTAGTGAATGAGGCGGTTGACAAAAGGTGTGGGCAGACGAGCACAATAAGAACAATGGCATTTGACAATAAGAGAATTTCGCCGTACGTACCGCTATTCCTGTCGACCTCCACTCCACGCCGCAGAGGCTCCAGCGACATCTTGCATAGACCTCTTCCTGAAATCGCAACATGATTGAGACGTTTCAGGCGAGATGTGCAGATGGCGGAGCGAGGACATCGGCTGGTGGTGATGCTTCCAAACAAACGGGCGCGTATTTCCAGAAACAACACCACCAGGCTGAAGAAGCGCCTACCAACCATCTCCCCTCGGATATTCGCCAGCGAGACACGCGCACTCACGTGCGAGCTTGAAGTGAAACGAGTTGAGATGGTGGTGATGGCTGTCCTTCAGGTTGCTTCACCTTCTTCCCAGCACTCTTGTGGTCGTCCTCGGCTGCACGAGCCCGTCGGAAGTGACGCGACACAGAACCAAGAATGGCACTGAGCAGGCGGTTTGAAGCCGACGAGCGCAACAACAGAACCAACCCACAAGAATGTTGGGAAGACAGACACCCGTGAAGCAACTCGATGTCCCCAAAAGTGTCTACAGAATGAAAATGAGAAGATCCGAAGCAGGCTTTTTAAGAAGAAGATCATCATTTCAGCCACCGGGCGGCCCATCGTGTGGCGTCGGGAAGAACGTCTTTCGTCATTCCTTGATTTAATCCTGGTTAATTCCTTAGTGTTCCCTTTTCAGGACTAGTTCCAAGTATGGCCAGTGAGGCTTCCGATAGGTTCCCTGCCACGCCTGCCAAACCCCAACTTTAGCTCTCCGCATGCAAGGCGGTCCTGAAATACACATTCCTAAGGTACTTATTGAGCCAGAAGCGAATGATACATCCGACAATTGTTAATCAGTAGCACTGTCACGCCGCGAGCAGTAAATCATGTCAAGCGCTCATGTTCCTTCTTCAATATCCCGGCGCAAGTCATCTCACGCAACGAATGCGAGGTGGTTCATCGCTGCACAATGGATACTCAAGACACTTCAGCCCGAAAGTCATGACAGTGAGGGCTTCATCCAAGCTTGGCATCGGTGTGTATGATGCAAAGAGCGATGCTCGCGCTTGCAATGGCGACACGACGAGGGTCATCAATCAACCGATTCGTTTCACGCTGATATGTTCGCGCATCGTGCACCAGTGTGAGAAGCAACGGCGTCAGGCTCAGGACTTTGCATCGATCGCGGCAAGGTCACAATGTGCACAGTATTGGCGGAGGAGCAAGAGCGTAAGAGTGTAATGTCGCAGCCAAGAGTCCAAGGGAGGCGGGTCAGGTCGTCGAATGTTTCAAGGTCATCCGCCAAAAGCAAAAATTCCAATCACGAGCCAGGTCACGGTCACCTTCGACGCGCCTCATCGTTGCTCACCTTGACCTTGGCCACCTGGTTGTTGCTGTGCCGCCATTGCTGCATACCACATTTGGAGGTAATTTTGATAGCCACCGTATGCGGCATAAGGGTCAGCAGCACCGGCTGCGAGCGGAGGTGCAGCCGCTTGTGCGGGAGCGGCCGCTGCGGGCGGCGCGTAACTGGGCTGTGGTTGTGATGCGTATCGGTCGGTGATGTCGTCCCGACTATCATGGCCTTGCGATCGAGCACGCTGAAGAATGTTAGTCACTCTGTTCAAAGCAGGAGCCCTCCAGAAGCCACTTACCACTGTGTCAACCTTATCCATAATGGCACGTTTGGCCGCCTCAATGGCGTGTCGACTGCCAATCAAACCGATCTCGCGTTCAACGTCCCGGCCGGCAGCGGGAGAGACATTGATCTTGCATCCTGTCTGGTTTTGCATGTCACGAATTGACTCACCACCTGATACCTCGGTTAGCGTGTTAGGTAGAGAGCCACAGAAGCACCAAGCATACCTTTTCCGATGATCATTCCCACAGCCTCTCCAGGCACGTAGATAGTCTCAGAAATCTTGCCTTGAGATTCCTCTCGCTCTCGGTGAAGGTCTTTGATACTGATCCCTTTCTGATCACTTTCCACGATTTCCATGATCAAATCCCTCGCGTACTGCTGAGCCGAAACACTGCCGATCAGATTCACTGGCCGCAATCCGTTGATACTCTTGTTTTCTCCCAAGATGTTGACATGGCATCCGCTGCGATCCTGCAGGTCACGGATTGTTTCTCCGCCTCGACCAATAATCAAGCCCACAGTCCGGTCGGGCACCATCATTTGAAGGCTGTCACCCTCTTTGGTCGTAGCAACAACGGCTTTACTCTGTCCCCGTGGCTTGCTGTCTCCTCTCTTGACCACTTCATTGTCATCAATGACTTTGAAAATCTCCCCTTTAGCAGCTGAACGGGCTGCTCGGCTACCAGAGATCCTACAGTGTCTTTGGGTGCCAGCAACCTCTGGACCGTCGAGAAATTGTACACGAGCACCCGTAGTACTTTCGATTCTTCGTAGATTCTCACCGGACCGTCCAATGACAAGACCTACCACTCCTTTGTCCAGAGGCAGAACTTCGGAATCTCCTTCATTGCCTCGGTCGTGGCCAGGCGATCGGTCATCACGATATCGGGCTGGTGAGTGACGTCCACCTCTTGGAGAGAGGGATCGTTCTCTGGTGTAACCACGGTCATTGCCACGTCGCTCGTCTCGGTAGGGATTGTAGGAGTCACGGTAAGCGTTGCGCGGAGGCGATCTTGATGGAGATCTTGAGCGTCGGTAGCCTCTGTTACCCGCGCGTGGGTCTAGATTCATGGGAGCTGTTTTTATGATGAGCGACCGAGTAGCAAAATGAGACTCTTATACATACGTCGGTTAGGATCATAGACACCTTTTTCAGCAGCAATCCCTCGAGCTTTGGCAATAGCGTCTGCGATGCTGACAGAACCAGAGTTGATTGGTTGTATGCCAGCCAAATCGACGCTGCCTGAACTGACCGGCTGAGGTAGTCCGTAAGGTGTTGCGCTGCTGGGAGTAGTCGCGTACTGTGGTGGAGGAAATGGGGCACCCGGTACTGGCGGAGGACCTTGAGACGGGGTTCCTCCTTGTCTTTGAGCTGCGAGGGCAGCAAGGATATTGCTTAGATCTGCCATGACGAACAAGAGTGCTAACACTCAGGAGAGTATCGCGCGGCAAAAAGGAGATCGACAGAAGCGAGTTGAGAAGAAGTGCAAGTGAGTCCTTACGCGGAAGATGAAGACGGCCGTTGTGCAGGCGCAGTCGAGTTCGTGGGGCTCCATGCAAATTTGGCCGACACCTAAGCCGACAATTTTACACACACGTGATTCTTGCGCTACCTAAACTAGGACTAGATCAGTCTACATAACGAGATCCTGTTCGTCTTGACGAGTACTTCAGTATCACCACAAGGCTGAGCGTGGTTGTCCACGCAATCATTCTGAAGATGACTACAAGGACCCAACTGTTGCCTCAGAACTCCAATAATTTGCCGGTAAAACGAGTTTCCAAGCGGCAACACGTATCAGGCAGACGCTAGAACTATGCACAATTCCGCGGTGAAGGAAGCTGCGTAGGACAGCACCTCAATCATGAGGCATACCGTGGCCAGCCAGCCTCAATGGAGCGATCTGCTTTTCGCAAGCATTGAATTTGGCAAGTCGTTTGTGTTTTGTCAGCGGTCAGTGTCAATAGCTTAGACCAGTAGGACATGGAGAGATTGGAAGACACGGGTCTGGATTTCAAAGATGGTTTGCTTGACGAAGGTCTCGCATTGGAAGTCACTATCACTATCGAGCCAGATCCAAGAAAGTGGTCTTTCTTCTGATCAACATTCATGAACATCACCATTCGTGTCGCTGAAGGCTATGCACGAGCTAACTATCTTTCTCAGATATATCATTCCACCGGTATTTGCTCACATATTGTATGACTGACAGCATTTAGTGAAGTGGATTTGCAGGACATGTGCTATTTGTATACCGCCGTCCATCACAAACACCGCCTTTCATGAGTGACAGAAACAGCTTCACACGCTCTCAGAATTCCTTGTTTCCAGCTCAATAATGCAGCCGAATGCACAGTTGTTGCCGGATTGCAGGCTTGAGTGACTTGATACCTACGGCAGTCAAGATCAAAACAGAAAAGATCAAGCCCAACCGAAACAACGACAAACCTCAGGACCTGACAGACAATGCAACAAAGTCTGAGCCTCACTCAACCCCAAACGCCCTGGAAGGAGACATCATCCACTGATACAGATCCTCCAGCTACCAGTAGCGCCATCTCTGAGATGACTGGGACAGGCTCGAACCACGGCGCAGCAATTGGGGCTCCTCCCCAAAAATATCAAGACCACATATCAGATTTAATCGATCATCAAGCAGGAGCTGCAATATTGAACTCATTTGTACAGCAAGATGACGGCGGTATTACATCTCCAACCTTGCTCAGATCAAGCCAAGATAGCTCTCCATGGGCAGACCAGTCTCCCAAGGCTGCGACAACAAAGACCTCAGAACCGGAGATTGTGCCATTGAGCAGTAACGAGGAATACAACAGGAATACAAATGATAGTCAAGATGGGAAACAAGGGGATGCGGAGGTATAATGGGTTCCTTTCTTCCATTCATTCTATAGCAACGACTGATGGAGAGACAGACACAGACAGCTGATACGCAAGCCATAAGCAAGCCTTTCAGATTCGACGTTTATGATCTGCGCCTTCGTTGCCGAATGTCGTCATGCCGCAAGATGACTAGTTGCTGGGATTCCGCTGTGGTCATATGCCCTGGATGCGGACCGAGTAGCTATGTACGATACTGCAGCAAGCAGCATCTCTACGATGACCTCCAGTACCATTGGCTTTACCATTGTCGCCAGCACGAGGTTACGGGACCCATCGATCGCAGTACAATCCGTCCCCATCAGGATCCTATTCGCCCCTACGTGGTGAATAATGGCCACAACCTCGTTGAGCGCCATCGTCAAGCTGTTTACCGTTCAATGGAAGAAGGAGATTTCTTCATATTCGATGATGCTGGGGTCCTGGGCGCAGATTTTGTCGAGCCAACCAAAGAGCAGTGGAATACCACACGTGGAACTGGACCATATGTCTTCCAGCTTATTTTTCCGGATGACCTGACTATTCAATCCAGGAGGTTACAGTTCGATTATCACATCTACATGTGTCTCAAGTTCGGTGCTCCCTTTGCACTAGATAGCTGCATGACAGCGGTTCGCCTAATCCGGGGATCACTGATCTTGACCGCAAATTGGACTGACAAGATCTTGGATTTGCTGTGCTTGCAACTGGCAGGAGAATGGGGAGGGTTTCGAATTCCAATGTGCTTTTACAATGTGGAAGAAGCGAATGACCTGTGGCAGACGCAAGGCTTGCTCTCCCAAAGCCCTTGAACTTGTGCGTGTCATCTGCAATTGGGAAATGCCGAAAAAGGATGTACTCTTGGAAGCCAATGTTAAATAGCAAGGCGATACTGTATCATGAATACTAGTAATGTTGTACAGTGGTCTCATGGGTAAATCGTGTAATATGGCGCTAGGGTGTCATTCGACGACCAACAGCAGCGAGGACAATTTGTGTGGCAGGCGGGTCTCCTGTTCAATGCGATGCCAACTGCTGCTTCGAGGATTCAAGCGGCAGCTGTTTTGCACCCCGGTTAAGCGAGTTTCATTACACGATTTACCGCTGAGACCGTAGTACGATGTCAAGATGCTGTCGCCGTCCTCCTGGCCTGCCCATCGGTCGTCTCCGATGGCTATACTATGACTGAGCGAGTGAGGTCTCGCCTAGGTATGGAGATCACCGTTAGCGCTCGATGGCCCATCAGGCCCTTGCGCTCGCCCGCTTATTGCAACGCTTCCCATTCGTTCCCCCTCCATTCGAGCCTCTATCAGATCGTCCTGCTACAATGGCACGTCTCTGATTCGTGCGCGGCCACATTCATGGCTGATGTCCCTATCAATCCAGGCATAATTGCCTTTTGGGATGATGTGAGCTTTCAGGTAATCGCCGATAAGGTCGTCTTGATTTTCCTTTCTTCGCCCCGGGCGCAAGTTCCTGTACGTGTACGACGGTGCTGTCCTGCTACCCCACCATCGACGACTGCTTTGCTCTGAGAATTGGCCACAGAAGCAACCCCGGCATGCTGATTCTATAGATCCGTTGTTTCCTCCTGTCCATTCTGAGGCGTCTGATCGAACTCTTTCGACATGGCTCCAGGCCTCCTTGACCCGGCGGCGACGGCTGAGAAAGTCGTCTCGCTATCTTCCTTGACCGAGACCTACGACGATACAATCCGCTTTTACCTCAATGGCACCAAGGTCGAGCTGGACGCTTTTGACCCTGAAATCACTCTGCTGGAATACTTGAGGGGCGTTGGGTTGACAGGCACAAAACTGGGCTGCGCAGAAGGTGGATGCGGTGCCTGCACAGTTGTGGTCTCGCAGCTGAATCCTACCACCGGCAAGATCTATCATGCTTCAGTCAATGCCTGTCTAGCCCCTCTCGTCAGTGTCGATGGCAAGCATGTCGTTACAATTGAAGGCATTGGAAACACGAAAAGCCCACATCCGGCACAACAGAGAATTGCCATGGCCAGTGGCAGCCAGTGCGGGTTTTGTACACCTGGAATAGTGATGAGCTTGTATGCTCTTCTCAGGAACAACAGCTCAGAGCCAACAGAAGAAGAGGTTGAAGAAGCCTTCGACGGCAATCTCTGCCGCTGCACTGGCTACAGACCCATTCTCGATGCTGCTCAAAGTTTCAACAAGAAATGTGGACGATCCGTTGCCAATGGCGGCTCCGGCTGCTGTATGGAAAATGGCGGCGCATGCAATGGCGGCGCAAAGGGTGCGAATGGTGCAGACGAGGCTGCAGAGAAGAAATTTACACCTCCATCCTTTATTCATTACGACAAATCGACCGAGTTGATATACCCTCCGGCACTCAAGAAACACGAGTTCAAGCCTCTCGCAATTGGAAACAAGAGGAAGAAGTGGTACAGACCGACGACACTCCAGCAACTCCTTGAGATCAAAAGCGCCTACCCTCAAGCCAAGCTCATTGGCGGCAGTACCGAAACCCAGATCGAGATCAAATTCAAAGCCATGTCATACCCGGCCTCGGTCTATGTGGGCGACATCGCAGAGCTCCGAAGATACTCGTTCCATGATGACTACCTTGAGATTGGTGGCAATGTTGCGTTGACAGATCTAGAGTGCATCTGCGATGAAGCCGTTAAGCATTACGGCCCCACTAGGGCACAGCCATTCAAGGCCATCAAGAAGGCTATCAGATACTTTGCAGGCCGTCAGATTCGCAACGTCGGCACTCCGGCTGGCAATCTCGCGACCGCTTCTCCTATCTCTGATCTCAATCCAGTCTTTGTCGCCACGAACTCTACATTGATTGCCAAGTCACTGAAGAAGACCACAGAAATTCCAATGTCGAGCTTCTTCAAGAGCTATAGAGTGACAGCATTGCCTGAGGACGCCGTCATTGCAGCAATGAGAGTCCCGATTGCCGCCGAAAAGGGAGAGTATATGAGAACTTACAAGCAGGCAAAGAGGAAAGATGACGACATCGCAATCGTCAATGCGTGCTTGAGAGTGGCCATTGACGACTCTTACAAGGTTCAAAGTGCCAATCTGGTGTACGGAGGCATGGCTCCTGTGACCGTCCTTGCAAAGAATGCGTCTGAATATATTGTTGGCAAGACGTTTACAGATCCCCAAACACTCGAAGGTGTGATGAATGCTTTGGAAAAAGACTTCAATCTACCCTTCGGTGTACCAGGTGGCATGGCCACGTATCGAAAGTCCCTGGCACTTGGCTTCTTCTACCGTTTCTATCACGACGTCCTTGCGAACATTGAAAAAGTCAGTAAACAAGCGGATAAAGAAGTCATCGAAGAGATTGAAAGGGAAATCTCTCGCGGTCAGAAAGACCATGATGCAACGGCGGCATATACGCAACGGGTGCTTGGTAAAGCCAATCCCCATCTTGCTGCTCTTAAGCAATGCACTGGTGAAGCCCAGTACACGGACGATATCCCAGTGCAGCAAAATGAGCTGATCGGTTGTCTCGTCCTGTCAACCAAGGCACATGCTAAGATCAAGGTGGACGCCAGCCCTGCTTTGGATTTCCCTGGTGTTGTTGCTTGGGCTGATAGAAACGATGTGGTCAACCCACAAGCGAACTGGTGGGGTGCTCCTGTGTGCGATGAAGTCTTCTTCGCCGAGGATGAAGTTTTCACTGCTGGTCAGCCCATTGGTATGATCCTCGCCAAAACAGCTCAGCAAGCTGCCGCCGGTGCGCGTGCTGTCTTGATACAGTATGAAGAGCTCCCTGCCATTTACACGATCGAAGAAGCAATTGAGAAGCAAAGCTTCTTCGAGCACTACCGATACATCCGCACAGGTGACGTTGACAAGGCATTCGCGGAGTGCGACCACGTCTTTGAGGGGATAGCAAGAATGGGTGGCCAAGAGCACTTCTACCTCGAGACCAATGCTTGCCTTGCCATCCCTAAGCCGGAGGATGGTGAGATGGAGGTGTGGTCGAGCACGCAAAACCCGACAGAGACCCAAGCTTACGTGGCTAAGGCACTGGGCGTGCAGAACAACAAGATCGTATCGAAGGTCAAGCGTCTTGGTGGTGGGTTTGGCGGCAAGGAAACCCGCTCCATCCAGCTCTCCACCATATGCGCCGTTGCCGCCAACAAGGTCAGACGACCAGTGAGATGCATGCTCAATCGAGACGAAGATATCATGACGTCCGGCCAAAGACATCCATTCTTTGGTATTTGGAAAGTTGGCGTCAACAAAGACGGCAAGATCAAGGCGTTGAAAGCCAACGTCTTCAACAACGGCGGGTGGTCACAAGATCTATCCGCCGCTGTCGTCGACCGAGCCCTTTCTCACATCGACGGCTGCTATAACATCCCCAACATTGACGTAGACGGCCGCATCTGCAAGACCAACACGGTGTCGAACAGCGCCTTCCGCGGCTTCGGCGGTCCTCAGGGCATGTTCATCGCTGAAACATACATGTCGGAAGTCGCCGACCATCTAGGCATGTCCGTCGACAAGCTCCGCGAGATCAATTTCTACAAAGATGGTGAAGAAACACATTTCAAACAAGCTCTCGAAGACTGGCACGTGCCCCTCATGTGGAAACAAGTCAAAGAGTCCGCCGAGTACGAAGCCCGGCGCAAAGCCGTTGACGAGTTCAACGCGACGCACAAATGGCAGAAGAAAGGCCTTGCCATGATACCGACCAAGTTCGGCATTTCCTTTACCGCGCTCTTCCTCAACCAAGCCGGTGCTCTAGTGCATATTTACCACGACGGCTCCGTCCTCGTGGCCCACGGTGGCACGGAAATGGGCCAAGGCCTTCACACAAAGATCTGCATGATCGTCGCCGAGGCACTGCAAGTCCCACTCTCGGACGTGCACATCTCAGAGACCGCAACCAATACCGTCGCCAACTCATCTAGTACCGCCGCCTCGGCATCGTCCGATCTGAACGGCTATGCCGCGTACAACGCGTGTATGCAGATCAACCAGCGCCTGGCACCGTATCGCGAGAAACTCGGCTCCGGCGCGACCATGAAACAGCTCGCGCATGCGGCGTACTTCGACCGCGTCAATCTTAGCGCGAACGGGTTCTACCGCACACCCGAGATCGGGTATATCTGGGGTCCCAATCCCGCCGACCCCTCGCTTGAGAACACGGGCAAAATGTTTTTCTACTTCACCCAAGGCGTGACGGCGTCCGAGGTGCTGATCGACACGCTGACAGGCGACTGGACGCCGCTGAGGACGGACATCAAAATGGACGTGGGCAGAAGTATCAATCCTGCCATTGACTACGGGCAGATTGAGGGCGCCTACGTCCAGGGCCAGGGACTGTTCACGACCGAGGAGTCTCTGTGGCACAGGGCGTCCGGGCAAATTTTCACGCGCGGGCCCGGCGCGTACAAAATCCCCGGGTTCAGGGATATCCCGCAGGAATTCAACGTCAGTCTGCTGAAGGATGTCGAGTGGAAGAATCTCCGGACCATACAGCGGAGTCGGGGTGTCGGCGAGCCCCCATTGTTCATGGGCAGTGCCGTGTTCTTTGCGATTCGAGATGCGCTCAAGGCAGCTCGAAAGCAGTACGGTGAGGACAGCGTGTTGACCCTGAGGAGTCCTGCGACACCGGAACGGATTAGGATTTCGTGCGCGGATCCGATTCTCAAGAGGTGCGTCGTCGAGCCGAGGGAGGGGGAGAAGAGTTTCTTCGTTTCGATCTAGGCGTTTTGCTTTGAGATGGTGTATTCGGATGATGCGGTTCGAATCGTCGTCGCCCATTAGTGCTAGGCAGGATTCCGCAAGACGGGTAGCTTCAATGTGTCAGGCCATCAGCCTGAGGTTCTTGCGTGGGAGGAGTACACGGAGTACAATATCACGCAACAGTATGGTAGTTGAAATATACCTTTCTTTTTCCGGTTCATGTCAATCTGGCCGATGATCTTGTCGTACATTCCAAAAAATCTATGGATGCCTAGTCAGATGTCATCTTGTGTCTGAATTCTTAGATTGAGCCCATGTCATGACCTGTTACAGACCATGCTTCTATCTGAACGCCATAGATAGATCTCTGCCCTAAGCACTCGGCGGAATCTCGACCGCGATTCTCACACTCTTTTTTGGCTTGTCTGGCTGAATAAGGCCACCACCGAATATAGACGATGGCACTGCTGGCGATGGGGAAGCAACATCCATGGCGATCGTCTCCATCGAGGCAAACATCACAGCCTTGCCTTTGCCCCTTGTTTTCTTCGTTTTCTTAGCGGCATATTCATCTTCCAAGCCTAGAATCCAATCATCGTCGGCCTGGCTCTCGAGACCTCCCAGCGCATCCTTCCTTTCAAAAAGTGGCACCGGTGACTCCAATTTGCCGCCAATCAACTGGTTCTCCTCGCCATCAGCAATTTTCAGAAACCCTTCTGCACGGATGATGCCATTCATTGTGCCGTCGTCTAACAGACTCTTCTCTGCCTTGATCAACTCGGCGTTACTCATCTGTCTCCTTCTTTGGAGGATTTTCTCCTCTAACGTCCCTTTGAGAACAAGGGTCTCGACAAATACCGGCTTGGTTTGGCCGATTCGATGAGCTCTCTTGATTGCTTGAGACTCGATACTAGGCTGCCATATTGGTGACACGATAAAGACACGACTCGCCGAAGCAACGTGCAATCCATGCGAGGCTTGCTTCAAGTCCATCAGTAGGACGCGGAAGACTTCGGATTGATTGAACGTCGCGAGATAGGCAGCTCTCCTGTTGACAGAAAGAGTATTGGCATAGATGAGAAATTTCACAGACAGGAGTTCCAGTGCCTCCGCAATCCAGAAGGCAATGTTGTTGGAATCGTAGAAGATTATAATCTTCTCCGTCTGTTGCAATGAAAGTATGCGGGAGCAGAGATAATTTAGCTTGGCGGAGGTGAAGCCGACGATGGTGGTCTTGGACAGAGAGGAGGGCAGCGTGGCATTTGAGACCGATCTCGGTCGTTTCCGACCCGTAGAGAAGGCATCTGGCCGGGCACCCCTGCTGGACGGGCGTGTGGTTGAAGGAGATCCAACTGACGACGACGTTGACTGATTTTTCACTTTAGGCTGATCGCTTGCACCAGCTGTTGGTGATTTCCCGTTTGCGTTATGAGACTTCTTGGTCATCTCTTCCTGCTCCTCAGTAGCACGCTCTCTAGCAGCTTTCATCGCTCGGAGCCCAGCACCGGTCAGACCATCGGTAGGGTCCTCTGAATCGAGCTTCTTCAGCACATATTGTTGTGCCTCTCGAGCTTGGACCGTCCCAAGCAGTAATGGGCTTTTATCTTCGCCGTGCAACGCCCAAGCCTGTCTGGAGTGTTCAGGGAACCCTTCAATATAGACCCCTATTTCATGAAAGAAGGAGAAGGCGCGCCAACCTGGATCCTTCAATGCACGCTCGCCATTCAGGATAGCCTCTGTCAATTCCCGTCCGTCAACATCAGTGATTTTGTCGATGTTCTTGTCTAGATAAGTATTGCTCACGCGTAAGGTTTCAGTGACCTCGTGCTCGGTAAAACCCACCCAGTGGAAACTCGAATGCCGGAGATTATTGACCAAGTCGTCCAGAAATTTTCGATTCCGGGGATGAAACATATAGTCTTCGTCTACACGCTCGGAAGTGATGGCATTGGAAGTCAGCACCATCCTAAACATGTTCATGCTGAGCTTGTCGTAATAAGTTGGTTCCAGGTGCACGGTGGTGTTGTGCAACGGAGGCAGGCAGAGATCCAGATCAATGTCCTCGATCCGATGCCGAACGATGAGGGACTGTAGCACTTCGCGTAGAGCAGATGCGAACCGCCTTTTGCCATCAGCATCAAAAGGAGAAAGATACTTCTTCCAATCGGCATAGTCGGCACCCTTCTGGTTGGCCCAAGGCTGCAGTTTGAGGAATTTGACCACCATGACCCGCAATCTCTCCATGTCCTTGATTTCCTCCGTGGCTGGGTCTTTCAATTTCCTGCGCTGCAAGGCCTGTTCAATGGAGCTGGTTCGGGAGGAGTCGAGTTCTGAATTGCCCTCGTCCAGTGCGAGACTGACCTCTACGCCGTGCAGCGAGTGGGATGGTGTACCAGACACTACCCAGCGTCTTTCGATTGACATTTTGTCCAGCATTGCCATGGCATGGGTTCGATAGCTTGAACCAGCGAAGCCATGGCCTTCATCGCAGATGACTCTGAGCCACCGAACCTCAGTCAATGGTGAGCGGAACTTCTCTTGCCCATACATACGTTTGCCCTGGTTGAGATCATCGTCACGGTATTCTTGATCAAAACGGGCCTTAGTGATCAAAACGACATCGTATTTCATGAGTGTCTGGTAGGGCGGAATCTCCTTGGCAGATGATTCGAGAACCAAGACATCCAGGGAGCCTGGCTGCGTGTGCTTCTCTATCTCATTCTGCCATTGTATGAGGAGGTTGGGAGGCACGATAAGGAGAGTGGCGTAACATAAGCGCAATATTCTGAAGTCTTCGCGTTTTTTGTGTCTTCGATTCGGCGTTATCGGATTAAAGATCGGTTCCGCGAATTCAATGTCGTGTTTGTTGATCGCCTCAATACATTGATCATACTGGTAGCCGTGTCTCTCAAGCGTAGCAAAATGCGACTTCCATGGAGCACCTACGTGCTTGACTCTTTTGGCCGCCAACTCTAGTAGGCTGGGGGTTCGTATGCTCTTGTTTCTGGATAAAGTGTCGAGCCTGCCTTCCGGAAGTTTTGGATAGTGACCTCTGGTTGCCAGGATCAGAGCAATGCATATGAGTGTTTTCCCGTACCCCATGGTTTCCGCAAGGATACCACCCTGAGGTTCACTGTAGAAGTGAGGGTTGACCAGAAGCACGCCCTCGAGGACATCAAAGTAGAACCCTTTACCGCGGAGGTCATGAAACCGAGCTTTCCTTGGATCAAGCAGTTTGGCTGGATTGGCCTCCTTTTGGAGCATGGCTGCAACTGAGCGTTTCTGATATGGGTATAAGGGCGTCCTGAGGCCGTCGATCGTACCATCGAGCACAGCACCCATGGATTGTTGGCTGTACTGACAGTTGCCCGCACTGTCAAACGAGACTTTGGGGGAGGCTAGAGTGTTGAAAATGTAGAACAGCGACTCTTCTTGGGAGGAAGGTGGAGCATCATATGTTTGGATAGGTGAATCCGGGTCGTAGTTGCCATTCCAGGTGCGATAGGAGGTGTCAATGAAGTCGGTGACAAATCTCAAGACCTTTCTAAGGTCTTTGACAGAGCCGCGACTGCTTCGATTGACATCTTCCGGCAGTGCAAATACTCTCAGGCATGCACGGCGGTTGTCAGTAGGGTGGTGGACAAGTTCGGTCTTCAGCCACTGTCGCTTTTCACCCAGTGCGAGAGGTGAGGCAGGAACCGGGTAGAGAAGTTCGCGTCGAGAAGAAAGCATGAGCCATCTGCTATCCGTGGCATCTTGGGCAGTTCTAGTAAGTCTGATAGCTCCCAGGGCCAGATAATCATCCATGCCATTCGCGACTGACTGATGCTTCCGCAACTCGGGATGGCCACTCGAAAGTGGATGTTTTGAACCTGACCAGAAATGCGTCAACAAAGGTCGAGACCCCTATATCAAGTCAATATGAGGCCCAGGTCAGTGGGATCTGGACCATGCTGACCTCATGGTCTTTGCACAGTGAAGGAAGTTCCTGTGAGTCCTCGATTGAGGTGTGGCTGTCAATACTGGAAGGGCCAACAAAGAATCCACTGGTGTCAAATGTCTCACTGTCATCAGCCCCATGGATTGCGGAAGAGCCATGAGAAGGCATGACAAAGTGGAGAGAGCGACTCAATGCAGTGGATTACCAGTGTGAGGAGTTGAATAAGACGCAAGGACTTCGATGAGAGGGCGAAGTTAATGTGAAGAACTATATATGTCAAGTCTGACAAAACTTGGAATGGAGTAAAGTGAGTGAATCAGCCATAAGCAGCACATGTTTCCGTGTCAGACGAAAACACTTGTGAAAGTCTCGACTGCAGCCTAACCAGGGGTCAAGCCATACATCGTAGGCATCGAACACCCGCAAGGCTGCGTCAGTAGAGGCATTCATAAGATGAGTCTTGCTTCAAGTAGACTACAGGCTATATTGTCATCTCGAGTTCGGTCTTAGCTCAGAGCAATCCATCATCCAACTAACTCCACGCACAATGGCACAGAGGACTCTACGTATATGAATTGTTGAACCAACGGACTTCAGAGATATCAGTGATTTGAACTGAACAGACTTCCAATCAGAACTGATGTGATATCTAACGAATCGTGCCAGTCGCCGAAACTCGTCGAAAACGGTGATTGTTGCCATCGGCAAAGGAAACTCCTCGCATCATGTCGGCTGACAAATACAATATTCTAACTCCACCGTCGCGACATCCATCGACTCTAACATTCGATATATGTGTCGACAAGAGGTCTTCCTGACTGAAGAAAGCCACCAGATACAGGAACCGATATACACACTCTTGTTGCTCATTTTGATGTTTAAATCCACCACTCGCCTTCTCGCAGCCATGACGAATTACAACATCACCATAGTCTCGGATATTGTCTGGTAAGTTCGAAAAACCAATGTCCACCAGCACCAGTTCATCCAGGCAATACACACAAAGCCTATGTATAACCAGCTAACTAATCCTATCGAAACAGCCCGTGGTGCTATGTCGGCCACACCCGGCTATCAAGAGCCATCGCCGAACACAAGAAGACCTATCCGGATGATAAATTCCACATGAAATACCTACCCTACTACCTTCAGCCACCACCGCAGCTCACAACCAACGGTGGTCCAGCGCCACCACCGTTTCCCGTCCAATCTCGCCCTCGACGAGAGCACTACGCCGCCAAATTCGGGCCCGAACGTGCCAAGCAGATCGAAGCGATGATGATCCAGACCGCTGCCGGTGAAGGTCTGAATTTCAAGTTTGGTGGGATGACGGGCGTGAGCCGCAATGGGCACCGTCTTGTGCACTGGGCGCAGAATCGCGGCGGCGAGGACGCGCAGAACCAGGTCATGTTGGGCCTGTGGAGGAGGTATTTCGAGCAGGAAGTCGACATCACGACGCTAGAGACGTTGATCGAGATTGGACTTGAAGCCGGCTTGGGTACCAGGGACGAGATCAAGGACTACCTTGAGAGTGGCAAAGACGGCGAGGAAGTTGACCGCATGGCAGAGGAGGCGAGGTTGAAGGGCATCAGCGGTGTGCCGAATTATGAGATCAACGGGATGTGGGAGGTCAGTGGTGCGCAGGACCCCCTGGCTTTCAGGAGATTGTTCCAACGATGGAAGGATATGGAGGCTAAAGGGCAAGTTGGAGGTGAAGGAGAGAAGACGGCGACCGGCAATGGATGTTTGTGAGATGCTCAATGCCGTCTTGGGAAGTAAGGCTCGTGTAAGAACGAAGGAAACATTAGCAAATGACGTTCAACTGTAAGGTATGGGACTCGTTTATATGCAGCAATGCATCAAATGAAAGGGAGCAAAATTCCTCTGTTCAAAGATCCCTTCATATACTTTACATGGCACTTTTTGTACAGTGAAGTGCATAGCTCTGGGCCGATGCACTGCATGCCTCTATCAACCATCGTTCCTGATGCCTCCAAACAGTGAACTTTCTAAACCATCTGCCAATCTCAGGATGCGACCCTGACCTGGGAGTGCTGGGGGATTTATTTGTCCGCATCTCTCGCGAAGGACCCTGGGACGCGATAGCCATTGCGTCTTTTATTCGCACTTGTTGTGTGATGATGCCTGAGTGAAGTGGCTACACAGACTGGATGTAGTCCCTATACTGGGCGGTAGTACGAGACTAGTACCTTCACAATTGACTTTGTGAGGGTGGAGGAAGACAGTCTCATAATGGTTCCGGGACCTTCTGCTGTTGTTCCGTCTTTTCTGATATTGACGCATCAAGGGTGGCTTCATACTGCTCCTCCGGCACTTCGACAACAGCCTCGTCCTTTCGGCTGATATGAACCCGCTCCAGATATTCCGGTAGACCTAAAGAAGCGGGACTGCTTCTCTGTAGCGTCTCCAGCCGGGAAATCTCGTATAGCTCCTTCTCCCCGTTGTCAACCCAATGCTTCTGCACATGCTCTTCGAATCTCACTGCAGCCTGCCGCAGGTCCGCCCACGCCAATTCTTGTTCTGCTATGAGTTTTGTTCGCTGTCCCTCATCGTTCCAAACATCTTCGAAAGCAGCCTTTAGAGAGGTCGACTCTGGCAGACCAAGCTCCCGCCTCTGTTGATCAAACTTTGCCAGCATTTTCGGGGATGTCATGACTAGCCACCTGAGCTTCCAACCTAGCATTCCCAGCTCCTTTATTCGTGCAGGTTTTGTGCCCATCACGTATTGATCGAGACCGCCGCATTTTCTGATAGTCCGCACCACGCGAGCCGTCGCCGGGATCTTGAGCTCAGTGTCCAGTGCTTCGCTTCTGAATGTCTCGATCCTGACATTGGGAAACCAATGGCGCAGCGTCTTGCCCTTGTTTCGTCCCTTTGAGATCTTGTTTCCAGACTGCAGCGTGGCTCCGCCGTACAGGCCAAAGTTCGCTTCCCGAAATGCAGGATTCTTGCCGTATGGGTAAGGTGGCATCAAAGGATCGGTCATACGTATCTCCTTGCGACTAAACGTGTGCTCTCTGTCCTCGCTTTTGAAAGTAAACCGGGGCTTGAAATAGGGTTTGTCTGATTTTATCTTGTGTTTGTACTCGAGATACTGCAGGGTACTCGGACTGCGCCTGACGGGCGGTAGCCTCGTGATTGCACTGGCCATGGTAGTGGAGGAACAGATGGAGCAAGAGGAGAAGAGGCGTGAGTACAAGGGAGAAGAAAGGAATGTGCTCAGATGAGCACGTTGATGTGCCAGGGGGTTCAATGTGAGCTGCGCTGGAGACTTTGCGGAACAATTCGAATTGAAGCTCCAACTTTTTAGCGCGAAATCCTGTGCATCGTGGATCTAGAAGTCCCCCAGATTCACTCAAGTTCTCGAACCAACAATCGCGTCCTGCACCATTCGCAACCTCACATAGTCACTTCTTCCCGTCCTCTATCTTCGTCTCGATAATTCGTGCGACGCCACAATGGTTAGCATCAGCGAGGTCAAGGGCAACACGCGCGAAAACAGAACGGCCGCACATACACATATCAAGGGATTAGGTCTACGGTCCGATGGCACAGCAGAGACTTCTGGGAATGGCTTCGTGGGACAGACCGCAGCCCGAGAGGTCAGCAATCCCTCTTGATAACGTGATTGTCGTGTCAGACCCTAATCAAGGCGCAGGCGTGCGGCGTCGTTGTCGACCTCATCAAAGCCAAAAAGATGTCCGGAAGAGCAGTGCTACTAGCAGGAGGTCCAGGGACAGGCAAAACGGCTCTAGCATTAGCAGTATCACAAGAACTCGGAACAAAAGTCCCATTCTGTCCCATTGTCGGCAGTGAAGTGTACTCCACAGAGGTCAAGAAGACAGAAGCATTAATGGAAAATTTCAGAAGAGCAATTGGTACACCATCCCTGCGACCCCTGCGTGTGAGATGCTAATGGAACGAAGGCCTGCGAGTACGAGAGATGAAGGAAGTTTACGAAGGCGAAGTCACCGAGCTCATTCCCGAAGAAGCAGAGAACCCTCTAGGAGGCTACGGTCGCACGATCTCGCACCTCATCATCACAATGAAATCCGCGAAAGGAACAAAGAAACTACGGCTTGACCCCAGCATATACGAAGCCATTCAGAAAGAGAGAGTCGCGGTCGGAGACGTCATTTACATTGAAGCCAACACGGGCGCGTGTAAGAGAGTCGGTAGATCAGACGCGTACGCCACGGAATTCGACCTTGAGGCCGAAGAATACGTGCCTGTGCCCAAGGGAGAGGTCCACAAGAAGAAAGAAGTGGTACAAGACGTGACGCTGCATGACCTCGATATCGCGAATGCCAGACCGCAAGGCGGCCAGGATGTTATGAGCATGATGGGCCAGTTGATGAAGCCGAAAAAGACCGAGATCACAGACAAACTGAGAGCAGAGATCAATAAGGTGGTCAGCAAGTATATTGATCAGGGCGTCGCTGAGCTGGTTCCTGGTGTGCTGTTTATCGATGAGGTGAGTCACTTTCTAGAAGAGTTGGGTCAACATGCTGACTGAATGGCAGGTACACATGCTCGATATCGAGTGCTTTACCTATCTCAACCGGGCTCTCGAATCGCCTATTTCCCCCATAGTCATCCTCGCTTCCAATCGAGGCAATACTGTCATTCGCGGTACACAAGATATCACAGGAGCACACGGCGTGCCACCGGATCTTCTGGCGCGCCTACTTATCATTCCTACACATCCTTACAATGAGTCGGAAGTCCAGACTATCATTCGGCTTCGAGCAAAGACGGAAGGCTTGGCCATTTCAGATGCCGCCCTGCAGAAGGTTGCTCAGCATGGCACGAACGTGTCGCTACGATATGCCCTGCAACTGTTGACGCCGAGCAGCATATTGGCCAAGGTCAACGGAAGGCAAGAGATTGCACCTGACGATGTGGCAGAGTGCGAGGATCTGTTCATCGATGCGAGACGCAGCGCCAAGGTGGTTGAGGCCGGTGTTGGATTCATTAGTTGAAAAGAGAAGGGTCGAAGATCTCTAACGAAGGCACTTTCATCCGACAATAAACTCCGACGACATGTTCTCATGTCGGATCGACTAGTCAGTCGCGAGTATTGACTTTCAACAGCCACGGGTCAATGCCGCGCAGCAAGAGGGCATTTCCTGCTCCCACCTCACCGGGCATGGTGGCTCTCATCAGAACATCCTCGACACAAGCAGTCCGGACACGAGTGGCTAGTCGAGACCAAAATTTGCTAGGCAGCATTGCGTTAAATGGAAGCACGAGCATCGCGAAAGAGCCTCCGGAGCGGCGATCTATCCGAGATTGGAGCAGATGGAGAGTTCTTGAAAAATTCTTGATTGTTTGTGATATACACCTTTATGTAACAAACTAGAGAGCATCCATGGGTGTGGAAATCGATTCGTGCCAGAATACTACTTTCCACCATGGCTTTCCCACCATATTTCTTCTCTTAGTCTTTCGGTATTGGACCACCACAAGGCAGGGAACAACGGAGAACAAGACAGGATGGCAACGGCTACCTACAGAAAGTGGAATGTCAGTAGAAGGACATGAGAAAGCTTCGGAGAGATCATGCTGAGATAAATGATTCCAATCAGACATCCAAGGAAGAATTAACGTTCACCGACACCTGGACTTAAGTAGGTTCTCTGCCAGGTGCTAACGTGGAAACTGCGAATGTGGAAAAGGTTTTCGATCATAGGAAGGGAGAGACATGGAGGGGAAGAAAAGTCATACGTACAGGGAGTACACTACCCAGTCGGATTTGAGAGGTATAAGCGTGACCTGGATACAGGCAAATCTGCAAGTTCATCTGTTCAGGGAATTAGTGAAGTCCTTGCCTGTAAAGCCTGAAATAGAGTGATTGAAGGTTGCGATCAGACATGAAATACTGGCTAGTAACAGATCGTCCAGCGTGACGATCCGAGGTTTCTTCAAGGGCGAGTCAGGATAGAAAGAAGTAGGTTGGAGTTGTCATCTTTGTGCTGGAGGAGTAAGAGGGGAAAAAGACTCACAGTTTAATCATGTGCTGAAGACAGGTGCATGTTAGCAAGAGAGACAGAGGGAGACGAAAGCAACATCGTAAATCATCAAGTCGAAGGCGTGAGAAGAATTGAATTACAGAGTATGAAATAAATATTCAAATAAAATGATCGGGAAGAAGAAATGCAAACGAGACCAAACCACTAGCGCGGAAGTGGAATAATTGCGGCGCCGGCTTGGCATCGATGATCTGGCGAGCAGTGGGAGAAGACGCAGAAGTAGGTCCCCATCAGTCAGTCACTGGCGTTCCTCTGGCTCCTCAGGCCAGGTTCATTCCCTCCCCCCAGCCTAGCGACATCTTTTTGCCGATCCTGCACCTGCACCCTCGCCCTGAAGACTTCATCCATCCTCCTCGTGTTGTACCTTTACGGAATCGCACGAGCGACCTGCACTGCATCTCGATATTGTGTCGCTGTTGTCGCTCTTTCTCTACATTCAGCATTATTCCCTCGATCTCTCAGCAAAGACAACCCCCGGCTCCTGCCCCGTCAATTCTGTCCCGGCACCATCACGAGTTGTCCGATAACACCGCCCGAGACACGACACTCGATTATTATCTCACCTGATCCATGCCAGTCGTCTTTTGATCGCTTCTTTCCGAATATGAAGCCTTTGCGCGACATTCTTCAATGATTCACGTGCCCGATGAAGCGTCTCTCTGACTCGTATTCGCCGCGACGCTGACCCGGTCCCATACACACGGCTCGCGAATTCAATTCTCCAGTTTCAAAGCGGATTCTACTGTTGCGCAATCGCTTCTTCATACAAGCTCAACATCCTTCCTCGAGGCGCACGATTCGCCCTCTCACGCAGATGTGACGGACCTTCTGCCAGACCACCATCATTACCGGCGAATTCGGTAAGAGTGGGGCTAAGAGGTTTCGGAAGTGTCGTGTCAAGAGTAGGAAATCATCGACTCCTCACAAAGACCATACCGAGTCCAACGCGCAGTCAGCGCAATACCAAGAACTGGTACAAGGTCTGCCTCTGAACAGCTGTGAAAGATGATGGCCCAGCCTTTTCCCGCCCATGCGGGCATGGGTCCTGGACATCCAGGAATGCCCCATGGCCATCCAATGGCGGGAATGCAACATCCTGGTGGCCATATGGGAGGTCAACCCGGCGGCATGATGCAAGGAATGCATCCAGGAGTATCAGGTCCACAAGTCACCCAAGGCCCGATGGTGACGGGTATGCCACCGGGCGCAGGAACACCAGCTCCGGGACCTATGCACAACAACATGGCCATGGCACACCTGGGGCCACAACAAGCCATGTTCCAGCAACACAACCCGCAAATGAACTTTGGACAGATGCAGATGACACCTCAACACCAACAGATGCTGGCGAGACAGCGTATGATGCAACAGATGCAAGCGCAGCAACAACAGGGCATGCCTATGACTATGCCGAATGGCCCAGCGGGCTTTAATCAAGCGCAACTGGCGCAGATGAAGATGGGAATGCACCCTCAGATGCAGATGCAGATGAACCCTAATAATCCTCAAATGCAGAATCACCAGCAGCAATATCAGCAACGGGTGATGCAAGCACAGCACGCGCAAGCGCAAGCGCAAGCTCAAGCTCAAGCTCACCATGCTGCGCAAATGGCCGCTGCGCAGAGTCAAAGGGGTAATGCTACTCAACAGATGCAGATGTCAAGATCCCAAGATCAGACAAGCCAACCTCCTCCGTCACAACCTACACCAGCTCCTCAGCCTCAGGCCCCGCAACAAGCGCCTCCAACATCCCAACCTCAGCAACAACCTCCTCAGCCCAAACCGCAACCCCCTCAACAACAGCCTCCTACTACTCAACCGCAGACCCAACCCAGTCAGCCAGTCAAAACCACGGAACCTGAAGAGGAACCTCAAATAAAACAACAGCCAGACCTGTCTGCCATGATGATGCCTGAATTACCCAAGCAGGATTTCCTGGGTGGTCAGTGTATCCTGCAACTGATAATGTATCAAGATAACCTGGCAAATCCCGAGCGACCTTACGAGCTAGACTACTGGGAGCAGACGATAGCGAGATATTTTTCGCCGCTCGGATCGATGCGGCAGCAGCTTTTCAGCAACAAGAACGGTGTGGACAAGTCATTCCAGTTGCAGTTTCCAAGCCTAGCCCGCTACTATCATACGCATTTTGCAAGTGGAGTGAAACAGATCCTGCTGCAATCGTATGATCACAACCAGAACAAATTGCCAAATGGTGGTGTTCACATATGGAGTACGAATGCAAGCTTGACATATGTTTTTGGAAACGACATTCGAGTCACGACTACGGGACAGTTGCGAGTTATATTCGATGAGTTCCAGAAGATTGATCATTTGAACATCAGCACTTCTGGCTGGCAAGAGTACATTCCACGAAACGCTCTACTACAGCCCGCTTCACCCGAGGAAACGAAGAGCCCCAAGGTCAACAAAAATCTTAAGCGAGCTCAAGGGAAAGCAGCAGGCCCGACACAGCCGATAATACCAAGCTCAGGTGTTGGGGAGTGGGGCGTCCCGAATCACATCTTTCAGTTCTTGGAGGTTTGTGGATTTCAAATAAGCACCTCGTGAGCCGCTGACTGACTCTGTCCTAGATCGCCGAAGTCATGACAGCCATGGGACCTCTTATGGAATACTTCCACAGTCATCCAGGCATTGGCCCCAAAGAATCACTGTTACGGGTGACGCACGAGAACGCGCAAAACATGGCCCAGATGAGTAATGCTCGGTTACAGAATCAAATGGCTAGGGCAGCCAATGGTCAGGTGCCGTTCCCTAACCAGATGCCTCCTGGAATGAATGGTCCAACAATGATGAACTCACCTGCGATGGGACATCTCGGAGTTCCACAGGCACAAGGTTCTCCCATGATGGGAGGTCCCGTCCATACACCTAGTCCTGCGCATAACCCTGCACCGGGCGGCGTTGCCATGATGCATCAAATGAGTGCTCAAGGCTCGAACCTCAGTGGCAGTCAAGGTCCTAGCACCAACACCAGCCCGAACGTTACCAACAAGAGGAGGCGAGCAAGTGCTGTGAAGATTGAAGAAGAAAATCCTGGACAAGAACCAACTGGCGCCAACAAAGTCAAACCGAGTCCCAAGATAGGCGGGAAAAGACAGAAAGCCGGGTAAACTTGTCCAAGGAATTTGATGCTTAGCGAAAGGAAAGACGTACGACTCTTTTGAGTGTCGGACCTCTAGGCGTTCATGGAGCCAGTGCAGACTCGGTCATCGTTTTTTTTTGGATCGACGAGCTTGGTGTTCAGACCGAGTCTTGGGATCTGGCGTCTTCTGGATTTACTGCATAGACCCCTCTTGGATGCTATGAAGGCCTGGGTGTCGAAATCTGTGGCAGCCAGACGAGAGTTTTTGCAAGACTCCCCCCGGGTTGGAAAGACACTCATGGCCGAGTGCAGTCCTGGACTCCGGGATAGAGCGAGGCCGAAACGGAGGAAATGCTGGGCTTTCTGGGTCGGTATACTGGATTTGTATCATATGCGTCTGTTTTGTTTGATCTCGAGGGCATTTGGAAGAGATCTGGTCTTGGAGCCTTGTTTACATGCAGCAGTGTGTTTCTTCTGTCTTTTGGATACGCGAAGATCAGATAATGGCAAGCACGCAAACAAGCAAGGCCTGAGTTTTTGAGTAAAGATCAGTCGAACAACAGGGATGATTGCATGAGGCGCGAGGCTGACGAAGGAAGAACGAGTCTGGAGGAGGAATTGCTCGTCTCCGCCGGGTGCTTGCTTATAGAATTGAAACGTCTATGTCTTTGCGAATCGCATCTTCCATCGATATTGCTTTCTAGTGAAGATCGATATCTCCCTCCGTCTTCTGCTCGAGACTTATATTCTGCTTATTTAAGTTGTGGTCATCGTCTGATCCGTCGTTTGCCTTGCACTATCAGACGCAGTCTCCTACTACGGAGTGTGCGAGCACCCTGTCGTGACTATGTTTCTCCGACCTTTCTTCCTTCAGTACCAATCAAGACTCATACGATCATCAACCGTATGGCTGTCAAGTAGCTGAGTGGGAACCTCTGCCGTTGAAAAACTAAACTCGTCGTCGAATCCTCAATTTCTCCGGCTTCGTCGAGGCCTAAATCCGTGACGGTGCCTCAATGAGCTTGCGGCCATCTACGACTTTTGTTTTATTCAGCCATTAAAACGCCCAGGTTACCATCTGCAAAGAGTTTCTGGCAATCATACTTTGAACTCAATCCGACTCTTTATTCTACTTCTAGGGGATAAGGCTGAGCAGACGCCTCGTCGAAAAGAATGCATACCCTTCCTACCAACGCGAACTCCTTTCCGCCCGACCCAACTCAAGCAACAGCATCTCAGCCGCCGCTTTCACCATCTAAGACGATAATCATCGGTCTCTCGGGCCCATCCTCAAGCGGGAAAACCACGCTCGCCAGACTGTTGAGGAGTATTTTCAACGTCAGCGTGACTGTGCCAGTGGCGGACGACGAGGACGGCACGGGAGAGAAGGAGTATCGACTAAGTTTGTTCATTTTGCACCAGGATGATTTTTACAAGACTGATAAAGAGTGAGTCTCTTCCTCCAATTTCTCCGCCGGCCGGCCGGTTGTCTACGTTTGCTGCGCTTTGAGACGGCTGTCTATGGGCATTGCTTGCGTATGACAGTACCAGAGGGGGCCTTGTGGAATAGGAGCTTGACGAAAAGAGCTTTCTTCGCATCACCAACCTCTCTACCTTCTTGCCCTCGATCTCTCCGCCCTCGTTCCTGGTTCATTGCCTCTTCTTGCTACGACACCCATCCTTCGAGCTCCGCCCTCATTGTCTGCTGTACCTATTGGCATCGTCTACATCTCTGACGACATTCTAGCGTCCCGTGGGTAACAGTCTCCTCCCCTACCCATGGCACCCGCACCGAACAAGACTGGGACTGCGTCGGTTCCCTTGACCTTCCACTTTTCCGATCCACACTGAGTCATGTCTGCAAGCACGGCACATTACCTCCGGATATAGTCAGTATCGAGGACCAGAATTCGGTCGGTGATGTGCATGTTACATCCGACGAAGTCAATTCGCTGCACGAGCAGATGCGGTCGTGGTTTGAGGCAATAGTCCGCAAGCACGTCGCTACTGATACCCATGCCGAGGTCCCGCGAGAGATTCGGATATGCGTCTTGGAAGGGTTTCTGCTGTATCCTCCCAGCCCAAGGTCGGCGGGGTTCGCATCTACAGCGCACGGTCTCGCGGGAGACGAGACGGACGACTTAGTTGAGCTGTATGCCCTTTCACATGAGTTGTTGTCGGCCAAATTATTCCTTCCATGCACCAAGAGTCAGATGGTGGAAAGGAGGGAAAAGAGGACTGGGTATGTTACGCTCGAGGGCTTCTGGACCGATCCGCCGGGATACGTGGAGGATGTGGTGTGGGTGAACTATGGGAGGTATCATGGGTGGATGTATCAGGGAGACGTCGAGGCGGAGGTGTTTGATGAGCAGAGTTGTACGGATGCTGGGGTCAAGGTGTTCCTGGGACCGAAAAAGGAGGTAGGAAGGGACACGATGAAGGAGAGTCTCGACTGGGGAGCTGGGGAGGTCAAGGGTGTGGTGGAGAGGTTGCTGGAGAGATAAGAAGTGTCACCCAGGTGTGGAATGCGTATAGAAGTAAATTTATCAGCCGAAAGAAGAGCCGTCGAAAGTGACGCGGGTCGTGAGGACTGGGGGGGTGTCGAAGGATGGTAATCGGGATAATGGGATCCTCGAGATTTTGGTAGGTACGTGGTACGTCTATCGTTGACGGCTGATACCCTGTTGCACATCATCCGCAACGATTGGATCAGGTGTTGACGACCCTTCCGCAGTCCAAGGTCTGGTCCTACTGTTACGAGTTGTTCCGCTGGAGGATCTCTCTGTGCGACAATGCCGCCTTGTTCTTCTCCTTGTCCGGCCATTTTGTTAGAGCCGCAAAATCTAATCTACCTGTTTTCTTCTTTGCTGGACAAACCAACCAGATCCTCAGCGGGCATCCCTCATCGCCACCTTTCGATCAGCCACCTACGCACTTACTTCGCACCGGAGGCAGGCAGCGCCGGCAGGCATCGTGATCGAAAGAGATCAGTCCTAGAGTACCTCGGTTGGTAGAAAGAGACACAAGTTTTGAGACAAAAGCTTCTTCCCGCACTCTCTAACAACAGAACAGAATTCAGTCTGCAGTGGCTCTCTCTCTCTCTCTCTCTCTCTCTCTTATAGCTTGTCCGACCTCGGTGTCGACGCCGGCGTCGGCTTCGGATCGATGAACAACGCCTTCCCACTGGCAAGCAGATTGCCCTGGCCGTCTTCAACTTGCGCCCGGACCCACGTTTTCCGTCCCTGTCTTTCGACCGCCCACCCGCGACACAGCACGACGCCGGGCGTGGCGATGGGCGCCTTGTAATCCACTGTTAGTGTCGCCGTCGCGGGCGCGACACTGCCTGACACCATCGACGCCACGCTGCCGGTCATCTGGTCCAAGATCAGCGCGTTGAAGCCCCCGTGCGCGCGACCCGTCTTGCCGTCGACCCCGGAGCCGAGGGATAGTAAGTAGCAGTATTCCCAGGATTCCCAGGGGTGACTTTGACTTGAACTTTGACTTTCAAGGGAGTTCGCTTCGGCTTTGGCTGTTTCGGGGGTGGTCGGTCGTGGTCGTGGTCGTGGTCGTTTGAAGTTGATCTGGGCCCGGATGGCAGAGGGTGTGTACAGCGTTTGTGCGAACATGCTGTTGGACACGCCGTCGTGTAAGGGTATGTTATTATTGTCGCTGCGAAGACGGTGCTCAGTCGGGACTTGGACGTCCGATATGCTGTGAGAGGCGAGAAGGTTTTGACACCATGGGATATCGAAGTCTGGATGGTACTTGAGGTTCCTCATGGTGGTTATGGAATGGAATGGAACCTCCTTTGGGAGTCAATATGTCTTGGACTGTGACAGCCCTTTAGTTTCCTTGTGCTTCAAGTGGTACTGGCGCCGATGATCATCCCTTCTGGAACCAACTGGAGCAGAGTCAGGTGTGAAACGAAACGAGTGCGCTATCGATCGAAGAGTCAGGAGTTGCTCTATATCTTCCTTCTAGAGAGAGCGATTATATGACAGGTTATTAATGCCGGCTCTTGGACTCTCACTCTTTAATGTATATTAGGTACTGGTATGTGTATCTGTACCTCGGCACAATCAGGAACGTTGTCGCCATCATCGCTAAGCCGGTGTCTGTATCTGGTTTAGCCCAGTGGCCTCAGCAGTAGATGACATCTAGTAGTAGTACTCCGTACTGTACATGCTATGCAGTCTTCTCCGTCGATTCTATCTAGAATTACACAACTACCAAATTCAATCCCTCACTTTCCTTGTATCTCGTGCTGCATCTTCATCTCGCGTCGGGAATCCGAGCTTGGGCACTTTCTTCTTCTTCCCACGCTTATCGCCATATTGCTCATCGAACTTCTTGATATCTCTCAGTGAAGTCATATCCTCCGAGATACTCGCCGAGATCTCTTCGAGCGCCTTGTCGAAATGCTTTTTTGCCAACGTCCGGCGTTCAGCATGCTTATACGGCTCGTCGCCCTGATGTCGTTTCGCCAGATCGTTCTCTTCGCGGACACAGTTCAACGCAGCAGCGACAGCGACATTCTTCAAGTCTGAGCCGGAGTAGAACGGCGTTCGCTTCGCAAGGTCCGGAATATCAACGTCCCCGGCAAGCTTTTCGTGACGGAGGTGAATCTTGAGAATCTCCAGCCTGTCAGGCTCCGTAGGAAGATCGACAAGCAAGCGACGCGGAAGTCGACGAAGGACAGCATCATCCAGATCCATGGGCCGGTTGGTAGCGACCATGATGAACGCACTTCCCGAATCGTTGCTCATACCGTCCCACTCCTTGAGGAACTGGTTGAGAAGTTCCCGGTGACTTACACGGCGGCCTTGATTGCTCCGTGCACTGAACATAGCATCGGCTTCATCCAGGAACACGACGCATGGTGACAGTTTCTTGGCAAGACCGAAGAGAGCCTTGACATTCTTCTCCCCTTCGCCCACGTACATGTCATTGATGTCGGCGGCGCTGACCTCAAGCATGGTCGCGCCGGACTCCTTGGCGACAGCTTTGGCTGCCAAAGTTTTGCCAGTACCTGGTGGGCCATAGAGCAGCAAACCGGGAATCTTGTCCGAAGCGAGGACACCATATTTGAAAGCATCAGGCCTGATCAGAGATAGAGTAGTCAGGGTCTGCAGTGTGTCGATTGTCTCTACGGGCATATGCACATCGTTGAATGTTGTGGTGATGTTTTTGGCTTCGATGATGCCACCCATCAATCGCTTCTCGTACTTTGACGCTCCAGCACGGATTGAGGCGAGTCGAGGATCCTCCTTGGATATCAGGCGATCCGGGGATTCTGGCTTGATTTCCTTGGCGTTCTTCTCAGCCCATCGCATCTTCGTTTTGTCGCTATGGTTCAGATGGGCTGTTGCTCCGCTAATGACGGGATCCGAGAGACCTTGAACAGCAGCCAGAGACTCTTGGAGCTCTTCCTTGTCGGTGATCCCTGGAATATTCTGAATAGCAGGAGCAGCGCCAGCAATGTACGTCGCCAATCGTTGCACATATGAATACGACCAGATGTGAGCTTCTAAGCATGACCTGTCACTTCGGGCGAGATGGTTGAAGAAATCGCGTCGCCAAAAGCCGGGCTCGAGGTGGGCGAATATAGATGGCTTCTGATATTGCATCAGTTCCCACAGATGTCGCATGTTAACCGTGGCAATCCGCTGTTTTCGATCGTGAAGAAGTGCGAGCTTTGATGTTGTGTTTGGTAAGACTGGAGTGATGATAATATTCTGCGAGATCTCTTCTCGGTCGCCTTGCTGATAACTTTTGATCCGCTCCTGAGTGAATGGCTCTTGTCCCTCACGAAGAGTATCGGTCCCGACAAGAAGCAAAGGTGAGCCCATCTTCCTCCGTTCCGAGACGTATTTGTACAATCCTTGTAAGAATACATTGCCCATGGTGGTGTCCTGAATAGATTCGAGATCTTTGACGTGGATGATGACAGCGTCCCTCGCCAGCCCATTCTGTTTCGCGGTATATTCACGGAGGTCTTTTAACTCGGATTGAGTACCGAGCTTTTGACGATCCGACATAGCAGTCAGCAGGCTTGGAATCACCTTTGGCGTCTCTCGAAGTCGGTCGTGTGATTTTAAACTCGATCTGGATGAGCTCGATGAGTCCGAAAATAGCCTGCTCAATTGCCGCCCGAATATGTCTGATCGTGGTCTACGATCTGAAGACCCAAACATTGACTTTAAATCGAGGAAAGGCTTTCCGATTAGAACCGGCATCCCCATTGAAGAAGTAGGCGGCCCTTCGAAATCATCCAGGATATCTTCGTCGTCGTCATCTTCTTCCTTCGACTCCTGGAGGCGACTGGATGAGGAGGAGTCGGAGAATGCTTCTGTATAAACGTCGTAGCTCAGCATACGCCCGGAGTTGGCGATGCGAGGTTCTGGTGCTGTCTGAGCGATCAAGCTCGCAATGTCCTGTGCATCCAAAACCACAAGATCGCAGCCTAGGTCACGCGCCAGATCTTCCACGACATGATCCAACAACAGATCACCATCTTTGCCAGCATACCGTATGAGCAGGTGTTCTCTCAGCATTTCGCTTTCTTGTGGGCGGCTTTGTGTCACTTGAATTTGCAAGAGGCCTCTGGCAGTCCGTGTCACCTCTTCATACTGCTCATCCAGCACATAGTATCTTTTTTGGAATGGTCCATCCGTTTGTGGGGCAGGAGTTGGCCTGTCTGCGCCTTTTGGATTTTCAGATTGGAGGTCTCCTTCATGGCCGGGGGTGGATTCTTTGACGGAACTAGGATGGCTATCGCCGTCTCCAGGGGGTCGAGATGGTGCACCGGCAGAGCTCGGAGACAGATGCTGATCCAAAGGCTCCCCAGTAATCAGATCTGCAGCCACCTTCTGTACCCTTGACCGCGTCCCAACTGCCAGGGCGTCTTCCCCATACAAGCATATGTTACCATCCACAAACCATTGTGGCGGGGTGTACTCAGGTTCGCCCTCTTTCACCATGCGGCTACGCATTCGCCTTTTCGAAGCGGAGCCATAAAAGTTGGGCGCTGATGTTGGAGTCGCATCTTCGGAGGCAGGTTTTGCTGACGGGACGGCATGAGCTTTTTTGTTCACCACCAGCTCTCTTTGCCTTGCTAGCTCCTCCCTTTCAGCGCGACGGCTCGCATCGTCCCCAATGCCCGGGCCAGCTGCAGGGCCGGCGTTATTCGAAGGATCTTGAGGAGCTCGGAACCGGGAAGCGGTATGAAAAGACCTTGTTCTGCTGGATTGTCGACGTGCACACTGTCGGCAATTGGAGGTAAGAACTTGCGAGAACCTCAGTTCCGCTTGCAAGGCAGAAGGCATTCGAGCGAGTAGCGAAGGTGTGATAATCCTAGGGAGGAAGGAGCGGTTCTGCGAAATTTGAGAACCATTGCTTCGAGGCAGCATCCGTGTGTAAATACTCCACTGTACAGAATTGCACCTGTGTGTTTCGCCGTACAAGAATATTTGTTTCCTTTCTCGTCGCAAATTTAAAAGTCCTCGAGATCATATATGCAATCCCAATCGCAAGAAGATGCCTCCGACATTATGTGAGGTATGTAAGGAGGCACGTGCAGCCGTTATAAGGCCCAAAAACTCGCAGAAAATTTGCAAACAATGTTTTCTGTCAGTGTTCGAAATCGAAATTCACGAGACTATCGTGAGTAATAATCTCTTTCATCGAGGTGAACGGGTCGCAATTGGTGCATCGGGTGGCAAAGACTCTACCGTCCTCGCCTCCGTTCTCAAGACTTTGAATGAGCGTCACGACTACGGCTTGGACCTTGTTCTCTTGTCCATCGACGAAGGTATCAGAGGCTATCGTGATGACAGCCTTGAAACTGTGAAGAGAAATGCCAGACAGTACGATATGCCTCTTGAGATTGTGGGTTACGATCAACTCTATGGGTGGACCATGGATCAAGTGGTAGCCCAAGTGGGAAAGAAGGGAAATTGCACCTATTGTGGCGTGTTCCGAAGACAGGCGCTGGACAGGGGAGCGGCAAAGTTGGGAATCAAGCATGTCGTTACTGGTCATAATGCAGATGATGTGGCAGAAACCGTCATGATGAATCTCCTGCGTGGCGACTTGCCCCGGCTTGCAAGGGCTACATCTATCATGACTTCCAGTGCAGCAAGCGAGATCAAACGAAGCAAGCCGCTCAAATATGCCTACGAGAAGGAAATCGTGCTGTACGCTCATCACAAGAAGTTGGATTACTTCAGCACTGAATGCATCTACTCACCCGAAGCATTCCGCGGCAGTGCAAGGACTTTGATCAAAGATTTGGAAAAAATTCGACCGAGCAGTATCCTAGACATCGTCAAGAGTGGGGAGGACATGGCTGCTCTTGTTCCGCCGGAAGTGAGCAGCTCCGTGCAGTGCGTTGCACATGCCGAAGAGACCAACGGCTGCGGCACCCGCAATACCGACGGTGGCTCGATGGCGCAGATGGAGAAACGAATGGTCGCAAATGGAGCTGCCGCGGAACGAGAGACTGAGATCACATTACCCAAGGGAGGGATCACCCAAAACGCAACATCCTCAGTAAGCATCCACGACAAGAAAGCGAGAGGACGCAAAAAGGTCAACAAGCAAGTTATGGGTCAGTGCGAAAGATGCGGATATCTGTCCAGCCAGAAGATCTGCAAAGCTTGCTCACTGCTTGAGGGTCTAAACAAGAGTCGACCACGAAATACCATCGAAGTCGGGATTGAGGACGAAGAGAGTAGCACAACCTTGATGAGGCAGGTCACTGATCTCACTATCTCTGCCGGTTGAAGCCGCGATCCTCACGCCATCTTCCGCCGCGAAGCTATTCCTCTGTCGGCAATTGCGACCAACACTTCCCACGCCTTTGCGACTAGCAGCATTACTATCTGAGTGGCAAGGATGGAAGACCTCAACAAATGATTCTTTATGGTCAACGTGGGTCTCCGGCCTCGAGAGAATGTCGAGTCGACAAATTCAAAAGGCAAGCGAGCTTCTAAATGGTTGACAGCCACGGACAACCCGCTGCTGAAGCCGTCTTCGTGGAACCCATATTTTGACCAAGCCCCGCAGTAACTGACATTCCTGGTGTTTTGGATCCTTGGTAACAACCTCTGGGATCTGATAGCCGCAGCATTATACAACGGATGGGAGTATTCCCAGATGCCCTGCGCCGAACGGGGATCTGGCATATTCAGAGGATTCAGCGTGACCAGGACGGTGCCGAATTTGTCCTCGGGTATATGTTGCAACAGATTCATCCAATACGTCAAACAGACCTTGGAGATGTTCTGGCTTCTTGTGGGAGGAAATGGAGATTCTGTGATATAATTCCAAGCCGACCAAGCCACCCGCCTTTTTGGCATCAGCGCAAGATCCGAGTGCAAGACGGCGATATTCCTACTTGTCTGGAAGCCGCTGAGTATATCGATCTCTTCCTGTGTGGCTACTGGTTTCAGGATTTCCAGGGCTTGGTCCCCATGAGTTGCGAGAATTACATGGTCGAATTCCAAGTCTTTGCTGTTGGCTGTTAGCACGACTGTGCCCTTCTCGGTGGGTTGTAAAGCAGTGACTTTGGAATTGATGTGTATTCGGTCTTTGGGGAAAGCCTTCAGTACGGCATCGATGTACTGCTTTGAGCCCCCAGGAATGGTCATCCAGTCTGGACGCTGGGCAATTGTGTTCAACAGGTGATGGTTGTACATGAAGCGAATCAGAGTGATGGCTGGAAATTCCAGGGAACATTTGTCAGGACTAGTACTCCAGACAGCAGCGGTCATGGGAATGAGGTAATTGTCCCGGAATTCAGGCGAGTAATTCTCCCTGTCGAGGTAGTCGCCAATGGTTTCCTGAGCTGAGGGCTTGTCTGTGCTCGATCCCTCCTCGGTTGTGGGATCACTGTCGCTTTCAGATTCGTCTTGCAATAGATCCAGAGCAAATTCATTGAACCGCACGATATCGAAGATCATCCTCCACATCCCAGATTTGAAGATATTCCTCTTCTGAGCGAAAACGGATCCGAGCGACGTGCCGGCCCACTCAAAAGTGCCTTGATCGCGAGACACACCAAAGGTCATGTCAGTCTTCAGGGTCGGCACTCCCACTTCATCCAAAAAGCGCGTAAAATTGGGATACGTGGCTGAATTCATGACAATGAAGCCCGTGTCCACGTCGACTTTATTCCCGTTCGGTCCTTCGAACGTGACAGTGTTCGTGTGCCCGCCGAGGCGGGACGCTGCTTCGAATAGATGGACTTCATGGCCGGTGCTGGTATTGAGCGCCCACAAGGCGCCGATGCCTGAGCATCCACTGCCCACGATAGCAACCCTTTTGTCCATGGTTGATGAAGCCGCTCGAAGAAGTCTGTTGACATGAAATTCGTTCTTTCCTGTAGTCGTCTCGACCGTGTTTCAAAGTCGGGGCGATCTTGCCGCCGCTCTTACCAGTGAGTCCAGCATATCTTCAGGACAACCCAGGTTTTGACGAGGAAGCCAGATGCAGAGACCTGGGGACAGAATCGAAAGCCATGAAAGTCTAAACGAGGTACCTAGGTACTCCGTACATTCTTTTAGATATACCTAGGTAGGCAGAATGACATCTATGATCCAATCATTTCAATTGATAAAGCGGCGAGAGACAGCCGTCGCATAAACGGCGACAGCTAACTTGATCTCGCTTCTATTCTTAATAGCGGCGTCACGGTGTTATCGGCTATGGTCCGTGAACGTTCCAGCCTCCTGCCATGACATCGTCGCTCGAACTGCGCTCAGTTGTGAACGATCATTCCTCGCCATACAATATTCCTCCACAGTAGCCCACGTACGCATGATCGCCTAGAGAAGATCCCTCCACCCGAGTCTTCCAACGAACAGCGCTCCGTTCCTCTCTCAACCCGGTGCAATCGTCCGCCTAAATAGGCGACACTCAATCCAGGACGAACAGCATACCCACCACTGCGCCTCTCACCATGTCCAACCCGCTGGACACCGATGCCGGCTCCGAGCTCTTCAGCACCTACGAAGCCGAGCTCAAACTCGTCGAGGCAGATGTAAACCAGAAACTCGACCAAATTCCCGAACTGACGGGCGAAGAGCGCAAAGCCGCCATCCGCGGCGCAGAAAGAGCGCTAGACGAGGCGAAAGAACTGGTAACGCGCTCCCCCCTTCTCTCCCTCTGCCTGGCCTCCCACACACACATGCTCTTGTTGTCCGATTCCTGCTAACAAAAAATGGTAAAAAGCTGGACCAGATGAACCTTGAGAAATCCAACATCCCCACCTCCGCCCGATCAAAAGTCAACTCGCGCTTCCGCAACCACCACTCCGACATCGACGGCCTCACACGAAAGTTGAAATCGCTCGTCGATTCGGACCGTAAACAGCTCTTCGGCGACAGATACACGGACGACCCCGAGGGAGGGTCGCGGGATCTACAACTCGAGCAGCGCCAGCAGCTTTTGTCAGGCACGGAGCGCTTGGGCCGCAGTAGCGATCGCCTGCGCGAGTCGCAGCGCGTCGCCCTCGAGACGGAACAAATTGGCGCGTCGACACTGGCGGATCTGCATCAACAGAGGAATGTGATCGAACATACGCATACGAATCTGCTGCAGAGTGAGGGATATGTGGATCGGAGTGTCAAGACGCTGAGGGGGATGGCACGTAGGTGAGAGACTCATTCACGCTGTTCGCCTGCCCGCCGAGACAATTATGCTGACTCTTCATTGTAGGATGGCTACCAATCGGTTGATCACCATTGCGATCATCACGGTATTGGTGTTACTCATTATTGGCGTGATTTACAGCAAGTTCAGGTAAATAGCAATGCATTGTGGAACGTTTTGTGTCGAGAGGAAGGGCGTACTCAGGGCGAATCGTCTACTCCCGTTTGTCCAGAAGGATGGGGATGTTGGCGTTCAGGAGCACCACTGCGGCAGGACTTTCCTATTTGTGCCAAAAACATATCCTTAATATGTCTGAGGGCAGCTATGCCTATAGATGCTTACGGCGGGAGAAACCATGCCGTCTACCCTGTATACCTAACAAGTCCCAATCCAATGTTGAGCATAAACCCAACCACGACGGCCATCTTTCGCCGCTGGCTCCAAATCCCTTCCTCCCGCACAGCCCACATGAGACATCCAATCGGCCAGAAGAAGCCCATCGCTGTGCCGAATATCATATCATCTAATGCGCCCGCTTGCCCATCGTCATCTGCAAAGCTCGCTCCCGCACCGTCGGCGAGAGCGCCCGGGTCAGCGCTCGCGTTGGAGTTGTCTAGCCACCTATCCTCCATGTTGCGCAGCGTGTTTGGCGAGGGCATCGTATCCGGCGTGTGCGTGTGGGCTTGTATGGCCAGGAACTGTAGCCTGAGAGACTGAACTTCGGCCGCAGTAAAGCCAGCATTCAGCAGGCGGTCGAACCCGCGTGGTGCGGGCGTCGTGGTCGTCTGCTGTGTTGTGGTAGCGATGTCTTCTTGGTCCGGTTTGCCGGCACCATTCTGGCTTGTAGCCGCCTCCTCTGCGAGTTCCTCTGCTGACAGCACAATATCTCCAATTGAGCAGTGTATGTAGATGCGTGATTGTGCGGGTGGGTCGCGCACAGCGACCTTGCCTTTGCCATTGTCCTTGTCAGCTGCGCCGTTGGCCCGAGAGTCGTCGTAGGGTCCAGGCGTGCCTACGCGGCTCGGTGGGCGGGAGACAGTGCGTTTCAAAGAGACCTTGAGCGAGACATCGTCGGCGAGGGCTTTGCCGGCGTAGATCAACCGAATCCGGTGTTTGGCGTATTCACTGGGGATACGGGAGCGGATAAGCTGTTTGAGGGCTGCGGTGTTGGCATTCGCAGAGCCTGGGATCGTGAGGAGCAGGTCGGGAAGAGAGGCGGAGAAGCGGATTGTCAGGTCAAGGTCGTCGTCGGCAGCTAGGTGGGAGGAAGGCACTTTCAGGGACATGGACATGTATGTGGTCCTGGGACCGATGAGACAGAGCAATGGGCACTTGCCGTCTGCATACTGTTCGGCCTTTGCTAGGACGCCGAAGGACGCACGACGATTCTGGTGGTTTTGGTCGTGTGCTGGTTGAATGGAAGCGGCGATGTCGCAGTTGAGATGGCACGATGAGAGTTGTGGTACGCCGTAATCTGATGAAGTCGCAGGGCGCAGCACATGATGGCCGAAGTGCACTTCTTCTATCGGCTCGTTTACAGACTTCGGAGGGGAACCACGCTTTCCACCACATAACGAAGGAATCATCACCCACTCGAGACCTGATGCATTGGATTTCACAAGGACTGTGGATTAAATCTCAGTTGACCTCAAAGCCGCTACAGTCTGCCCAGAACTGCGGATGCATTTGCGGCCTCCCCAAGTCCCGGAAGATATTGGTCTGCCTAAGACCTAGCTAAATGTACTGTTTTCCTAAACGGGGTGGGTTCAATGTCTTCCCAAAACGTATGATGTGATGTGATGCTGCAGAAAGTATCCTTTATGGCTAATGTTGAGGATTTGCCGGAGTGTCCATTGCAACAGCACTGCTCGAAAACTCGACAAGTTCGAGGAGACACTCATCCATCCAGACAGCACAGCTTTCATCGACATCGCTGAATATGTATCAACCACAATGACGGCTTAGGTGTTCATGTTCGTAACTTGAGCGTCTGCGCTGGCATCGATCCTCATGTTCGCTCAGCCGTGTCTCAGTCCCGTACGGTGCATGGATCTACCTCTTGAGCTTGCTTCTCACCATGGCTCGGACACTGACCATTTCTTTTCCTTAGCACCAAATTCAAGCGGTGAAAGCTCGAGTCTAATGGCAAGCGGATCGATGGTTGGCACGGGCACACACTGGACAATCAGTGCATACGCCATTTCATGCACCAGAAATGCTGGAATCCAGACCCAAGGTCAACCCGAGCTGTGCTTGAATGATGATGCTTACATTCTGCAGCGCAGTGCCATGTACTACGAGAGCAATGATGCCCAGAACGAGGTCCGGCACAGGTGATGGGTATGTTGATCCTTTGTAGCGGCTCGGAGACTCTGGGCACGGAGTAGGTGCCCAATGATCTTGATCACCCAGCCGTGCCAGCACACTCCTTTCAGCCTTCTTGCATGAAGGCCTTGTGATATTGAACGGCGCAGCAATACTGTCAGAACCAATCCTCGCGCTCAAGAAGGCCACGACCACATCACTCCCAATAGCGAGTTGCAACGATGTGACTGGCATCGCAGGTGCATGCTGATAGGCCGTCTGATGTGGTCTGGATCTCGGTCACTGCATATCCAGGTCCCGGAGCTTTTCCAGCAAGCGACTGAGCTGAATCGGACCAAAAAGATCTTCCCTATCGAGACTTTTGGCGTATGTTGCCGCATCTCTATTCGCTGCCAGTAGGCGAAACAACGCCTTCTGCGGGCTAGAGTCAACTTGGCATGCATGCTTCTCTCGAGCAAGCTTCCGGTGTTGTAGACCTCCAAGCAACCTGCATTCAACAAGCGACATCACCAAATATGGCTGGCTGAGACGCGGGAACTTGCATAGAGCCCTCAGCTTGGAGGATGGACAGCTTAAGGTGAGAGCAACTTAAGCTGTCCATCCTGCCGCCCCGAGATCAGGAAGATGTGAACCTTACCAAGCTGCTTGCTATTGTCAGTCAGTGTTACAATAATGATTACATTTGCTCTCGCTCTGGCCTTGCTGCCAACAATCCTGAACGCAAACCCGACGTTTGATCAGGTTCAAAATATTGTTGGACCAGCAACAAGCGGCAAGAGCACCTTAGCAACAACCACCATGCACATCCAGAATGGGCTTCCGGTCGACGCCACCATCTACCTGTACCACTGGCGCGGAGATGATGAAGCAACCAATCAAGGAATGAAATGGGACTTGATTCCTGCAAGAGAAACGTCTGGGGGAATCGACGTCAAATTTGAGATGAGTGAGTGCCCATCCACTGATCTCCGTCCCACCAGACCGACCATCTATAGTGAGAAAAGACTGGGATAAATGGCATCAGCTTTCGACGTCCTGAGTGGTCCCTATGGACCGAAGAGTTCAACAACACCCTCGGCATGACGAACATCAACAAGAAAGTACGATTTGATTTGAGATGGGATGCGATTCTTGGTCGCTTCCAGCTTCCAGCTGTGCGTTTCTCCTTGCCTGACATCTGACAAATCTGTTGACGACATTCAGGAGTGGTCATACTTTACTGGACGGGGAAGCAATTTTCCAAGTGATGCTAGTGGAATCAACTCTTTCTTCTTTCTCCAGGTACGTGAAGGGTATATTCAGCTGACGATCCTTCCCCATATATCTGACGCAGGCTCACTATAGGTCCGCAATGATCTCGACGAGCGTACTAGTGTCGACGTCAAGCTTGAGACGAGATCGGAGTCCTTTATTCAGGACCAGACATTCATTCAAGAAAAGGGCGAGTCCTCGAAGGCTCCGCTTCCTTTTTTCTTTGAAAAGAACGCAACCAAGGACTACGTCGAGCTATTCAGCTTCAAGGTTGGTCGCAAAACTAGGAAGCCCTTGACTGCCAATCTGAAGCGGTGCGAGATATATCCTGTGGATTCCGGCTCCAACCTGGTGCTGACTATCACCTCGACTGGCTGGTCGCTTTCTCTGTACAAAGATGTGAGATGCTCTGGAAAATGGGACGTGCAGAAGGGCGAGGCAGACGGCGACATGTACGAGGAGGAGTTGTAATGTGACAAAGAGAAGACGCTTGAGCACGGTGCACTTGTGTTGAGCCAGCCGGACTGAGGATGGCCAAGCAGGAGGCAGGTCATCGAGCAAGGTGGCTGAACGAGACCCTCGAACACGGGGTGGATGGATATGGCTGACTCACAACGAATCGATGTTACTCTCCTTTTACATGCTTGTTGTCGTCAACGGAAGCCTCTGTCAATAGGATGTTGAGCAATGCTGAGGGACCACAACCATATTAGGCTACGCTCAATTGTGGTGACCACCCCAATCAGATTCAATTCGACTCGACGACATCTCCATCAAGTAAACCTCTCCGTGTTTGCTCGTTGTGCAACACCATCACGCAGCTTTTCCTCGACGTTGATGGCATGCCCGCTAGTGGCGTACCCCTGGATCTCGACATTGCCGAAGATGTCTTCTTGAATGGCTAAAAGTTTGCTTCTGCGTCTATTCAGCCAAATCAAGAGGATGGTGGCGCCGTTGCTTTCTCGCGTGCCTGGACAGTGCATGAAAAAATTGAGGACCCTTACTGGCGGAATTTTGACAGACTGTGATGTCGACCGACCCCTTGCGGGCTCATTGTTCACTTCTTTCCTTCATCGCGCGAGGTACAGAGGGAGTGTTGTGCTACACCAAGTTTATCCGGACCGGAGTATGCTATCTAAGCGACAGCAACAGTCTGCTGCTGCAGATGAGCAGCTCCACTGCCCAACTCCCTTTCCTTTCCCTTTTCCCTCAGCCTCTTCTTTTCCTCCTCCAACATCCTCGCTTGACGCTTGACTCTTTCCGGGACCACTTCACCTCTTTGACCCTGGATCTTCCAGCCTCGCAGTTTCTCCGGCCCACCCACTTCCTTGATCGTCTTCAACTCCACGAGACTGTACTCGTCCTTTTCGTTTCTGTTAAAATTAAACGGCTCCACCAAGGACACCGGCGGATTTGTGATGATCCTGGGCAGACGCCGACCATTCTTAGACGCCGAATGGACCATCAACGGATGCAAGAGGATGACATCGCCCACGGCCCCGGTCATTTCGTGGAAACTTTCATCCGCACACCCTTGCACGAGCCTGGAGTAGAACTCGAGTCCATTTTCAAAGTTCTCAGTCGTCGTTGTTTCTCCTCCCGACGGGCTGATAGGCGTCATTCGCGGCAGCACGCCCTGAGGGTGGTCGTACAGATACCTCGCGATCTTCCCGATCCCTTCGGAGCAGACCCACGTCCCCCCGCCGTTGGGCAGGATGTCCGTGAACAAAGGGATGACAAGCAGTCCTTGCTCAGGCGAGTCGAGGAAGTGGACGAAAAAATCGCCGTCGACGTGCCAGCCATTCAACTCCTTGGGATGAGTTTCCTGGCCTTGGTTCTCCTTGGTGCCCAGATTGACGATGAACGCGTCTCGCCAGGACTTGGAAGGCTCGGTGATTCGGTCTTCGCCGCCGACGATCTCGCAGATGGCTTCGTACGCCTTGGGCGCAAAATCCCTGATCGCCACGCTGTGGTGCGACGGCATGTTCGTCCTCTCCTCGGTCCAGGTCTCTGGGTCCTTGGGGTCGAACCCAAGCCGTGTCCAGACGTCCTTTGTCCATTCCTCGGCCGCCTCGCGCGTGAAACAGCCCGGTATACGGAGGAAGCCATGTTCCATGAATGACTCGACTTGCTCCGACGTCAGGTGTTTGTATTGTCGGCCGTCCATCTTTGTAGTCACTGCAGTCTTGGATTAGATGTGATGAGACGAGGAGGTTTTTCTCCCGGTCTATCAATAGTACTAAGTAGTAGTAGTTGTCAGGAGCCTCTTTCGACTTTGGTCTTTCTTGATGGAGACTCTCAATGGATATATACACAGTATTGCCAAATTCGCTGCAGAGTATGTAACTTGGTTACTAGGGCCGACGCCGGAGATACTAGTACTGTTGACTCTGGGAGAAAGAATCTTGGAATACTAACTTAATGAGCTTTGTCAGTAAATGCTTTATCTCGGCAGATCACGCCCTCCAATATTCAACCAATTTAGCCGAATTTCGAAGGTATCTAGGTAGGATACGAGTTACCTCGTACCAAGACTGACAGCGGCACGTCCGCCTGATATAGCCACTATAGGCTACCAAGACAGCCATCAAACAGTGGGGCCTACTAAGAAACACAGCTGCACGGCCATTACGCGCGCCTGAAATTGATGTCCCCTTCCTTCGTCCCTTTATACAGAACCCAGGGGGGAGTTTAGGGTAGACAGCACCCGTAGAGCTTGAGACCACTTGCTAGATTGATTGCTTGGCCAACTCGTCCCGAAACCTCCAAAAGGCTCGTTGTGGTTATATAGATTCCTGTACGGAGTATCATCTGCATGGTTTCGGCTTCCGAGGCAGCCATTCAGGGGGTCTCAGCCTCATGAGTGATATAAGCGAAGCACTTTCGACAAAGTCAAAATCTTAGCCGTACCACTGTCGCTGGCACGCTGCCGTTACTCCCCGTTCCCCCTCTTGCAACAAAGCTACAAGTAGCGTGCGGACGACATGCCGGAGAGAGCAATGGTTAGAACGCCGAAGCCCAATACTAGGATGCCGGGAATGTCGCTTCTTCTTCTTCCCATCGGCAACACTTGAGCATCGTGAAAAGAAAAGCATCCTCTCACGGCGTGCCGGTTAACCGAAGCTCTCAACTCTCATCCCGTACCAGGAAGCGAAACCTTCTCGTTGGAGTCGACGCAATGCATATGGGCAGGTCTCCATGGGGTGATCAAAGGCTGGGGTAAACAAGTCACTAACGTAACTCAGTAATTACGCGAGAGGAACGGAGACATTTTGGCGAGTCCCCTCAGGACGTTCTCCTATTACCCGGAAGAGGCTGAATGCGCAGATCTCGAGACTACACCATTTTCGACGAATGCTCTGCGCCAACAAGCGGTTCAAATCAACTTATTGCTCAAGGACACGGCTATGCAATGGAATGCAATGCTCGAGCCAACCCCAGTGGGTACTGGCGCTTCGGCTATACGTATGGAACGGCAAGCGAAGAATGGTAGTACTTATGTCAAGTGTCCTCCGTGATACCAAAGACTGAGTCGTGCCACTCCTGACCGACCGGAAAAAGACGTGGTTCATAGCAGAACGAAAGACCAACATGGTCGGTATATCAGTTGTGAAGCCAATGCATCGTGTGGAGAGAGAGGTCGCAGTCGCCGAAGCACCTGACTTGCATAGGGTGATATGGTATAAAGATCCAGGGCTTCGGAAGCTCTATGGCATGGCAATCGCCTTGTTCTTTGCATCCGCGACAACAGGATATGACGGGTGAGTGAAGAGTGACTCTGCTCGCAGAGGCCCAACCACTAACCATAATAGATCCATGTTGAATGGCCTGCAGATCCTTGATGTCTGGCAGGATTACTTCCATCATCCCACAGGATCCATCCTGGGTCTTTTTGGATCTATTTACAGCATTGGAAGTCTCGCCGGATTGCCTTTCGCGTAAGAAATCGTCCAGAAGGACAGAGACAGAGACGCCGACTTCCTCATAGGCCATATTTGTCAGATACCTTTGGTCGTCGAATTGCCATCATGGTAGGATGCCTGTTCCTCTTCGCCGGAGTCGCCATTCAGAGTGCGTCGCAAAACTTCTCCATGTTCATTGCTGGCCGGTTTCTTGTCGGCTTCGGAAACAGCATGTGCTCAAACTCTGCACCACTCCTCCTCACCGAGTTGGCCCATCCTCAGCACAGAGGAAGGGTGACAACGGTTTACAATCAGCTCTGGGACATTGGTAGCATTGCTGCAACTTGGATAACCTTCGGGACTTTCACAATCAAGAACAATTGGTCGTGGAGAATACCATCCATATTCCAAGCTTTTCCGACCCTCATTCTATTCTGCACGATATGGACGATACCTGAAAGCCCAAGGTGGTTGATCTCCAAGGACAGGCACTCGGAAGCATTGGCGACACTCGCAAAGTATCATGCCAATGGCGACGAAACAGACCTGACGGTGCAATTCGAGTTTCGCGAGATCAGGGAGACGTTGCACCTTGAATTCCAGTCGAAGCGGTCAAGCAGCTATCTGGACTTCCTCAAGACCAAGGGAAACCGGTATCGCCTGTTGCTGGTTGTTGCTCTTGGCCTTTTCTCTCAATGGAGTGGTAACGGCTTGACTTCATACTATTTCTCCCTTGTTATGAAGAGTATCGGAGTGACCAACAACAACGAACAATTCGAGATCAATGGTTGCAAGACAATTGTCTCGGTAAGTGACTGATCTAGCTGTTTTGACTGGCGAAGGGGCCACAACTGACATATTGCAGCTAGTGGTCGGTTTGATCGCCGCAGCGGTCGTCGACAAGGTTGGAAGAAGACCGTTATTCCTCAGTGCAACCTGTGGTAGGTTGACACAAAAGCCGAAGGTAGATGAAGCTGATGATTTTGCAGGAATGTTTGTTTCCTTCGTACTCTGGACGGCTTGCTCGGCATTGTATGACCTCGACGGCAACCTCGCAGCAGGAAAGACGGTCATCTTTTTCATCTTCCTTCACGGAGCCTTTTACAACATTGCTTGGTCTGGCCTCCTAGTCGGATACACTGTCGAAATCATGCCGTACAAGCTTCGTGCCAAAGGCCTGATGTTGATGAACTTCTTCGTGCAAGCGGCTCTTGTATTCAATCAGTGAGTTGGGCTGTGGTATCCGTTGTCGACAACCCTGACTGTAGGCAGATACATCAATCCCATCGGACTCGATCATTTACAGCCTCGATGGAGGTTCTACGCGATATATTGCGTAAGTGTACTCGCACCGTTCTCGAATTTTGGGACGAAACTGATCATTTGCTGCAGGGATGGCTGATGTTTGAACTCCTCTTTGTCGCACTCCTTTTTGTCGAAACGCGTGGTGTAACTCTCGAGGAAGTGGCCAAGATCTTTGATGGCGAGGACGCGGAAGTGGCTCACGTCGATCTTGATGTCGTCCAGGAGAAGGTGCAGACTTTGGCGGTCACTGAAGTCGAAGATGTCAGACCTGAACACAAGGTTTAGCAGATTTGCGAATACTGGAACTGAGCAACACCCGCATGTGGTGCTTTTCAAGTCCAGACAGGGCGGTGCAAGATAAATTTCAGCGCCAGGTTGCTTGCCGTCCCGTTGTGAAGGAAATGAAATGCGTTGATGGCGGACATCGGTGCGAGACCATCCACCCCGCTGTAGTACGCAAGAACAATACCCGGATTGCGCTGGATCGGAGGCCACGCAAGGGAGAAGGAGAGACGGTCAGTTCAAGAAATGACAGTCTGGTACAATGTTGACATATTGTGCCCCTTACTCTGATGTAGGCCCCATCCCCGCTTGAAGATTGCAACATGTACTGCATTCTCTTTTCAGGCCTTTGGCTGCCACCAAAGTTGACACGGCTCGCGTGCCAATGGTTCATCCCATTAGACCATAAAGCCTGGAATGCTTCGCTGCTGTACCAACGCCTCTTGCTGTGGAATGCATCAGATAGTCGCCCACAGAACAATAACACCATGATCATTCTCATGATTATGACCGCAATCCGCTTCCGCAAGTATTCTTGCAAGAATAGATCTCGAGTCTCACTCAACGATGGTCTCCGGTGGCAATTCAAGTGCGCGGCATAGGCCCGGTCTCTCTCACGACAAAATCAGCGCACAGTTTGCCGTCGATACATGGACACCTCGTGACGGCCGTTTCGTACTGTGGTACTATTGCACTACAACTCTGTCCCATCCCTCCATAGCCATCGCTAGAAATGCTACCTTCCCGGATGAAGAGCCGGAGATGGACGAGCGAGACGTTCACGCCATAGTCGAAACGATCCTTGACGATCGCTGGCAATTAATCGAGCCTCAATTGAGCCCGGGTGGCCATTTCCCCAAGCCAACACGTGATGGCTGGGCTCCCTGCGATCATGGCATGTGTTGCTCCCGGGTCGCCAGGTCTGTCCGGAGAACGTCAGTGATGCGAAGCCCCAATATCCGGACAAGACGGGATCAAGATGTTGCAGACAAGGCCACAAGGTTATGGCAGGGCACTTGGGACGAGCTCTTGTCATGTTCAAGGGAGCATTGCGCAAGTTCTGATGGGAGTTCTGCGCTCAGCAGCGAGCCATTGTCGTCTGAAAAGGAAAATCGAAACTTTTTCTCGCGCCTTTTCTCGTCTTCTGCGTCTATAGCACCGTCGCAAGGGACGCAAGGCCGACGTCAGCATTCTAACCACCCCAGTCAACGTTCGTGGAGCTCTTTGAGCTCTTCCAAGATTATATATGACCCAACATCGCCCAACCCTTCGGAAGAGGACCGACTTCTGCAGTTGTATAATCAAAGGTCCAGCGCTTCTAGCAGATCGGTTGCGTCCCGCAGGTCGGTACGTGCGAACAGAACACCGCCGGAACCAGCAGTTCCAGTAGAAGTGAACCATCAGGATGACGAGTCTCCCATTCCTGTCCGAGAGGGCGGTTCCAGACAAAGTACAAGATTCCTTCCGAATATACAGGCTTCTTGGTTCGTCCTTCGGAACACTATCGCCATGATATCTTGTATAGTTGTGCTGGACCCAACTTTCGAGTTTCTCTGTGCGAATTTGCACAGAAGACGGAGTCCCGATCTATCCTGGCCAACATTTCGTCGAGGATTCGAGCTGAGCTGTACACTACATTGTGTATGGCGGCTCATCGATGCTGGTTTCCGAATATTGGAACGGTGGTTCTGGAGCCGTTGGTCGATCGAGGCTAGTCCACCACAAATGCCACTCTTATCGAGTACCACAGAGATGGCTTGCGGAGCTGTGACATGCACGATAACAGCATTCGTCTGCTACCATCTCAGCCTGAGCCATGCATGGTATTTGTGCAACGAGGTGTTACTGCTGTTGTTACCACACCAGAATCCCACCAGTTAAGACCCCACCGGTGCACCTCGAGAGCCAGCATGGACACCATAAGAGAACCTCATGTGGGCAGCCCAAACACATCAAGCAAGCAAACAGTTATGAGGAGCCCCACCAGCGCGTTTTCCCTCTCACACCACCAGCGTTGTAGGCCGACTCCTCCTCTTCAAACTGCAGCCTCTCAACGACTTGACGAGCTCTGAAACTCTTGACAAACTTCCAAGCTTCAGTATCTGCCAGATTCCAAGCTTCCGCCACTCTCCGGATCTTGACCACCTCTTCATCCTTACTGCTGACGGTTTCCGCAGCCTTACGCAGAAGCTCGACTTCAATAGCCGCCTGCTCTTCTGTAGGCGGACTAGGGTCTGAGCCTTTCTTACGTTCGGCGGGAAGTCCGGCAGGAGATTTGGCCCAGCGCTCAGGTCCAGGAACTGGAGGAAGAGACTCACCATGAGAGATTGCCGTCCTGGGGATGGGGAAGCCGAAGTGCCAATCAAGGTGTTCGAGCCAGTCTTGTGGAAATGGGGCGACCTTTTCCTCTTTTGGATGAGCATCATTGGTTGGCGACCTTGGAGGAGGCGGTGGTGGCCAAAAGGACACAGGGAAGTGCTCGGTTGTAAACCACAAGGAACGACTGCTACCATATTCAGAAGCAACCGCATCCTTGAGACTCACAACTCGGCTCGGACCACCCCGAGAATTCCCAAGAAGGTCGCGAGTTACAGTATTGATCCACGGATCCCTGTCAGTATGTCGCCTGATGTGTGCGACGGTTATCGCATCGCTTAGATTGGCAAGGGCTGTCATGGTGTACGGATGGGGCACAATGGCAATTGTGAACAAGGATGATGTATTCCGAAAAGAAGGCGCGGTGGTTATCCTCAGCTTTGAACCGATACAAGGACTGCACTTGGATCGGTTGGGAGGACAAGACGATTGCAGAATTGAGCTTGGGCACTCGGCAAGGAGTTTCGCCAGATCCTTAGCTGGTTTTACAAGTGAGAATGTGTGCGCTGCAAGGGGTTGCAAGACAGCGATGCCGCTGCTGAAGCTGTTCTGCCAGATGGTATGAAGGTGAGCGATCATAAGCTGATTGAGTGACCGTCGACCTTTATTGGGGTCTTGCAGGATTTGCTCAGCCAAGGCCGGGTACTTAGCAGGTATGGTCTGAGAGTCGTAATGCGCGATCGAGGTTGGCTGCTCGACTTTGAACAAGTCAGAGCCTATGGCCTCTGTCATTGATGTAGACGCACTGAGTTTGACATTTGCAAGAGCTCCTTTTATGGCGTCGTTTATCTGAACTTGTTCACCAGCGTAGAGGCCAGATCCGAGACCTTCGAACCTGAGGAGGTGTGGATATTGTCCACGCCGTAGATGTGCGAGCAAAAGATCGTCGTATGCACCCATGGGCAGACAGTACCAGCTGGCCAGAAGCCCCGTTCCCATGTGAGCCCACGCCAGCCACTGCCGGAATTCTTGTTCCAATGCTGGTGACAACTTCTCGGCTTGTACAGTCTGATACAGTGGATGGCTCATGGCCTCTGCCTCTGTCAGAACGACAGGTCGAAAGCCGTGAGCCCACCATGCTCGACGCCAGGTCAAGAGTAGCTCTTGGTCCACCTTTTTAATCTCCTCGTCCTTTTTGATGGTTGTGTCGTAGTAGGTGTACACGGGAGGCCGTGCACGCAGCGGGGGAAGGACGATGCGTTCCTCGTCTAGAGTCACCGAGGAAGAGAAGGGATTCTGCCATGTCCAGTCACTGTACCAGGAGCTGTCTCCATGCGTGCTGTTCTTCTGCTGAGGAGGCTTGTGGGCAGATTTCTGAAAGGTGAACCGGAAGGGAACATTGAAGGTTGATATCGACTCACGGAGTGCTTCTTTGTAAGTCGCTGGATCGTTGAGGGCACCGGTCGAAGGTTTTGAAGAGATGGTGAATATTACAATGCCGATAAGGAAGACTGCGCCGACAAATAGGTATCTCGAGAAATGCCGTGGAGGCATGATGATTCCGCTAAAGAACAAAGGACTGAACGGGAGAGGAAGAACACAGTTGAATCTATAGCATGAATCTCAACATTCTGACTGCCCCCTGCCCTCATGCAAGCAAGGTAGGATAGGAAGAAGATTTGAGCGGTGTTGCGTAACCCCATCCGAGATTGAGATGAACGCGTTGCAGCTAATGACCTACTTGTAACTAAGGGCGGTCCCCAGAAAAGTTGCAGATTGGGGTTGGTGTCACCTAAGGAGCCTAAAAAGTGCAGGCCCAGGACCCCGAATTGCTTACCTAAAGAGCCACCCAAGAGCCACCCAAGAGCCCTATTGGGCAAGGTGCTGGCCCAGAGTCTGAACAAGCATGATGAAGCCTTGCACCAAGCTAGCCTCGTCTCTAGTCCTACTAATTGCTATCCCTGATTGATTCACCTTACTACCCTGAAGCCGCATCAGCGAAATATATGTTGGTACCCAGTTGAATACTACCTCCCGCTTATCGAACACAATGCGAGAATACGCGCCTACCTATCATCACGATCCTGTAGAAGCACATCCCGTCAAATCTGCACAATCGTCGACTGCCCATCGATGCACGTATTCGTACTACTCCATCTACAGAACTAGGCTCCAACCAACAGAGACCTATAAGTAGCCTCGACGAGTCTCGGTGGTCTTGTTATCGAGACTTTCCACGCCCAATCTTCATTGAAAGAACACAAAAACCCCCTCCAAAGAAAAATAAGCAAATACGCAGATATGACAAGATCTGACCTGTTCACCTCTGACCCAAACTGGACCGCCTTTGCCGAAAAGCAGGGCTACCTGAAACCAGCAGGGGCACCATCACCGTCACCCAACGTCCCCGTCACACTGGACATCCCTTCAGACCGCGCCGAGCAAGCCATCGACGAGGCAAAATGGTCTCAAGACCACCCTCTATCGTCCGTTGGCTATGACTCCCGGCTGTCGACCATAACCGTGCGCGACGGCACCGCGATCAGTGTGAAGATTTCATTCCCGGCTCGTCTAGCTAATGAAACCCAGACCCAGACCCAGTCCGAATCCAAATCCAAACTTCCAATCCTCTTCGTCACCCATGGTGGCGGCTGGGTGCAGGGCACGCACGTCACCGAAGAAGCATGGCTGTTGTGGCCGCTCTATTCGCGATTCGACATGCTCATCGTGAGTGTCGAGTACCGGATGGCGCCGGAGCACCCCTTCCCGGCATGGATGGACGATAGTTGGGACGTGCTTGAGAAGCTCCTCTCCGAACCTACCACATTTCTATCCCATTTCTCCGCTGCTTCCGCTGAGTCGAGCAGCTCAATGGGCAATGTCGACATAGATACGGACAAGGTGATTCTTCTCGGATCCTCCGCTGGCGCAGGAACGGCTGCATACCTTTCGCAGACCTGCCGGGACAAAAGCATTCCGATCTACGGCGTGGTTTTGAACGTGCCTTTATTGTGTGACTACCGCCATCTCCCTGAGGATTGTCAGTCGAGCTATGAGCAAGTCACGAGCTCGCTATTGTCGGCAGGCGACATGCGCGCGATGTGGGACGTGATCATCCCGTCGCCAACAGTAGGAGCAGATCCCAAAGCGAGCCCGTTGCTGGGCGATGTCAAAGGTTTACCCAGACATTTGGTTTTCGTGGCAGGACAGGATCCGCTACGGGATGAGGGATTAAAATATGTGCAAAACTTGGACGAGGCCGGTGTGGAGGTCAAGCTGTATACGTACCCGGGTGTGCCGCATACATTTGCGGAGTTCTGGGAATTGGATGCGACGGCGAGGTTTTGGGAAGATCTCAGGAGCGGACTCAAAGAATGGCTGGCGTAGAAGTATCAGTGGCGACGCTTGACAATACAGGTGGGTGGACGTTCTTATTGTTAGAACTGTGACAAAGAGCTTCAACACGCAAGAAAATCAGACAGACAAGGAAATAGGAAATCATATGAGAAGGCACCTTCGAGTGGCATTCGACCTACTTCAGTGACAGTCTTACAAGGTCGTTCCATCAAAACAACAACACTCGCCCTCTCCCTCTTCGTCGTCCTCACCGTCCGAACCCAACGAACTTCCCAGTACTCGAAAGCATCTTCCCACCTTGCTGCGCCGCGCCTTTCCCAACATCACCTGCCTTTCCAGCAGCTCCCACCGCAGCCGTACCAGCACTCTTACCGGCGTCCGTTGCCTTTCCAGCGCCCTGGGTGGCAGTCGACCCAACACTCTGGCCTACCTCTGTTGCTTTGCCTGCGGCTTTCGACGCGCTAGAATAAACACCCTGAGAGACATCGGCGCCGGGATCTTGCGACGTCGGCCCAGCTGCTCCAACCTTCTCCTTACCCTCGTTGTTTTGCTTTGACTCACTCGGACTCTTTAGGCCTGAAACAGCACCCTTGGCTTTTTCACCGGCCCCCTGCGCAGCACCCGTCGCTCCGGATGGAATGCTCGCCAACCTTTCGCCAATCGATTCAGCAGAAGGTGCACCTGGCTGTCCTTCACCTCCAGACGGTGACCTGACGGCTTGCTGCTGGCTTGATGCTCTCCGCGGCCCAAGTTTAGGAAGCTGCGACTTCGCGCCGGACACCTGTCTTACAAGATCCGGCGTCGGAACAGATGTTGGTGGCGACTTGGCCCCTGAAGAGAGTCGCTCAAGTTTCGCCGGTGGCGACTTCATCCCTGAGGCTTGTCTCACGAGCTTCCCAGGTGGAGACTTGATTCCTGACGGTGTCCTTTCCAACTTTCCCGAGGGGAGTCTGTCCAATTTTGGCGGTCTTGCTTTCTCACCAGCCCTGGACGGTGTCTTATCCAGCTTCGGCCTCTGAGCATTGACGTTCTTCGATGACGATGCCCGCTTCTCGAGTTTTGGGGGAGCTTTCTTGTCCGCACCACGGCCACCAAAACCGAGTCTAGGCATACTAGGCAAGTATGACGCTGCTCTGGAGGTATAAGTTTGCCCTGCCTTTGCTGCATTTTGCGCTTGTCCTGTGGCTGCTTTGCCAGCATCGCCAGCCTTGCCAGTCGCAGTGTTAAGTCCCTTCTGGGTTGTCTGTTGGGCTGTTTTCGCCGCGTCTTGTCCTCCTCCTACGGCAATATTACCTGCGTCGCCCGCCTTGCCAGCCGTCGTATCCAGACCTTTCTGCACGGTCTGGCCCGTATTCTGGGCTGTGGTGCCCACTGCATCTGACACGTCTCCTGCCTTGTCCTTGACAGGTTGTGGCGCCCGATCCTTAGCTTGGTGTATGATTGGTGCTTTGTCTGCAACTCGCCTTGTTGACTTCAGAGCTGGATTGTCCTTCGGGTTGAGAGTGTTCTTCACTGTTGTGGTCGCTGTCTCAGAAACGGCCCCCGCTGTGCCTTTTGCGGTGGATGCAGTGGTATCAGCTGCTTTCGTTGCTGACTCTTTGGTCTTGCCAGTGGGTGTCTTCCGCTCTCGCTGTTCCTTGCCACTTCTGAGTGAGGATAGAGAAGGCAGATACGACGATACCTGCGACATGTAGCTCTGTCCTTGGTCGGTGGCACCTTTTGTGGTCTTCCCTGCCTGATCACCGGGCCTTTTCACGTCCTGGGAGGCCTTTTGCTGAGCGGCGCCGGCCGGCGTCGTCTTGCTGGTATACGGCATGCTAGGCAGACTCTTGTACAACCTCGTCGCATAGCTCTCTGTCGAAGCCTGCGCGTCCTTTGCAGTCTGGCCCGCCACGTTCCCTGCTCCCACGTTCCCTGCTTGGGTCGGGTCTTTGGCCACGTTCTGCACGTTCCCAGGAGCCTTGTCCACATCCTTCTTACTCGGTAGATTTGGCACGTAGAAATACTCAATGGCCCTGGTGACCAGAGTCTTCTTCGTCTGATCCTGGACCTTCTTCTCCAGCTCACTGGCCTCCGCCTCCGCCTCAGCAGCTTCATCCTCCTTGCCGCCCGTACTCTCGCGTCGCGTCAACCACCTCTTCTGACTCGCAAGCGACTCCTTTCTCTCTTTCTCCTCCATCTCCGCAAGCAACTCCCTCTCCCTCTCCACGGCATCCATATCAATATCCTCGAACCCGATCTTCTTCAAAATCGCCCCAATGAGATACCTATACCGCTGGTGGCTGCTCACATCCTCCGAGACGTCAAAGTTCTCCACGCCACTCAGACCCTCGACTTTCTGCAGGCCCGCCACCCCAAACTGCACCGCACTAGTCCTGTACATGAATCCCAACACATAATCATTCTTACTGTACACATTCACCAGGCGTCCAGCGACCACACTGCGCAATACCCGCCAGTCACTCGTATCACTTGGGGTCGGGCTTCCAATCAGCACCGCGTTCTCGACGATTCCAAACTCGCCCCGTCTCGCCAGGCTCATAAGACACGTATACACGACCCTCGCGCCGAGACTGTATCCGATGAGCGTAACGGGCCTTTCACCTTGCGCCCTGTTCACCAAAGCGTCGGCAAGCACCTCTCCCGCCTTCTCCGCTCGAGTTTTGGCCACACTGAACGGATTGTCTATGACGCGCGCCACCTTCATCAGCGCGACCGGCCACATCGCACCAGCCAGTTCGGCAAAGATCGTACGCTTGACAATCTCGCTCTGCGCATAACCCCATGCAGCGCTCTGCACGACGCCGTTCATCGCATTCCCTAGATTCAAAAGGGCCTCGAGTTCGAACTTCAGCGCAAAAACCTCGGCTCCGGTACCCAGCACGCGCCACGGCTTGACGACCTCCTCCTTCTCGGTCAACCACCCGGACACACCTACCGTGACTCTGAGCTTATGATCATGCTCACTAGCCTGTTTGGCGCCCTCGTCCTCGTCCTCACTCGTGCGCTTATCACTGGCGCCATGCACAGGCAGGAACTGAAAATCCTCGACCTCCCGCGCATACTGGTCCATCATCTGGCCTGTCATCCGGCCACCATATGCGCCAAATAGACCGCCCACAAGCATAGTACTCCCCGCTACACTGCCCAGATAAGCCGCTGCGCTCGTCGCACCGAGGCCCAGCCCGCCCATCACGCTGCCCACGCCGGCCGCAACAAGAGGAGCGGCAAGGCCGCCCGACACTCCCAAGATTGCGGCGCCAGCGGCCGTTGCAAGCGCCACCTTCCGCCGCCTCGAATCCTTGTTCGCTTCGATCTTGGCTTCCATCGCTTCGTCGGCGGTCATTTCGCGAGCGTGCTCCAGCAGACCCTTGGCAGTCGTGTACTCGTCCTGCTCGAACGTTTTGAGTGGCAATTTAAGCGACGACGTCAAATTGAGCATAAGGACACGACTGTACGCGTTGTAATGTTCGAGACTAATCAACAACAACAATATCGAATGCAGTACCAACGTACGCTCCTTCATGGCCATCTTGGTAAGCGGCGTCCTGGCTGGGGGGAAGAGGTCTTTGAATTTCAGATTCACTGCTTTGTTGCCTGCTTCCATCACCTTGCCCGTCGTCATAGGCGCCGTCGGCTTCGATGTATCGGCTTTGCCGGCACTCTTTTTCACGTGCTGTTTCGCGGTCCGGCCACTGTTGACGACCTCGCCTACGCGCATGATGACATGCTCGCGCCAGTCATCGTACGCTTTCAGGGCGTCTTTCTTGAGATTCTTCATCTTTGCCGTGGCCAAGTCCTTGTCGCTTTCTTCTTTGAGTTTGCGTTCGCGGTCGAACGCCGAGACATCGGCGTGCGGATCGGCGGCCATCATCTTTTCATCTTCGCTCATTCCCTCGCGGAGTAGAGCTTTGTTGAGACCGGCTGTTGAGTTGAAGTTGTCTTGAATTAGTTTCCGCATGGACTCAGTCAATTTGGCAATGAGGAGTGTGAGGTCGGCGCGTTGGTTCTCATCGAGAATGGTTGTGAGGTCCATCTCATTCTTGTTGGTCTCCTGGCCTTTGCTGGCCGACTGAGGCTGCTTTTGGTCCGTCATATTGGCTGAAAAGAGCACAGCTCCACTTCAGATACACTATTCCAGTATGATGTGGCTGCAGGCATTTATTGGACAGCCACTGCAAAGAATCGTTGAACTACCGTCCAGTTGATCAGCAAAACTTGAGCAGGCGAATATCGACCTCAAGCAAGGCGTCGTCAAAGCGACTAGCAAAGAGCAATAGTAAACGACAAAATTGAGCTGAGAAAGAAGTCGAGGTGTGGCGGTGCAGGCTCTTGTAATCGGAACGAAATGCTGCGTGGAAGTGACGTAGACTCCGAAGGGATTCCAGGGATGTCCCCTGTCGCAAAAGGTCCCTTTCTGCAGAACACGAGCACGATCGCCAAAACCTGGAAAAGAAGAAAGTAAATGGAGAGAAGGATCGTACTGTGTTTGGTGGTATCTTGATAATTCATCTCATTCGTCTTTGCGTGGGCACGTTTTCTTCTGGATCGCAGCTGGGATTCCGCTCGCTCAGAGATATGACCAGAAGGCTTTTCTTATGCATTCCTGTCCAGATTTTGTTGAACACCAAGCGCCGTTCACCTGTTGATGCGTTGCAAAACATGCGGCGGTCTATAGAATGGTGCCAAAGCTGTGGATAGCGTCAGCAAATGTCCGGTCACCATAACAGGAAGGACACACTCACCCAAAGGTCTGCTTGATACTGCGAACGTAATAACCTTCCCAATTCCTCTGCACCACCTCTTCTTGTCCGACCGGTACTCCAGTCCATGTCACTCGCATATTGGTCACTCGGTCGACATCGTTCTGGTCAAAGAAGATCTCTTGTGTACTTGTATGTCCTTCGGGCCATTGTGCTAACCTCCATTTTTGTACGATTTTCTTCGGAGGCTCCAATGTGACGAATTCTCCCGACACGTTGCCGTCGAAGATGGCAAATTTTCCACCTGGCTTGGCTCCCTCAAATACTCGTGGCGGGGCTCGTGTAAATGCAGCAAGGCGCTGAGGATCGGTGAATGTTTGATACATTTCTTCTGCAGTTGTCCTGAACTCATCCGTAGCTGTCACTGTGGTTGTGTTGACAGAGGATGTGCCGGTAGTTGTAGTGGTTGTGGCGGAGGTGGAGGTAGGTGTCCGTTCTCTTTCAGGGTGCCATGTAGGCGTTGCAACACCGCTCGAAGGATTCGAGGTGGATGTATGTTGTAGATCCTTTCCATGCTCTTTAATCAAGGAAGGCCCGAGAGTAGAGAAAACTTTCCGAAGTTCGGGTGTAAGTTTCGTGCGCACCAGGTCTTTGACCGGTTGCTTTTCTTTCTTTTCGGAGTAAATGTCTATCTCAAACTGTTGCAGTGTTAGTTCATTGACTCAGATGCCAGCGCGAGAGCAACTGGAACATACAACGTACTCGTCTGGCTCCGTGTCGTACGCGCACTCCGGGACCCGGATGCTACCACTGACATCTGTGCCGTCTGCTGTCTTGCCTAGGCGAGTTGTCAGCACATGTGGTCCGGACAGCAGGCTGGGATTCTTCCGCACCTTCGTATTCCAATTGTAGGACCACGTCGAAAATTGTTATGACTTTGCCTTTTCTCTGGCTCACCTCCACATCCCCGTCCATCGACACCAGTTTCGTGATCTGTGCGGTCACCCCATCCTCTTCTGCCGAAAGCTTTTTGCATTCCGTGTCTAGATAGTCCTTTGCCCACTGCCCAGCATCTTTCATCACCCAGTGCCAGTTGTTGGGATTGTGGAGGACCATGGTTGATAGAGGAGGACAGTCGAAGGCTCAAGTCAGGGCAATAGGAGTTCTATCTCAAGGTAGGTCAGAAACTGTGTCCAACTAGGTCGTCTGTGTTTGTGCTTGGGAATGAAGTATTCAGATATTCGGCGTAGTGCCTTGTAAAGCTGATCCGCATGCAAAGAGTACAAGTCTTCTCAGACTGGTGCCAGCTGGAGTCTCATCACGAAAATTGGGCCTATGAGGGACAGATTGACATACCGTTTAGGAGCAAAGCTGAACAAATATACACTTCGAACGACACAGCAACCTTTTATTTCGTAAATCGTGAGAGAAGAGGTGCGAAGGACATGCAATCCGAGCGCCGGAAACATCTAGAATTTTGGAAGCGATGGTCCCGTTCATCGCCTTGCCAAGAATTTGCGCACCAGAATTACTCCGCCGACGCTGCAAAGGAGAACATCTTACCAGCAAGGGCAGTATGCAGTGGGAGACACCCTTGGGAGAGTAAACAGCACAAGGACGAAGACCTGCAATGTATGAAAGTGATCATTCAATTGATCTTTTCGATCTGAATCCCTATTGCGGCTCCGATCGCATGTCCAAGCCCAATTCAGCTCGGGAATCTCATCGCTGTCTGTAAACTGGGGAATTATGTGCCATATCTGACTCGATAACAAAACGGCTCGACTGCTCGACTGCTCAACAACTGAGAGCGCGCAACGCCGCGGAGCTCTACCATCCATCCAACCGGCTCCAATACTCTGACATATGACATTGTGTGGCTCCTTAGACCAGTGTATCACTCTTCAAGGGCCTTCCAAGACACCAATTCTTCTTTCCCATATCTCTTGTCAAGCCTTCAGCATTTTTTCGGTAGGGGTAATTCTGGACTCGTTCTTCCGGTAGTGTTTCTCGCCAGCTCCTGGGTTTCGCGAACTGTCTGTTGTCTGGCTCAACGGGCCTTCTCGATGTACTCGGCACTTGGTTTCTCGTATTTGGCGCAGAAGAAGCGGTCACTGTGTCTCGACAACCAATTGGCGAACTTGATCAATTCGGCCTTCAATCTCGCGACCTGTTCTTGATCCAAATTGGTCTGAGCTGCGATCTCTGGCATGTTGGCTGCATCGGGTTAGTGACTGCGCCTGAGGGTAAATTGAAGACATACTGAGCATGCGGCCGACGAATTCACCACCATAGCAATCTCCTGGACCTTTGCCCTCCCAGTCCTTGTACTTGCCCGACTCCCAGAGTTTGCGCATCTGGATCCCAACTCGTCAGTATCACAGCCAGCGGAATATGTGCATGCAAAATACCTCGGCCAACTGAGGACGTTCGAAGCGATACAACAAGAGCTTGCCGATGGTCTTCTCGAAGTAGATTTTCAAACCAGCCACGAACTCTTCAAGAATGTCTGCTTCTGCGGATCCAATCATTCGATTTTTCTTCTCTGCATTGAAGTATTCGTCGAAGATGTAGTTTGCTGGCGCACTGCTTGGAAGCGGGACGAGGAGCATCGACTTGGTGACGTTTTCCCAATCATCGACGAGGAGGTTCTTGAGGTGGTCAGGGAGGGTAAATCGGATCGATGGGCGATTGTAAAATGCATCTTCCTGTGGATAATCACGGCCAATGTTAGGATGTTTCTCTCCATCAGTCAGAATGTTAAAGGAATCCGCCTCCGGGTACTTGATGACGGTCCAGATCTTTTTCGTGGCGGGCTTTCCAGTTCCAAATAGTTCATATTCGAGGTAGTGTCCCAAAGCATCCCGGACAGCACCTGAGGCGGGTTCCCAAACCGGTGACGAGTCTTGCCAGGTGCGCTGTGGCGGCATCTGTGCTCTAGAGGTACGTTCATGAATGGGCAATTGGACCTGGTCTCGTCGCGTCTCGTTGGTGACGAATGCGACTTCATTCAAGGGCGGAGGAAGCATCATCACGTCGATGGCAGTCAGATTCAACTCCTCCGTGAGTTGGGTCAATTGAGTTGGTGTGAATCGAGTCCCAGCACGTAGGATTTCTTGGTAGCGCGCTCTCTGTGCTGCGGTCTGTTCTTTGGGTCGAGAGTATGTAGGCGCAGGTGGCCCCTCGGGTCGAGAGTGTGTAGGCGCAAGTGGTACCATAAGTCTGTCCATAATCTGTTCGTTGATATGATGCCATGGATCTCGAGGTCCTCCGTCTTTGCCTGGTGAGAAAGAATTGGCGGTGTCATTGGGGGGCGGGCCGCGGGATGCATGATATCCTCGCGAGTTGTCAGAGGTTATTGCGGTTCTGATTCTTCTCGGTCCCTGCGGTCTGTTTCTCTCATATTCCGGACCATATCTCAGTGACATGAGTATGTGGGCAGCTTCGATCATCTCAGCCTCACTGTCAGACATTTCGATGGTTTCTTCCTCGATGTCGTACGCTTTGATGGTCTCGCCCTCAATGTCGGAGGCTTCAATGGTCTCGTCGTCAATATCGGAGGCTTCGATGGTCTCGTCGTCACTCTCAGATGGTTTGATGGTTTCGTCCTCAATGTCGGGAGCTTTGATGGTCTCGTCCTCGCTGTCAGATGCTTTTAAAGGTGGTAACTGGAACAAGGCGCGGAATCTTCTTCCAAAGGGTGGTGAGGGTGGTGAGTAGGTGTGCGTGGCAGAAAGACCTGGCGGATTCCCTTTTCTGGTGTTTGACTTCACATCCTCTTGGGATGTTGTCGTTGGTCTCTTGGCCGCGGGACTGACACTTCTGCTTCTGGCTGCTCGCTTTTTGTTTGCGGCGCTGACGTGACTTGCACCCTTTGAAGTTGCTCTCGGTGGCTTGGCGGCTTTGAGTCGGTTTTTGTGGATGTTGTCGCTCGAGAACAAAGGCCGTGACGGTGCTGCTAGACGAGATGCAGCTTGTACAGCAGCACGACGCGGGACATACGGCGTAAGATCAAGGTTTGTCTCATTGCTGAGCACAGGGTCTCGACGCTTTCTCTTCTGGCCTCCGCCAGGATTCTTTCCAGAATTGTCCTTGTCCATCTTGGCTTCCAATTCAAGTTGTCAGGTAGGGTGTGGATGTTGTTTCCTCAACTTGGTGATGATGCGACAGTCCTCGGTGAGTTCAGTGCTTTGTTGTTGCTCGATCCAGTGTTCAAGAGCAGATGCCAGCCAGTCGTCAGGGTCTCCAAGATGGTCGAGGTATCCAAGAGGGGATCCAAGGTATGGTTTACACAGGGAAGGGCAACAATCTCATTCCACAAGCAGGTATGAAGGGACAGGGCTTGGGGCCACGAACCTTTTCAATGTCGTTATCTCTTGCACGTTTGGTGCCTCTTCCTCCAGCAGGGACAGATGAAGTACGTTCCTCACTGCCTCTTCCAGAACCAAATTCGGAACCGTGGCCACGACGGGTTTTGCCTGTGGATTTTGGAGGTACTCTTGACGCAGTTGCTGCAACGAGTTCTCGTCTCAGGTTGGCCGCGAGTTCCCGATTGTCGTCTGTAAGCTTGCGCAACCGATCTTGAGGCACCCAGTCGTCCCAGCTAGATGGACAAGGGTCAGCGGTGTCTTTCCTGGGTCATTGAGGGAGATTTTGATGGCATGAGAGTGGTTTGTGATGGGGCATCACAAAGGCAGTGGTGTTTTGATGACGCGACAGTGAAAAACACAGGTTCACAACAATTATCAAGGCGGCACAAGGCGGTGGAATGGCGCTACCCAGGCTTATTGGACAATTTCAGGGGGTACGGCGAGATAGAGCAGTGCAGCCTTGAGTCACTGGCGGACAACATTGTGCAGGAGGCTGAGGGATAGGACTGTGAATGAAAGGGTCCATGGGAAGACTCACGTATTCTTCCATCCTTTGTAATGGACTCGATATTCATGAGCAGAAGTCTTGTCCTTGGGATCAACTCGACGGACCTCCAGAACTTTAGCCTCATACAGCAGCTCGCCGTGAAAGCACAAGGCTCTCTCGTCCTTCTGGTACATTGGCTTAGATTCTGAGGTTTGTGGTGCCATGATGAAGTCTTGTTCTGATATCGGTCGCGACTCAATGCCCGGTGTCAATGTCGTGATAGGGGTGCGAGAAAGAAAGAAGAAAGAACCAACTCCACGCCTCAATGAAGAAAAATCCCTGCGCCTATGCTATTGATCAAACAGTCTGGGAACAAGCCGGTCTGGAGGAAAGGGAATGCTGATGGGTGAGATGTGCTGTGAAAAGTTGAGGATGCAGTCGTTACAGCGTCAAGCCCCGTCGTCGCCTCCTGAACGCCGATTGGCTCGTCACGACGCGTTGTTAATGGCTTCATTCCTTTAATTGTCTCGGTTGTTCTTCATACTTGGTGACAGACTAGGTATGCTTCATGGGTCTAGCATCTTCCCTACTAGAAACAGTCCACTCATACCAATTGTTCAATAATAAGAGTTGACACGCTCACAACCCAGAGTCCCATTGCAGTTGTGACAGTCCCCCAACACAGCACAGCAAAGAGCCACGGACCAAAATATCTCGAGGGGACACTTTCAGCTTCATCAGGTCGATTCAGATCCAGAACCACAACATGCCAAAGACGACCTTTCTCTACCAATTGGCTGAAAGCAGATACTAGTACTCAAGTAACAAGCCAAGGTTCTTTTTCGACCTCGAACGGCCTACCAAAGCCAACCACTGCTTCCGTCGCATCTGCGAAGTAACGGCCATTGCTCCGCTCGTGAAGCTTGCTGTCAGATAAGACCTCAACAACACGGCCTCTTCAGCGTTGGGAGAGAAGAGTTGAAGCTGTTCTTCATTGATGGTGGTCTAGCTGATTGACCCATCAACTACAACAACGGCCAAACAGGTCGCGAACAAACTTGTTCACGACTACCATCATACAAACCCAGGCGCCTGGACCAGACTATCTTACCTACACATCGAAGAAAGGATAGACAGGCAACAGGACCGTGAATGAGAAAAGGGCCAGACGTGTAAGGGTATTAAGATTCACCGACCAAGAAAGACATCGATCGTTCCACCACGAAGATCCCTCACAAAGCCATCCATCATCACCTGTCGCTCTCTTTCTGCCTCGAATCACCACACCCTCTCTGTCTCTCTCGGTCTATCTAGCACACGTCCCAGAAACGACAATGCCATCACCACCAACCGAGTCTGAAATCCTACACTCCTACCTCCTCCACCCGTCCCCCTTACCCACCATCCTACCCTACACCTCCTTCCAATCTCTCCTCCCAAAAACCCACTCCTCCCACAACGCCCGCCAGCAGCACCACCCCGATCTCAAACTCCTCTACCGCTCGCTCCAATACCAGCGAGACATCACACTCGACGACATCCGCCGACGGATCGAGGACGAATGCCGCCGCAGCAAAACCCTAACAGCACGCCTAGCCAGACAAGTCCGCCGGGAAGAGCAGTCCAACCGGCCCGACCTAGCAGCAAGATCTCGAAAGCGCAAACGCTCCTGCTCTCAACCTATCAATGACGACGACCACAACCACAGCCCCAATAATAACGACGACGACCACTCCTCCTCCCCCTCCTCCCCCTCCTCCCAAGACGAAAATGAATACGGCCACCAAATATCCCTCCAAATCGACACCCATCTCCACGGGCTTCTCGGCTCCACGCTCCCCGCCGCCAACACGCGGAACAACCACAGCACACAATCCCTGCTGTTCGCCATGGAACGCGCCAAGCACGATCTCGAAAGCGAAATCACGTCGCTCGAGGCCCAAATCGCCACGATACACGCCGAATGCGAAGAAACAGTGGGCAGCCTGAGTGACTTGCGGTACGGACGATTCGCGCAGAATCGAATCAGTGGGCAAAGTGTCGATGAAAGCGCGAAGGAGGCGCCAATAGGAGGAGTCGAGAGGGACGTTATCGATGCGCTTGGGGAGTTGAGAGCCCGATTACTACCTACCTGAGGTAGGAAACTTTTGAAAGTCCCAACGGGAGTCGTAGGACGACATAAGGTAGATCAAGACGAGGAAAGCGAACCATACCTATACATAAGTCGTCGGCTTTATCGAGGATGAGCATCAATGAGCACTGCGCAATATCCAGGTACCAGAGAAGCAGACTGGGCCCGTGAAAGTTGCAAACCGACTTAAGCTTACGACCTACAAGACAGGACAGGACAGGACAAGGACATCATACTTGTTTTGCTCTGTGGAGCATGGGTGTGGACGTCGAGACTTCGAGCCAACACACAATCTAATGCGTGTGGGATATAGATGAATGAGATTGAACCAATAGATGAGAATTCGTGATATCAACATGACTTATTCACAATTTCATGGGACCACAAATCCATACATCGTAGACCTAGCCTATCCATTCCCTTCTTTATTCATGTTCACATGGCGTGTCAAACTGTTTTCAAATATTTGCTCGTGAAGCTTCACTCCAGATTGTTCGTCCCTCCATGCCTTGCCTTTTCTCTGGTCACCTTCGTCACAGCAACCGGTCCACCCCCTTATGTCCTACTTGTGTGCCAACCCCTTATGTCCTACTTGTGTGCCTCGAGCACTTTATCCATCTCCTCTGGGCTGCCCATGAAAATGCCCGATCTGTCATGAATATTCGTAGGCTTGACCGCGAGCATTCTCTCCATCTTCGAATCCACAGCCTTTCCACCTGCGTTCTCCATGACCATAGCCATGGGCGCACACTCGTACAGAATCCTCAATTTGCCCTTCGGACTCTTCTTGTCGGCAGGATACGCGAAGATACCGCCGTACAACAACGTGCGGTACGCATCCGCTACCATGGACCCGATGTATCGTGCTGAATAGGGCTTGCCGCCTTCTTTGGCCGGGTACTTAAGCGACTCGAAGTATCCTTTCGTCTTGTCGTCCCAGTACAGGCTGTTACCTTCGTTGACACTGTAGATGGCGCGTTTCTTGGGGATGCGCATGTTCGGATGCGTGAGGATGAATTCACCTAGGGCATTGTCCTAAAAAGTCTCGAGTCAGCCCAAAGCCCGTCCTTGTCAAGGGAGCACGGAGCAGAAATATACCAGAGTGAAACCATTCACAGTGCCGCCTTTCATGGTGATGACGAGCTGTGCCGAGGCGCCGTACATGGTGAATCTAGTCCAGAAGCATTAGTTCTTCGCCCCCAAAGAGAGGTAATGGAGACCATACCCAGCAGCAATCAATTCGGTGCCCGGCATCAACAAGTCCTCGGGCTTAGGTTTGCCTGCCACCCCCTCTGGCAACTTCATGATTCCAAAGATCGTGCCCACGCTGACGCCTGCGTCAAGGTTGCTCGAGCCATCAATCGGATCACAAGCAACTACATATCTCGCACCGGGACTCTCGTCGAAGTATATGATCTCCTCTTCCTCTTCCGAAACGAGTGCTCTGCAGCGTCCAGATCCTCGCATGGCCGCGATGAACAGATCGTTTCCGATCACGTCGAGTTTCTTCTGGTCATCACCGGTGGTGTTGGAGGAGCCGGCCAGACCGGTCAGGTTGATCAGCGTGGCTCGACGGATGTAGTAGGCGATGGACTTGAAGGAGAACTGGAGGGCGTGGCATAGCAGTCTAGACATGTCAGGTCAGTTGGTTGGTTCGTCCCTGAGGTCGGAGGGGGAAGAGCTGGGCATACGTAAAGTCACCAGTAGCTTCCTTGTGCTTTGTCTGTTCTTCGGTCAAGAAGCGTGTAAGGGTGATGATTTCAGTGTTGATTTTCTCCTGGCCTGTACCGGTGGTGTAGCCGTTGGACTCGCCATTGCCGTTGGCCGCCATGTTGACGAGATTGGAGCACAAGAAGGTTCAGGGAAGGCAGAAGATAGGACACGCGATATACTAGGCCTCGGGGGAATGGAAGCACCACAGGTCAGGAACAAAGAGCAAGTCTGGGATTCTGCAGGACTCGAGGTTGCAAACAGACAAGAAGAGATTCACCCAGAGAAAAGCGCACTATGTTTCAAGAAGGATAAATTAGAGATCTCAAACTGCTGAGGAAGAAAGATGTTTATCATTCCGAACTGACCCCATCTTCGGGTGGTCGAGGCATTGCTTCAAATGATGTCGGGATCAATGGCAACGACCAATTGTGGATGGCACTCCGCATGCCATGCCAGGAGGGAGAATGGAAACGAAGAGGGGCAGTCAAGAGAGTCCACAAGAATGCATCACTGTCGTCCTTTTCGTCCCCAAAGAACCGAGGCTCCTACTTTTCCCGAGCTGCCAACCGATAAACGTGGGTGAGAGCACGTGACATGAGCCGTGGGGGTGCCAAGACAGGCAGTTTTTCTGCTCGGTACATGAACACCGAGCGGGTAAATGCGGGATGTCCAATACTCCATTAAACGGCCTACCACAGTACCACCATGATGCACCATGGCATTCCAATTGCTCTGCATCGTTGTCATTCACCGTTTTATGACAACCATCCTCGCCATCTATGTCCCAACCGACCTCGTGCATATCATCCCCTTATAATGAATATACTCTTTGAACCTGTTACGCATCATTCAACTTCTCCGCTCGATGGTAGAACGGTGGCAGAGGCTCGAGTTTCTGTCTCAACACCCAGACCTTGAAGTGCCAGAATGCATTCTTCAATTGGTAACTCATGTGCTTTCTCGTGCTGACGCCGAATACTTGGTCGAGTTCCTCGAGGGTAAGCGCCTGTAAACATCAGTCAGCAAATGTTTTCCTGCATTTTCGTATGGGTTGCCACGTACCTTGGTCTCAGGGACAAACAAGAGGATCAAGAACCATAGGATAATGCACCACGCTCCATACCAGCCAAAGGCACCTTGGGGCTTGAAGGCTGTCAAGAGATGTGGCCATGTGAAACTCAAAATGAAGTTGAAACACCATGTCGTCGCCGTGGCCCAAGACATCTGCAAATCGTCAGGACTCAGGATGCTGTACAGGTGTGGACAAGAACATAGCCAAAGCTTGTGCTTGAATGAGACAACTTTTCGGATTAGAGAGTACTTACCCCAACGTCACGGACATGAACGGGGAAGGCCTCTGCAGAGTAGGTGAACGGCACAGGACCCTCCCCAGGCGAATAGAAGACCTCGAAAAGATCTATCACGGTGTTAGCAGGGAAAAGCTCGATCGGCAATCATGCAAATCTGTTCCAGGCTTCGGTGAGACTTACACATCCCTGTCGTGACCATCCCGACCTTGGTCTTATTGTCATGAAACCAGAAGCTGAAGCCCGTCCAGAGCAGCGTGATGGCAAGGAATGGGAAGGTGAATAGCAACAGATTCCGCCGGCCCCAACGGTCTATCGTGAAAACGGCTGGAATGGCAAACACCCAGTTCAAGATACCAGTGCCCATCGAGGCCAATAGCGCCGAAGTCGTTGAGTATCCTGACTCGATGAAGATCTGGGGAACGTCAGGCGCCGGCCAAGGTGCAGTAACAATCGAAGCAGGCAGAACTTACCGTGGTACTGTAGTATGCAATGACATTGACGCCACAGAATTGCTGACCTTCGTTTCATTAGAGTCATGAGACGATATGGTGCCTTGTTATAACGTACCAAACATGACGATCCACGTAGCCCAAGTGGCTCTTCGGTTGCGAGGCACAGTAAACAACTCGATAAACTGCGTGAACAAATTCTTGCCCTTATGAGCCTTGCGTTCTAGTTCGACTCCGACATAAGTATAGTAGGTATCACGAGCTGCTTGGAGGTCGCTGTGTCTCAAGCTCTGGAAAGATCGGAACGCTTTCTCTGGATGCTTGTGCTGGATGTACCATCTGGCAGGCTTATCAGGACCGGATTCGCATGTCAGGTGGCTGGTGCTTACCTAGGGCTTTCCGGGCAGAAGTAGACTTGTGCGCAGACAATCAAAGGAAGAACAACCGTGCTGCCCAGCATTAGTCTCCAGCCGAGATCTGGATCCAGTCCGCCGAAAGCGACACCCATGATGTTGCCCAGCATGATGCCGAACGCAGTCCACATCTGCCACATCATGACGAGGGCACCTCGAATAGGAGCTGGCGCACATTCTGCCGAGTATACGGGAACAGTGGATGACTTGGGACCAATCCCAAGCCCTGGAGCATATCGTGAGCAGATGCACCAAGCATGATTTGAGCGCATGAGAGGACTCACCAAGAACGAACCGAGCTAAGAACAAGTTGACCCAGGAATTGGCCACGCCTTCCCAGATCGATGCTACGGCAGCGATGAAGCAAGAAATGAAGATCGTGCCTCGACGAGCAAAAACCTTGTTGCAAGGCTCGGTCAACCAACAACCGAGAATGGCACAGCACAGATACTGAAGTGGATCGTGTCAGCCACGGAAGCCATCAAATGGAAACCAAAGGCAAAGTCGCCCGTAGACTTACAGGAGCACCAACAACGAGCCCAGTCAAATTGTCAACCATACTCTTCGAGAAGCGATCAGTCGTGATGTTGAGCTGCTTTAGATACAAAGCCTGCGCTCCATTGTTGACGGTCTCGTCCATACCTTGGACGGCGGCGGCAAGACTGCACATCACCACCAACCAATATAGAGTAAACGGCTGGTTCCAGCGATGAGTATACTCTCGCCGCAGTATCTCTCGATCCTCGGGGCTCAATTCTGCGATAGAATCGGTCGCGTGAGGATTCTGAGCCACGAGAGCGCCCTTTCTGAACGCCTCGATGTATTCCACAAGATTGTGGTCCCTGCAGAAAGTCTCGACTTCTTCCAACAGCTGTTCCTTGGGGATGTCTGAAAGGGGATTCTCAAAGGCAGCGCTAAGTTTGTCAGGGTCGACATCGGTGAAGCTCTTCTTGCGCCGGCCGCCTGCATTCTCGACGTTCATGATATTCGCACCAACAGCGGTTCTCTCGCTGGACTGAGAACGCTTCTCGCGGATCTTGTCGCTGTCTGCCATGTTGGGAAGTGATGTTCAGGTAGGCGTCCCTTGGTAAGTAGGTTGAAGACAAGAATTGCGGGACAGTGTGAAGCTTCCTGGGCAGAAAGGCCTGTGGAGAGGTATAAGGAAAGTCAAGCAAAGTCAAGCAGAGCAAGAGGATCCAAGCTTCTTTGTATATCTTGTCCCCTCTCCCACCCCGAGGATCCCTGGGGTCTGTCGCATGGCAAAGGGTTATCGCACGGACAAGGAACCGACGTCATTGCCAGTTATAGCCGTGACGGTCAACGTGGCCAAGAACTTTAGCATATCGTGCTATAGAGTACTCGTGTCGGTTTGAGGCTATTGACCAGGATGGGACTCGTATCCAAGCCGTGGTCTTTGCTGGTTGGTCTGTTGGGTCCATTCCAATGAAGCTAAGCGTCGGCCTTTTGGAATCGGACGATGGCGCAAGGTTTCAAGTTTGCGTGTCAGATGAGCCGTCAGTGGAACTGTTGATCCGAAGTGCAGAGTGCACGTGAACGTGCAAGGAGATGTTGATCGTGATCGGCCTTCTGTGGTATCAGTGACAACGAAGATCACCATCCACCCACCATCCACAATTGCGAACGCCTTTCCCACTTGGGCCGTGGTGGAGGGCAGTATTTTCCGGCATACTGAGGCTCACTAGGCATAACTTCGATACCACGGGCACCGCAAGGGCACAACGAATGAGGCAAGTGAGGAAGGACTTTTTGAGGCCACCCCATTGTAACCCTAAGACTGGGACCATCCGTGACCATCTCACAGAAGAGGGAGCAAGGAACGTCGTCGACGAGGATGATATGCCATTTGCTGTACCGTCGTGTTCTATGACGTCGTACACACAAGGCTCCGTCTTCTTCATCGACCCTTCTTTTCTCCGCTTTACAAGTCAGGCATCCAAACCCCCAGGTCCAAACCCCTGCCATTGTACTGCTGCTCGGTTAGTCGGCAGCGGGACGGAATTTCAGGAAACAGATTCGGACAGAAGTTGAGAAGCGTACTGTGTAGTACTCGTACCAGATGCGAAGATGCATCCCCAGCACGGCAAGTGTAGTCATTATATCCATCCAGTCATCAATCTTCCCTTCAACAACTAGACTACCAGTAAATGAGGCAGCCTGCGTGCAGGAAGATGCCACCAAGGAGAAGCATTCCTTTGCCTACGCAAGCGTTTCTATGTTCATCCTTCCTCCTGCATCGATTCATCCCATCCTCCAACATCTTCCAAAAACACCTGGAGTTGTTTTTTCTTGCCTTGCAGCGCACTACCCAATGCTTCCAGCCATTGTTCCTCGATCATCGTCACATGCTGCTTCAGCTCAGCAGTAGCCGAGGCTTCTCGTTCTTCCTCCACCATCTTTGGGTCAGCGCCTGAGACCGGGCCGTCAAGTTGTTCGCGGGCTCTGCTTGCCTCAGCGGCTCGATACTCTGCTCCAAGCAGAGCCCCTTTCACCTCATGCAGCAGGCAGTGCAGATTGATCTGCGACTCAATGAATTGATAAGTCGATTTCTCTGCATGGTCGAGCAGTGTGTATAGGTATTGTTGTGGGTATTCATGATACGCCGGGTTTTCCGCGTATTCAGTGTCTGGAATGGCAATCGGCCCTAGCTGGTATAGATCATCGGGGATCTTGTGCACAAGCTCGAGCAGGCTAGGAGCAATGTCCCAGAAGGCCGATGATTGCAAGCCTACCTCCTGTGCGACGTTCTCGGCAACAAGCTGAACAAACGCTCGGTAGCGTTCAAGCGATTCCTCGCAGAACGTCTTCCTCCGTTGAAGGCTGTCTTGAGCAAAGAATCCTTCAGTGTCTCGAATCTTGTCCAGGTTGCCCACTTGGTGATACGGCAACAATACAATTGCTTTGTATTTCTCATTCCGTACGCTGAGAAGCTCAAAGATCTCCTTGTGGATGTGTTCCCGCGCTTCAAATAGCCATTTGAGCTGTGTCAAATATTCAAGAATCTCGGGCATCGCATCTCCCTCTTGTTGTGGTCGATCCAAGTTCGAAGTGTGCGTTTCCGCCACCAGATTCTCGATCAGATCATTGATACTGATAGTGAGCTGACAGGCACGGTCGTTGAGCATGTCGTGCATAGGGTTAATCACCACATCCTGAAGTGTGTCGAATTCGGCCTGAAGGCAGCTCTTTTCGGCGGCATTCTCATCCATCCGTAATGTCTGTTCGGCCTCAGCTGCATCTGCATAACTAATGTTCCCCTCCTCAATTTGCTGTTGGATACTGGCTTTGAATGCTTTTCGTCCTTCAGAGACCCTACGTTGATACTCTGCTCGCAGGGCCTCCACACTCAAATCGTGGCGACCTCTTCGACGCTCTATTTCACTTAGATCACTCAATTTTCTGACAACATTTCGGTACGCAATCAACTTCGGATGACTCTTATTGACAGCAGGATAGTGTCTGGGATATGGTGGGGGCAATGTAATGAACCTCGAGACGTCCATGGCTGCGGTATCGGACACAGTTTCCGATGTGCCGCCCAGAATTGGATCATTCAAGATGTCCTCGTAGATGCCGAAAGTCTCAGGATCTGCCTTATCCTCAGGGTATGTTTCTTGCTTGTTGTACAATTCGTCGAAATTGGTAGGAGTCGCGGCCTCGGAGAGAACTTCCTGGACTGACAGAGCAGACAGACCCATATACTTTGATTCTCTCTTCGTTCTCTTCATCTTTTTAGGCCCGCCATCGACTTCCGAGCCACTGTGAGATTGCCACCACCGGCTTGAAGTACGCCCGCGAGAGCTGACTTCATCATTGCTCATACTGGCGATTGGCGAAAGTGCGGGTCGGTAATCTTTCCACCACAAGCCATCTGGATTCTGACCATGCATGTTGATCCGATCTTTATCAGTGGCAGAGCTCGGAGTGCGTTTGTCTGCGGTACCCTGGAACAAGCGCGCCATAGCCTCTGACGCATCGAAACTGCCATCTACGAAGGGCGCCGGATAGACTTGTTTTCGGATTTGCGACTCCCCAACCATGAACTCCATGAAGAGCTGCAACCGCTCCAAGTCTGTGTTAGCTTTGCTTTCGCGAAGGAGAAAATCCTGGTGTCGCCGAGATGCTGTTGTGACAAAGTCGTCAATCTCGCCTGGAACCACTCCGCATATCGACGATGCGTTAGACGGCATAGTATGAGCAGAAGTGGGATTTCGCTGGCTCAATGGAGGGGTTGGAAGTGCCTTAGGCGGCAGAAGAGGCGTGAGTGGTCGACCGGAGCCCCGGCGCAAAGCTCTCCTGTCTGTCGCCGGACTCGAAGGTCCAGATAAGACCGAATCGAGAGTTGGTGAGTGATCGGTGCTGAGCCCTCCAGGACTTATACCGTCCAGCCATGGGTCGGTCTCAATGGTCAATGCGCTCAGATCGGTCAAACTTCCTTCATGAAGGCTCTGCCTATGCTTCCTCCGCTCGAGCAGACCTTTGGCTGAAGATACACGCATTGCTGCACTTCGACTCAACCCGGCAGCAGTGATGCTTGGGCGATCCAGATTGGTAGTCTCTATGTGCAACGAGACCGGTGCCCGCGGATTGACACGGGAAGTCGAATCATCCCTCCAATTAGCTGGCGTAGGTGGCATTGGGCTGAGGACTGGTGCACGCAATGGTACGCGATGATGATGAGAGCGAGTGTTGGAGCCCGTCGCTTGACTTTGAGAGAGCGCACGCACGCCAGTTGCACTCTGTGACCTCGCAGAAGTCGGTGGAGGGCCAGGAGGAGGACCAGGCAAAGGCATGCCAGGTTGCCAACTACGTTGCCGAGACGACGACCTTGAGGCCGAGCCGCCATAGCTTTGACTGCTTGAGTCGTGAGAGGAAGCAGCGCCAGCAGAAGCAGCTCTTCTAGAGGCTGCAGGACCCAGGATCGGACCAGCGTTGACCTCATTGTCCTGCAACGTCGCAGACACATAGCTCTGCTGGGCTGCGGTAGTGTTGATGGAAAGTGATATGGTCGAGGTTGGTCGTGTAGTACCGAGGGAGGAGGCCGGCCTCGAGTCCACATGCTCCGATCCCAAGCTCAGTCGAGGTGCTCGACTATCGGTGCCAATCGTTCGAGCCACCGCATGGCTGCCAGGTTGCGTCGCTTTAGCAATGTTGGGTTGTCCGCTGCCATCATCCAGAGGATTCGATGATTGGTTGAATGGCGACAAAAGACCGGCCGTGCTAGCAGGCGTATCTATCCGGGACTGATTACCCCCGGTAAACGTCGACTCCGCTGGTGATATAGTTGATCCGGCACTGGTACAAGCAGCGGCCTCACGGGCTGGGGGCGCTGAATACGGTGGTGGCGGACTCGCAATGCCATCTGCACAGATCACGAAGTGAGCCGCCTGTCCTCCTTCATGTATCACGATGTCAGGACAGTAAAGCTTACCCTCAGGCTGGGCCTCATTAATTCGCCCTTCTATCACCATGGACGATCTGCGGCTACCACCAGCCCATTCTCTTGGGTCGTAGGGGACATTATATTGGGACGATGCTCTTCCAGCCATAGGCAACAAGGTCCTGGGGCTTGGGCCTGGCGACGGGATGTATGAGGCGGAAACCGGGCCATGCAATGAAGTCGCGGAAATCGGAGTGTGCGTGAGGATGGCACGCGAAGTAGCATTGATGGTCAATGGAGACGGTATTGCGAGACTTCTGGGCCGTGCTGGAGAGGCTGCAGGTTGGCCATCTCTGGGCGGAGGTGGAGGGGGAGGGAAGGTGGTGGGAGTTCTTGGGGAGTATTGTGCATGTTCAGCGACAGGCCATGGCCGGCTTTTGAGATGTTAGCCTCAAGGGCAGGATATGTTTCCAGGAAGGCAAAACATACATTGACATGTTAGTCACTTCGTGCCAAAAGTGCGTTCTTCATTCGGCCAGCCCTGCAAGATTGGTGGATTAAGCGCCCATGCGCCTCATGTCACAATCAGGCTCTGGAGGCACCATATTGCATGGGCAAAGGCAGCCATGTCAAAAACAGCGGCCGAGATGTGATATGGCAACAGGTAAAGCAAACATGAAACGCCATCATGGAAAGAAAGCGTGATGTCTGGTGATGATCGAAGCAATGCTGGCTGAATCCGAGGGACTGGACACAGCGGAGTGTTCTATTCTTGCCATTGAGTCTGCAGCTAGAGGGTCAAACAGTCCAGAAGGCCCCCTGTTAGGTGCCTGTAAGCGAAAAGCCCTCCACCCAGGACGGAGAATAGATGCACTTCGGGGGCTTATCTTTGCAGCAACATAAGAGGACCAGATTGGGTGATGAATGTGCCTGCCAGCTAGAATGCAGGAAGTCTAGAAGCAATGCGGGATAGTGCTTCTGCACATGTTGTTCTTCGAAGTGTCAGGCGGCTATTTGTGGGAGAGCAGCCAATGAAGCAGAGGAAGATGTCGTGATCTTCCTTGCTCGGCCAAGCTGCTTTTCATAGAAACATCAAAGTAACGCTAATACGAAGACGGCATAGCGTCTGTTTCATCGCCAAGACTGCGCTTGTTGCTGTATGATCCTGCTTCATCTGCGGTCTTTTGGGAAAATTATTTTGTTTCTTCTCTGTGAAAGAAAATTTGTGTCCAACTCCTGTACAATGAGATCCGGTTTCTATGGCTGTTTCTGTGCTTGAGTCGGTAGTCTCAAGGCTCTGCTCACACAATGTGTCCATTTACATTACCGAGATCGAGAGAGGAAACTCTTATGATTCATGTCCGGATCGAAACTTGAAATGCACAAGTACCTCGCTTGGGAAGATTGACTGACCATAGGCCGATATCCCTCCTGCGGACACACGTAACAGGGTTGATTGAGCATGTAAGAGATGGACAGTATCAAAAAGAGATGGCTTCATGGATGGAGCAAGATGTGGCTGGCAATCTTGAATGGATGACCTGGTGAGTCCTCCTCTCCTCCTCTTAATCCAGCACAGTGATGAATCTGCATACCGTAACAAACTAGAGTCTTTGACCCTTTTGGGAATGAAACTCGAATCGCAAAGCACGTCAGTCTGATCTTCTGGATACACCCTGCAAAGCATTCGTTCGTCCTGTCGAGGTTTGAACTAACCGGAATAATAGAGAATTTCCATTGTCCTTGAGCATGCACAATGCTTAACTCCGACGCCCACACGAACTTTTGGTAAGCTCGATCTTGCTAGTCTTGTTTCCCACTCTCTTGTGATGATTTTTTTTTTTGAAATATATACGCTGGAAATTACCGGCTGAGACTTTCGAGTCGCAGAAGATATCAAATGGCTATTTCTGATCCGAGACATTCCCCTCCTTTTTGCAGTCTGCTCCTCTTGCTTGTCCACGTTGCTGACTTATGCAAGCATCAATACAGATACTCCTGGTACGGCACTCAATTCTGCTCCTTTCCTCTTATCGACTCTGTGATGAATGGCACTGGGCGCCGACAGTCAAAACTTGGCTGGTCTTGATGGAAAAGCCCTATCGCGGCAGGCCTAGAAAACCTCGCCCACTGATTCTTGTCACTCTCCTGCATTTTTGTTCGACCTCTTCACACCGAACAAGGCTGAGTTTCCAGACAGGTCCGAACAAGGACGGGATTTTGCATTCGGTAAGCTGACGGTCCTGCTCTTTGTCCTTTCATGATGAACCTTTTCTAGATGACGAGTCTTATTCAGTCAACCTGATGCAGACAAACACAAACTACCATTCATGCATTTCCTGAAACCTTTCTCTTATCAATATCCATGATAGCCATGATGGACTGTGCTGACTATGGACTTCAGGTCACGTGTATGCTGCTGTTGATTGTATGTGAAACAACATCAGGCTCCTCTCCCTCAAACATGATGAATCGACACATTTCAAAGACAAGCATATGTCCAAGTTGACTCCTGTTGACGAAGACGATACTGTCATCTCTGATCTTCCTCCAACTACATCTTCTGCATCAAGCCTTTCTCCAACAAACACTGACAGCAGACCTTTCAGGTTTCTACAGGTGAACAGCCAGAGTTTGTAGGTGATCCCCTTCCCTCCCCCATCGCGCACATTCAAGGATGATTTACTCTATTTATCACGACGGTCAACGTAGCCAATGCATTGACGACCACAGCCTGTGACAGGGCTTAGATCTGAATATGTCTAGCTTGCTCAAAATGCTTTTGCCTGTCTGTTCTGAAAGCATGCTAACGCTGCGATACAGGTTCCCTTCCCAGTCCTGTAGCGTCCACCCATACTGAGCCCAGCATGTCGACTAGCATAACAATATATTTTCTGAATTCCTCTGCGATCTTCACTTGTCCTCATATGTCACCTGACTTGAATAACTTTCCTTGTTCTCTTTCTGCCGGTCTACCCTTCACTCTATGTCTGAGATGCATCCCCTTCACTTGTTCTTCACACCTCCCGCCGCTTTTGGCATTCTGTCACCCTGTCCTCAACACATCATTCATTTCTTCTCACAGTCCACCTCACGGGTCTCTCGCCGCTTTTACTCCGCAACTTCATGCCTCTTCCTTCCTTCCCTCTCAACAGGCACTCTTCAACATGGCAATTCGCTCATTCTACTCGAAACCCAGACAAGAGTACGTACTCGAAGTCTTCCACAACGGCAAAGTTCGCGATTTGCAGTTGACTTTACCTTCACCTGGCGACGATGGACGAAATGGCAGCAAGGACTACCTCTTTCGTCGTAGATCGGTTGTCCGCACAGGTCAAACTGGTGTTTGGAATGAATCCTCTGAGGATGAATACAACCCTGATGTAAAACGAAAACGCCGAACTGTGGGTATTGGTGGCAACGGTGCGAAGCCTCTCAAGCGCCAGTGCCTTAAGCAAAACATTACAGACAAAGCCCAACATGAAGCGACGGTTGAGGAGGGTGGTCGAATCCCGAGCCTCGTCACCTTCAAGTTCAAGGATGCCCAGTCGAAGGCTACACTGAGAGACCTGGCAGATGAACATGGCAATGGATACAATGCAACTGCTAGGGAAGGACCAAGTCTAGTCGAAGAAACCGGCCGCCTACGGGATGTTCCTCCTCATGAGCGAGACATGCAGTTCCGGAGCATGCGTGGACCGACTTATTTCGAGAAAATGGACCAGCAGTCAGCGAACATTGACAATGTGGATGGCAGAGTCCTTCGGAGCCGAAAGATTCTCTATCAAGAGGGAAATGACAAGCAAAGTCAGACGAACAACATCGACAGCCCTATTGAGGACGAACTAGATATATCTGTCTCTGACTCCGAAGCACCTATCGAGGGGACTCAGCACACCATTCTTTCAGGAGAGCGGCCTGCCGTTGCCTCTCTTCCGACAGCAGCTCAGATCATTCGATCAAGTGTTACCACTCCGCAGTACCCTCTCATACGTCAGGTCGGCAGTTCAAGAACGAACCCTATCACACTCGTCGATTCCCCGCCCGGTTCTCCGGAATCGTCAGGTCCTGCAGCTACGCTCACGCAGCTCACCAGTTCCAGAACAGCCCGTCCCATACTCCTCGATTCCCCGCCTCGTGCTCCGGTGTCGTCAGGTCCTACAGCTACGCTCAAGCAGATTACCACGTGCTGGGCGCATCCGATCAACTTCCAGCATCTCAAGAGCGCCGGCGACGATTGCGATTTCTGCCGGGACTTTCGGTTCGGAATCTATGGACACGGTCGAATTACGGTAGAGGTTATTCAGCGCCCGGGATCAGCAGCCTTGGAAGAAACTGGAAACGGGCATCGCTCGACAGGCAAACCAGCGACTCGAATGTGTGTCCCGTGTTCTTTGGCTCGCATGTCTATCTCAAGATGCAGGGTCCACCGCTTCAAAGCGATGAAACTACTTCAAAGCAAGGAACGGGACGAGCGATACGTGCAGGACATCCTCGCAGAAAAGTGGGATCCACCACGTAGGGCTAGCGCGTATCCGACGTGCTCACTGTGTTCGGTGTTTTCGCGTTGGGAATGTTGTGTCGACCAGCAACATGATACTGCGTTCAGACCATTAGCTGATGGCGCGGGGAGAGGAATGGGCTGTGGTTTGAGGCTATGTGACACTTGCCACACGAAAGTCATGTCCTGTGGCAGTATGTTGCGGAAGGGCTCGATTATGCAGCCTGATGGGAGAGGTCTTCGAGCAGACGTTGAGTTCCTCTTCTCAGACAGTTTGCTTCACCAAGCCTATGGTAAGCCAGCAAGCAATGCATCGCTACCTCTACTGACGCTATCGCAGGTAAATGCAAGAGTGCGTGAATGATGAACGAAAGGCGAACAGGGATGATGATCATCAACACCGGACTTGGGATAAGAGGTGGTTGAATCGTCTTACACAGTGGACTCAGCATTGGAGATGACAACTGCGTCTTGGAGAGATTGCATTGGATTCAAAGTAGGAGAAGGAACTCTTTTCTCTTTCTTGGTGATTGGATTGTTACTTGCTGAGTACATGGGACGGAGATCTGATGGCATTATGACGGCGAAGAACATATGCTTTCGTCAAAGCCATGTGTGGTCGAAAGCGTTCGATAGAGCTACTCGGGCCTCTCTCACAGATTGTAAGATGAGACCTTTAAGGAGACTCCTAACTCAGCCGATGTACTCTTATAAGAGTCGTCACCTTGCCTGCAGAAGAATGAAGAGTGCGAGAAGTGGTACCAATAGTAATGGAAACCGCGTGCGGGTGATAAGCATCCACACAATTGCGATAAGGAAATTCAGGAGCTTCAACCCGGACATGCTTTCATCCAAATCAATTGAACCACATCTACAAAGAATTCAAGTGTTCAAGTTCCTTGGTAGAATCTGCCTATCTTGACCTCGTCCATCGTGTTCCCTGCAGTTTGGAGGGTGCTCGTCCAACGCAGCGAAGATCAGAAGAACATCCCACTGTGTTGCCGACGGAGCCTGTGCAGGCATTGTCGTCCACTCCCGTCCGCTCCTTCCTCTCCAGCGACAAGAATCGTGGCAGTTCTGTCCTCGACGAGACTTCAGAGATTCAGTCATTCTTTAATCGAGGACCTCGACGACAGCACGTCTTATATCGACTGACACCACCTGCCCTGGTTCTGCGACTCAGATCCGCCCACATCAAAGACGGACCCCCGGGACCAGCAATAGCCCTACAAACCCCACGTCTGGGCTCCGTCTGGGAGGAAACCATCTCCATCAACCTGACTTTGAATCATGAGTTTCGTCCAATCCAGCCCCATCGCGCTGATGAACAGGAGTTCTATGACTAGGACACTACAGTCTCCAGATGTAAGTACGAGATTTCTGTATCGATGTTGTCATGTTGCGTTTTGTGTTCTTCGGCCCCAAGTGTATGGAGCGGCTCGATTCTACTATGTACTATGTTTCCATTGGACAACGCTTTGTTTGCCTGTCACATGAGGCACTCACTCGTTTCATTTGCGTGATGTGTCCCCTGTCGTGGAGGCAAATCTCGGCATTGGATACTCCTCGGCTGCCCCATCTGAGTTGTGGACTTCTCATTCACCATCGGGCCTGGCTCAACCCTCAGCCGAGGCAACAAGGCATCTGGGGAAGAAACGTTCACGGAGCCTTCCCAGCACCCCCAGGCCACCCAGTGCCCACAGGATTGAGGCTGAAATTATCCTTGATCGCATCAACAGTGATGACCTTGCCTTTCCGGCGAACCGATCAGTCCTTCTCCGTACGACAGAATTTTCATCTTCCCATGGAGTAGCCCGCGCGCGACATTTAGTGGAGAAGTCAGATGTGAAGGTGGGACAAAAGATTCCTCAATTCTCCGACAGGGAAAAATTCCAGCGGACAGCGCTGCAAAATTGTGCTGAGGCCAGATCTGGGCCACGACAACTGTTGTTCACGCCATTCAGTCCAACGCCGACGCCAACCGATCCCGATAATATACTGAGCAAAAACTGGCCGGAGCGGAAGTGGTCAGATTCCCCCCTCCTGGAAGTTTTCGACGAGGATCTGTTGTGACGTACTCCATACATCTGCCCTCCGACTTGCTGGTCTCGACTTTGCGGGTAACCACTTCACTCCTCCGAGAACTACACATTTGGACATCCAGATCCTGCTAGCCTGGAAAAGACAATAGCGACCGTTCGCTTATCAGACATTACAGCATTACAGCATTCCAACGGCTCGCTGGATCTGGCACTTCCTACGGTTCTGTTTGCTCGTAATGGGCCAAAACGTGAGGCCACCCTGATTACCCGATCTTTTTGAGACTCCGCAATCCGAAAGCCTGGAGGTTAAGGCTCGGCCGGACCTAGCATTAGTGCATCGCTTCCTGGTGTTTGCCCAGCATTTTCGAAAGGCACGACCCAATATCACATTCCGGGCTCACCTCTTGTTAGACTATTCTAGCCATGTCGATTTCCCCACCAAGCAGTGATCGTGTACGCATTCATCACTGCAGAAACCTTGCTGTTCTCATATGAGTGGAAGCGCAAATGCTAACTTTACGGTAGTCAGATGTCACGCAGATTGTGGTTGTTATGGTCGGCTTGCCGGCGCGGGGGAAGAGTCTGATAGCCGGCAAAGGTATGAATCCTTACACAGAAATGTCTTTCGTCATCTGACGGGCCACTCCAGTCAAGAGATATCTACGATGGACGTCTGTGAAGGCAGAAGTCTTCAATGTCGGCAAATATCGGCGGACGGACAACCCCCATCCCGACGCCAAATTCTTCGATGTCAACAATCCCGAAGGCGAGAAGGCTCGAAGAGCTGCGGCTGAGGCTGCCGTTGCCGACATGCTCAAATGGTTTCAGGACAAGGAGAACAAAGTGGCCATCCTAGACGCCACCAATTCGACGAAATCGAGGCGGAAATGGATTCACGATAAGATCGTAGAGGCGAAGCTTCTCCGTATGTCACCTTGCATGCTGCCCCTAGTTAGCTCCAGCTGATTACCTGGCCAGACTTGTTCGTGGAGAGCAAATGTGACGATGAGGAACTGATCATGTCGAATATCCTCGAAGTCAAGACATCTTCACCGGACTATATCGGGCAAGATCCAGAAGCAGCAGCCAGAGACTTCCGAGATCGAATTCGAAATTATGAGAAGGTCTATCAAACCATCGATGAATCAGAAAAAGGCTTGACCTATGTCAAGATCATCAATATTGGGTAGGCCAACTATCCGCTGATGCACCTGTTCGTTGTCCATCCAGGTTACTGATATGATTCCTCAAGTGCCCGCGTGGTCATCAACCTCATTCAAGACTATCTGCAATCACGGCTTGTCTATTATCTCACAAATCTGCATATTAAGCCGCGTAGCATCTGGCTGTCACGGGTAAGCTCCCTTGCTTAGCCATTGCTGGCCTCACTACATCGGCGGAAGAATCATTGGACTCTGATATTTTACAGCACGGCGAATCCGAATACAACCTAGAAGGCAAAATAGGCGGCGATGCCATCCTCTCCGAACGCGGCCAGCGATACGCCAAACTCCTCCCTGAGCTAGTCAAGCGCTCCGGCCTACCAAAAGACGCGCCTTTGACGATCTGGACGTCGACGTTGCGACGTACCAGCCAGACCGCCCAACATCTCCAAAAGGAGCTTGGCTGGGAAAAGCTACAGTGGAAAGCACTCGATGAGCTGGATAGTGGCGTTTGTGACGGCATGACTGTACGTGCAATACCCCTTGTAATTCTTGACGGGCATTTGGTGCTGGTCCAAAAAGCTACGTTACACTGACACAGATGCTCTGCGGTAGTATCAAGAGATCGCGGAAAAGTTTCCCGAAGACTTCCAAGCCCGCGACGACGACAAGTATAATTACCGCTACCGTGGCGGCGAATCGTATCGAGATGTGGTCATCCGCCTCGAACCTATCATTATGGAACTTGAGAGGAGTGAGAACATCATCATCATTACACATCAGGCGATCGTGCGGTGTATATTCTCGTATTTCATGGAAATCCCACAGGAGAAGTCGCCTTGGATGGAAGTGCCGCTGCACACGTTGATGAAGTTGACGCCGAAGGCCTACGGGACAGAAGTCGAGCGCTTTAAGGCGGACATTCCCGCCGTGAGCACATGGAGGCCTAAGGGGAGCACGGCGAAACATCACGATAGTATCAGCGAGGGTATGCCGGAGGACGTGGTGGGGGAACCTCATAATGTGGCGGTCGAAAGGGCGAGTAATGTTAACGCGAAGGAGAAGGGAAAGGTCCCCTCGGTTGTGATGACGGGGTTGCCTTTACCTTAGGAGCGGAGTGAGATGTGAGCCAGGGGAGGAATATATGGTGCTTTAGTCAAATTTGGGACGGGACCAGGCTTCATCGTTGGGGGAGGAAAGGGGTGGAAAGGGAGGCCACAGCGGATACAAGTGCTTGGGGCTTGCTGGGCACGGAACAGCGACGAAATTAAAATATTTTCTACTCTGGGTTCTTGTGAAATCCGTAGAGACGGCAAGTTTCCAGACTCGCAGAATGCGCGTATACTACCTGGAGATGGATCAATCAATTGTATGCCCTCTTATCACGCTTCTCGAGCATATGTTACATCAATGTATAAGTCATCTGCCATAGACAATTGTGGTTTTTAGATTCCATGTTTGGTGGGCACAACGCCCGAGGCTTCCCTCAAAATATGAGAACCTTTGAGTTGGCTAGGGTTGGACAGATGGTATACATATTTGACGGACTGTCGAGTGCGGATGGATGGATGGTGTGGGGCCCAAGGCGTTCGTGGAAAGAAGCACCAGAGACAGACAGACTTAAGTTTGGAACCCTGTGCAATAGGTGAGGGCGGAGTGCAGTCTCCGTCAGATGATTATATGTTCACAGATACTAGCACGCAAACGGCGCTCCAACAGAGCCGCTGTTGTATGCGTCGATGATCAGCTTGATCGAGACATAAGTCCCTGTGTTGAAGGTGTTAGTAAGAGTCCCGATGTCTGCTCGATATCTTTGAGTGGGAGAAAAAGGGGGCAGGGGGCAGGGGGCAGGGGCAAATTTTGGTGATGCGTACCGGCAACACAAATGAACGCTCCGGCCAGAAAAGTCGCAGAATTGATCAACGTCTTGAACGGGCTCGCCTTCCACGCGCTCAACCCATACGCGCCACGACCACGGCCCTTGTCGAGACCGTGCCACGCGTCGTACAGCCAGAAAGCGCCGGCAATACCGTACGTGTACCAGCTGGCGAACAGACTCGCGGCGATGGAGACGAGATATGCGAAGATCGGCACGCCGACGGCGAGCACGAAGGCTGCGCCGTTGGCCAGGATGATCAAGATCGTCCACGCCGTCCAGCCGAGGGCCGTGTGCTCGTGCAGATGGCGGGTGTGGCGGAACATGCGGATGAAGAAGAGTTTCGCCGCTGTGTGGGAGTATAGGCTGCCTGCGATCAGGAAGTTGGGCAGTGCGATGCCGTACTACGGTACACATATGTCAGCATGGCACAATGGTAAAGCAAGGGAAGAGAGTGTCTGACGAACCGTAGCTTTAGCCCATTTTGGAGGCAGGGAGGAGAACGCTGGGGATTGCACGGAGGGCCCGAGGTAGACGTACACCACGACGGTGAAGACGATGTAGAAGCTTTAGATTCTGTCAGTTTGGGGGATTTCTTGGACGGGTGTAGTGCACGGATGGTGCGTACGTCGTGGCAAAAGTTTGCAAGACCCATGCCGCCTTTTTGGCATCTTGAGGCCTCTTCATTTCCGAGATTAGGATGAAGAACATGAAATGTCCGGCGTAGGCGAAAACAGGGTTCGTGATCGACACGAACGCATCGTAGAAGCTGGCGGATCGTGCGATGTCGATGTGGCGGTCCGGAGCTGGGTTGGCCCCTGCCGCGGCCATGCCTACGACACCGGCCACGAGGATGCAGATGCAAGATGGAATGCACAGCCAGGAGAGGGAGTCGAGCGTCCGAGGGAAGGACAGAACGAGGGTGGCAACGGCGAAGATTCCAGTATAAAGCATCAAGCAGAGCTTGTTTTCCGAGAGCACGCCCAGAGTGATTTGGCCGGCGAGCAATTGCGATCCCGTTGCGAAGATGGCGAAAATGACGGTTCCTCCTGCGAGGATCTCTCGCAGGATTGGACCTCCCATGATCAGGCCTGCATCACCCATGTTGTGGACCTCGGGATGATTGAGTTTGAAATCGATCAGAATCAGGGACGTGTATAAAGCGAAGGTACCTAGATGAGACTCTGACTGTTAGCCCGAAAGGTACCCTTCTGCTTGCTTGGCCGTGTGATGGCCAGCAGCACCCACCGAGGAACGCAATCAGAATGACCCCGGGCACAATGCCGACGACAGCAGTTGCCGCAGGGAGAGACAGCATGCCATTGCTGACGATCTCGGCGATCATGAGGACAGCGACAAGCGGCCATGATAGAGTCTTGTACTTGATGGCAGCATTCTCCTCGTTGCCGAAGACATCGTGATCTATTCCACAGAGGTGTTCAGTTCCACGACAGCATTGGGAGAGAACTCTGCGCAAGGGTCACACGCACCATGATAGCCAGCAGGAGCGCCGTCCGTGTAGCGTCCCGAGCGAGCGGTCGAAAGACCTTCTGGTTCGACGTCGGCATCACTCGGTCCCGTGTAACGGTACTTTTCGTAGTCGGCCATGGCGAGGAGCTCACAACCGGCCGATTTTACAGCCCTGACGATCTTGTGTGTTGGGAAATGCCAGAGAGTCGAGGAGCAGACGGAAGGCCATCAGCAACGGTCAGACGTTGAGATCCGGGGGTCAGAGGCATATCAATGAATATGGTCACCATGGCTATCGCAGTACTTGCGCCTAATGAGGAAGGTGGTTAAAGTCTTGGATGGTGTACTCCGTGGTCTTGTGCAATACAACTGAGATAGCAGGCGATCGGCGAGCAGGATGGGCGGGGAGCGAGAGCACGTGACATCAATATCACGTGAGAAAAGTATGGTCACGTGGGAGAATTGCCTGGCGAGCTGGGCCGTGCAGGGCCAAAAAATCAAAGGTCAGGCGAGGTCAGGCTTGGGCGAAGTTCAGTGGCAGGAACTCACATGCCAAAATTGCGCCAAATGCGTCATAGCATGATTGGATTGGGACAACCACCAAGCTTTGGCTCTTCTTTCACCACGGCTACCCTGACCTTGACTTTGACCTTGTCCTTTCTCAAACTCATCGCCGTCCTGTCAAACCATCATTTTCTCCAGCCTCGACTGTTGCGCCTCGCCACGCATCCCAGCCCATCATGAGTTACGCCGATATTGCTGCCAAGGGCCCAAAGCAGTCTCCGGAAGAGGTTCGTTGACGCCCGCCTGCTCCTGGTAAATGCCTCATAGCTAACATGCCACAGGCGTACGTTACATTTACGGTGGTGGACGCAGTGACCTTTGCTGACATAGTATTGCAGTCGCGCCCATCCAGTTCCCGCTCTCGAACCTTCCGAGTCCGAATCAGCCAGCTTGATCGACGTCGACTCTCCCCATGTTAGCTCAGTCAAGTCCGACTTCCAGGAGCAAGAGGTGAAGACCGAGACTCAAGCGGAGAGATTGGAGCGCGAAGAGGAAGACAAGGCTCGCGCTGAAGCCCAGAAGGCGTCTGAGGCCGCCGAAGGTGCCAAGAAGAAGGCTGCTACCAAGAGCAAGGAAGTCAAGGATGCTCTGAAGAAGGATGGTCAGAAATTGAGCGAAAACAGAGACAACCCAGTTGTCGTGGGCAATGCCTTAATATGGGGTATCACTGCCGTCGCCCTGGGATACGGTGCCTACAAGAAGCACAGCGAGGGCCAATTGGATTGGCAAGTTGCTGGAACAGTGGCTGGGTGTGTTGGTGCCTTTGCCGTGGTCGACTACTTCGGTAGCAAGTGAGTTGGACTTTTCCATTTGCAAATCTGTTGACTGACTGGTCCCACCAGGTGGCTACTCGAGAACAAGTATCCTCCCAAATAAACGAAAGGACAACTTGTGCAAAGGGCAACTGGTTCGTTGGCTGGCTGGAATAAGTCATGGTGTAACTTTTCCTTGAACTCTCTACTCGGTTGACAGGGCGGCTTAGGCGCGAGCTCTCGGGTTCATATATGCTTTTGCTCACAAACATGATATCCCCTTGGTTTTCCTTCGCAGCAGTGTTGTTCGTGCCTGTCCTTGCTCCATCATTGCCCTCAAACCCTCACAGCACGAGTTCAACGCCCATCATGTTCACGTTCGGTGCTCATGTGCCCTCTTCAATTTCTTCTTTCGAAGCTCTAGAGAAGGTCTTCATTTGTCCTGTTCCTGGGACGACTTCACGTAGTGTCGGATGAAGCGGTATGCTGCCAATTGTACCGCAACCATCAGGACGGTAAATGCTCTCGCGAAATTTTCATCGGCGTGAACATCAAGGTGAGCATCGACCCAAGTGTTGAAGATGGAATTGCTCACAGCGTCAGGGTGGAGAAAGCTGAGTAGGCCGTTCATGGTATGCAAGAGCAAGACTGGATTGCAGAGGATGGCTGGATACCACAAGCAACAGTCATTTTTGACAGTTTGCCAGCTATACTGCAGAGTAGAGAACATGATGGCCGTACTTGTCGGTTGAGGATAGTTGGACGGTCTCTCGAGTCGATCTTCTGAGCACGCTGAAAGCTTAGAGACAGGTCAAGAGAGCCGACTATGATGCTTCCTGTCCTGGTTGACTTTGGGAGGTAAAGATATTGAATGCTGGCTCCAAGGGAGGTTATCATCTAGAAGTGAGTGGCCGTGAAGAGAATTGTTTGAATAAGCGTTATAAGATGTAGCAATCACTGTGAAACATGGGTAGAAGGTTTGACCAGAAGCAGGCAGTGAACGAGGCAATGATCAAAACGGTGCCTACCTCGCGAGCAGTATCTGCCCTTGGGCATAGATGGCCGGACACTGGAGACTTTCACTCTGCGAAGCACTTACCCTCGAGACTGTAACGGTCATTTTTAGTCTGGCTGATACTGCCTTGATATTCCCGTGCATGTGTACCAGTCATTGCCCGCTCCAAAACTGTTCTACCGTCACAGACAAAGTCACACAGAAATGAGGCGCAGAAATGTCAAGAGTGAGCCACTAGAAATATTTGTGACTGGCAGTAAAGGGCGGATGTCTAGGCTGCTGGACAACTGGACTGCACTTCCGCCGCTTTTATCATAGTGCAGCCACCGTTGACAAGGACAGCCTGTACTTTTGCGACGCCCACGATATTTCATGAGGATATATTCCGTCACTGAGATTGGAATTGGGCCTGTCTCGAGGAGTTTAGGATTGCCCTTTCCCATTGTTGACGTTATTTCGAGCCCGGCAAGATGGTATTTTCTTCCTCGTGTACTTTCACATGCTCCTGCTAATCCTCCCCAGAATGTACAATTCAACCAAGCACTGAAGCAGTCCACTGCTGTTCGACGTGATCTCGAGACCTTTGCTCAGGCTCCGGCCACGGCATCTCCTGCTCTACAAGGACAGATCTCTACTACTCTCACGAGTCTGGCAAGAACCCTCGACGACTACCAGAACCTCTCGCGGAATGAACTCAACGAGGAGAAGAAGGAAAAGGCGGTCGAAAGATTGAAGAACTTCAGAGCCGATCTGGCTTCGTATCGGGCGCAGTTCGACCAGCTGAAAAAAGAGCGGGAAGGAGCTGTGGCGGCCAACAACAGAAATGAATTGCTAGGAAGAAGACCTCATCACGCTGCAACTCCTGAAAACCCATACGCACACGCATCAAGTCAGAGCACATTCGCACCCGCGCATCGTAATACACAGGATGGTTTATCATTTGGAGCAGGTCCCAGCAATTTCACGCGAGAGGATCATGCTCTTCGAGAACAAAACTTCTTCAGCACCGCCAATGCTCAGCTAGACGAATTTCTGGATCGAGGCCGGGCAGTCCTGGGTGACTTGGGACAGCAACGAGAAATCCTAAAAGGCACACAAAAACGACTATACAGTGTGGCCAACACTCTTGGAGTCAGCGGCGACACTATTCGTATGGTCGAGAGAAGAGCCATGCAAGATAAGTGGATCTTTTGGGGAGGAGTGATTGTCTTCTTCCTATTTTGTTGGTTGGTCATCCACTTTTTGAGATGAGAATCACACCAGATCGCGGACAAGCAAAGGTACTTTCGTGGCCTGACGCCTCAACATTCCCCTGATCTCGACGTGTGCACAACAGCACCACCACATTGAATCGACACCATCGATGCGACGCTCAGCTCTCTCCGACCCACCGGGGATGTGAACCGCTATGTTTGTGGGTCCAGAATTGGCCAGGCCTCGGGACGGCTGGTAGCAGCATGGGGATGGCTGGACAGGCTGTGTGCTCTGTAGTATCTCGAGCCGCCGGACAAGCGGGCCGCCGTTGTATATGGCACCGTGGCTATGTGAAATCATCACCACAGGAAGGGTACGATAAGCCTACCAGAGCACTGGGCTTTCCCTGGATGTGGTCGATCCTCATCTCGAAGCACAGCGAATTCCCCAAGCTAGCGTGCCCACTGGCACACATCATGGACCCAACCGACCTTCGAGGGGATATCGTGTCATGGTGCATTGACATAGATTGTGGGATTATTCAACAAAAGCCTGGTCAGAGTCAGAGAAGCCGAGTCATGGAGCTATGCCCAGAACATTTGTCGTCGTATCTCCGGTCCTGCAGAACCGCACTGGAGGATCCCCCGCAATCCGGCACAGTTCTCTTGGTTCGATTCGCTGAATGGTTGGGGAACGCCTCCACATTGTTTCATTTGCGAGACGCGGAGTTTCTGGTCCAAACCGAGGAGCTATTGCCTCGGATCAATTGAATCGCCACAGAAGCTGGCATTGTCCTACTACATCCTTTCTTCCCAGGGTTAAGTACCGACTGCTCACCTGTCTGTTGCATCACATTTATCTGGTCATTCTCATTTGCTAGTCCTGTCGGCCTCTTCTTACAAGTCAAGCATATACCTCGTCTTTGGATTAGACGGCCACGATGGGAGGTGATATGCCATGGCCGCAGCTGCCTGTCGGTAACAAAGATCATACCGAAGCGACGGTCGTTATAATCGGCGCAGGCATATCTGGGATGTGTACGGCCATTGATCTGATCAAGAGGAACAACTGTAGGAATTTTATCATCCTCGAGAAGAGTGGCGGGATTGGTGGTACCTGGCGAGATAATCGGTACGTACTACGTATTTTCGAAGTCATCTATACCAAGTTCCGCCGAAAGAAAAACACATGAATCGATTGTTCTAAACGTGAGAACCTTCCGAACATTGCCTCGTGTACTGACTATTCCAGATATCCAGGATGCTGCTGTGATGGTAAGGAGAGCCTAGTATCATGTTCCATACTCGCTGACTCCATGCCAGTCTGGTCGCATTTGTACAGTTATTCTTTCGAACAGAACTCGGATTGGACTAGAGAATACCCCGGCCAAGAAGAGATTCTACGGTACCTAATGGGCGTTGCACAAAAGTATGAGCTTTATCGCTACGTAAGGTTCAACACTGCCGTCGAATCTGCAAAATGGGACGATGCAGCCAAAAAATGGAAGACCCTGGTGTCCGTCCAAGGCGCAAAAGACGCCGAATTCGGCAGCACGTACACCATCACCTCGGACTTCTTGGTTTCTGCCGTTGGTCAATTGAATGTGCCCAAAATGCCAGATATTCTAGGTCTAGACGAGTTCCGAGGCAAGCTCATGCACAGCGCTCGTTGGGACTGGAGTTATGATCTTCGTGGAAAGAAGGTGGCCATCATAGGCAACGGGGCGACTGCGGCTCAAATCATACCTGAAATTGCGAAAGAGGTGGGCCATCTGACCATCCATCAGAGGACACCAAACTGGGTCATTCCGAGACTGGATGCCCCGATTCCCGACTGGAAGAGGAACCTGTATAAATACCTCCCCATGATCCGCTGGCGGAAACGAGCTGAAATGATGGATTTCCGCGAAGCCTTCTACGATGCTGTCTTCGACAACACCTCGGCCACCGCACAATTTCTCGCAGCACAGAGCAAGAACCACATGCGTGCTCAACTTCCCGACAGACCAGAGCTATGGGAGAAGCTTCAGCCCAAGTATTCTATTGGTTGTAAGCGAGTGATTATCAGCGACGATTACTTCCCTGTGTTCCTACGAGACAACGTGAAGCTAGAGACTGGCAAAATCGATAGAATCACCGCACGTGGCATTGTAACAGATGGTCAGGAGGAGGACTACGATCTCGTCGTCCTTGCGACAGGTTTTCGTACGGTTGAATTTATGCATCCGATTGACATCACCGGCAGTGCTGGACGCACTCTATCTAGCATCTGGAAAGAGGGTGGACAAGCTCTTCATGGGGTCACAGTCGAAAGCTTGCCCAATTTCGGCATGCTTTATGGGCCAAATACAAACCTCGGGCACAACAGCATTATCTTGATGATTGAAGCCCAAAGCAAATACATCAATGCCATGATCAAAGAGGTCATTGCGGCCAGGAGCCGAGGCGACAGCTTGGTAATTCAGCCCAACGAGCAGAGGGTCAAGGCATTCAACGATGAAATTCAGTCCGAGTTGGGGAAGAGCAGCTTCGCCGATCCCAACTGCAACAGCTGGTACAAGGTAAAAGAGAGCGGCAAGATCACGAACAATTGGAGCCGGACCGTGGTTGAGTACCAAAAGGTAGATTGAGCAAGCCGCGCACTTCAGCGACATCAATAGCTGACCTCTTCTTAGCTTCTCAGTGATGTCGATTGGTCGGACTTTGACCTTTCAGGCCGCGGTGCGGATGAATTGAAGTCGACAACGACCCATCTGGGACGGGTGGTTGAAGAGTCTCTGGTTAGTTACAAGACCATGGGATTGACAGCCTTGAGCGTGGCCGCTGTTGGAGCAGGAATCGCTCTCCGTCATGCAGGCAGATTGAGACTAAGGTGAAGGTCCGTGTGAACGAGCACTTGTCAGCATACTGAGGGGGGTTCTCGCCTCTGGATTTGGTGTTTGAGAATGAGGGAATTGTCTGGTGTGGCACCTCGGGCTTCTCCCATTATGCCGTCAACAGGAGACATTGAACTTGATGTCTTTCATGGCGAACTGGGAGACCACGAGGCGCATCAGGCGCAAGGACATTCTGAATAGGAGGGCAAAGGGGGTGTTGAGCCCCATCAGCCCTAACTTAACAAATTAGGGGTTGATGTCTTGTTCAGGGGGAGATGGGGGACTCACACTGCACTAGCTGTCGTGGCTGTTTAGCTGTAAAACTGCGCTTCAAGGTGCCTATACTCCCACTACGAAATGCCATGCGGGCCATTGCGGGCCTCGTGCGACTCGGGCTCCCTGACTGGCTGCTTTATGCTTTATGCAAGGCCTTGGGTTTCTGCAACGTTTTTGGCCTCTTCTTCTCTTCGCCCACGGATTTATTTTGCTGCTCGAACAAAGCATACTTCACGTCGCATATTGACTTCATAACACGACCCGAACACCTTTCTACCTGTGCCATCTTGTCAATCGATCTCGTCTCCCGAGGAAATACCATCGTGCCCCACAAACTCACGCGCTCAAATCTCGTTTTCCGTCCTCGATTCCTCTCTCGAGCTATTTTCGTCCACATTGTCCAGAACAATACTCAAACGGCCTTGTCTATCCTCCATGATGCCTTCTCCCTTCTCCTCAACCTTTGCCTCGGCCGCCGCGAGCACGAACGGTGATAGTGCGGGAAACAGGAGGGAAAATGCCACAAATGAATGGTATGGCCACTTGAATTCGAAACACTCTACGCGCACAAAACAGGCCTGGTCTGGGAGCAGGATGCTTCGAGATGATCCGATATTGGGCCCTACCCTTCCACTCACTCAGAATGTTCAACAGCAAATCAGTTCTTGTGTGCTAATACTCTTGTTTGTAGGTCGAGAAATCGCGTCAATGGTGCCACCCAAACCTTCCGTAGACCCTCTCTAGTCACCACACCTTCACAGACACAGACACAGACACAACAACGTGAAAGCGCGAGCAACGATGGCGTGTACATACCTCCGCACTTGAATACTAACAGTTCTTCGCGAAACCCCCATTCAGGCGACACTCGGTACGGCAAAGAACAACTGCTAAGTATCTATCAGTCCCTGCGTGAGTCCTCCGCTCTCGATCGAAACCTAGAACACATATTTCTTGGTGGATGGGATCCTCTGGACGACAAGAACGAGGAAGCCATTCAGGGCGGGAAGGATCAGGTTCTGGGACCAGAAGTTTGCTGGAATTACAACATGCCTTCAGAACCGCTCGGCTTGACTAGCATGACTGAGGAGGAAAAGCAGGTGAGAGACGCAACTATACGGGACCGCTTGGTAGCATGGCTGATGTATGGTGTTACAGCTCTTTTTCACTTCGGTTAATTCGCCAATCAAGTTGCAGCAGAACAACGCGAAAGAGAACTCGGGCCCTGGGGTAATAGGTGGTCGCAAGGCTTCTCTATCAGGATATAGCAACACTCCGGGAAGCTCCAGACCAGGAACACGTCGAAGGGATACGAGTGACTCTTTTATGGGCAACGGTCCAATGTCGCCTGCCGAGAGCAAAACGTTCTCTCGCGGCGAATCAAATACCGCCACTCCTCCGCCAGCGCTACTACGCCGCCGGACAGACTACAGAGAGGAAGAGACTGCACCTAGCGCCAAGGAGGAACCGCAGGCAGACGGCGGCGCGGATTTGCAGCCTTCACTTCCTGGGTTGCGAAGAGTAGGCACAGGTCCGCTAAGTGCCGGATTGAATCCTCCATCTGCCTCGCCCTGGTCTGCTGGGACGCAGGGATCCGCTTTTGGCTCTATGGGCAGCTTTGGTAGTTTCGCCATCGGCGCTGCCACGACTCCCACCGAATCTAGCGAAAAGAGGCCTGGCTTCGGTAGTGCTCGGGGTGGAAGTCGGTTCAAAGATTTGTTGTCCAAGAGCAGCTCGGACGATATATCTCAAAGCGTCAGAGACAAGACTTCTTTTGGTGCTCTTGAGAAGTTGCCCGAGGAGGATGCAGAGGCAGCTCAGTCCAGATTGCGGGACGAGCTAAAAACGCGTCCCGGCCGTAGCGAGACTAATCCATATGAAGATGCCGTCGGCCGGACTGGCAGCGCAGCTTTGAGAGGACCTCAAGACGCCATCCCTCCGAGTTCAGGTATTGAGCAAATGGGTATGTCGGCTTTTGGTCCACCACCAAATGTCGGAACTCGTGATTTCGGTCACGACGACCCGTATCAGCAGACTCCGCATGGGAAATTCAATCCTCACGAACCTATGAGCCCGACAAACACGAATCCATACCAGAGCCCTCATGGCCGTCTCGAAGACGACGAACAAGACACGAACGATTCTACTTCACAGGCTTCAGGACTTCCTCCGTTTGGCGGAAATCGACGCAACGTGTTCCCCAGCTCTGACGATAGAGGTCCGCCAGGGGGCAGCATGCGCAGTGCAAGTGGATTTGGGGGTCTTTCCGGCTTCGGTGGTTTAGGAGGGGGTCCTACCTGGTCGCCTGCTGGTCTTGGGTCGAGCAAACCTGCCATGGATCGAGGAATGGGCTCTGCCTTCGCCGATCCCATTTTCAGTCCTTTGTCGGATCTTCAAGCACCTGGTGCGGGCCTTGGAGGTGGTTTCTTCGGCTCTACCGGGTTTGGCAGCGCTGGTCGTGCGAGCCGCCTAGGCGCCATGTTCCCACCAGCCATGCAAGAACAGATGCGAGGAGACAGTCGAAATGAGATGCAACCGGGTGCTTTCGAGTCACGCCCCGAAAGTGCACAACAACAATCCATCCGCGATGCTTTTGACAACACCGGCCGCCGCTCGGAAGGTTTTGGCCCTGGATCCGGTCTCTTTGAGGAGTCTCCATCTATGAGAAGTGTGGAAGAAGCCGGTATTCCACCTGGTCACTTTCCACCTGGAAGCTCGGGACCACCAACCTCGTCCCTCACCGCACCGCAGGCTGCAGGACAAAGAACCAGCGGTGACTATCAATCGGGCCATGGTCTCAGCCAGTCCAGTGGCAGCAACTCTTCCAACCAGCTGCCGGCGACTCAGCAACGACAAATGGTCATGCCAGACCGCATGCGCTGGATCTACCGTGATCCTCAAGGCAACACACAGGGGCCGTTTTCAGGGTTGGAGATGCATGATTGGTTCAAGGCTGGATTTTTTACTGCCGAGTTGCAAGTCAAGAAACTCGAGGATACAGAGTATGAACCTCTTGCCCAGCTTGTCCGGCGCATTGGCAATTCTCGCGAACCGTTTCTAGTACCTCAAATTGGCGTACCGCATGGGCCACCCTCAGCAAGCCAAGGGAACCACTGGGCAAATACTCCTATGACCGGACCCAGTGGATCTGTTCAACCGCCTTTTGCCAGCAGCTTCCCCAGCTTCGGTACGACGTTGACCGCTGAGCAGCAAAACGCATTGGAGAGACGCAAGCAGGAAGAGCAGTACCTCATGGCGAGACAGAAGGAACATCTCGCGCAACAACAGATGGCCATGAAGCATATCCAGATGCAGAATGGGATGCAATCGTTACACCATCATTCGAGCGCCCACTCACTGCAGAGTCAACCCAGCTTCGGTAGCATCACTTCGCCGTCGGGCTATCAACCATCAATGCCAGCTCCGATTCAACCTCCTCAACTGGGTGGGACTTTTAGTCAACAAAATGGACCTACTAGTGCAGGGCCAGGTTCTGCGCGTGAAGATGAGCTACAGTCCATGATGGATCGTATGAGCTTCAGTCAACGAGCCGGTCAAGCATTCTCGGGTGGCCCTTTGGGACCTCCTCCGCCAGACGTTGGCCCTTCGCCTCAACAAGTCAATTCGATGCTTCAAGATAGAGCTCGACTACAGCAACAGCAGCAGGGTGCCGATATGCGCGGCCATCAGGACGCTTTTTTAGGGCCGCAGGGCCGCAACGACCGTCTGGAAGAGTTCCGCGAGCTACGTGGGCAAGCGGAAATCCCGGCTGGCCGTCTCGGCCCTGAAGAAGCCCGACCTCAACCTATTGGAGCCCAGCGCCATGTTGAGGAACAGATGCCTCCAAAGGCTCCCGGCCTAATTGGACATCTAAGTGCGATTTCTAAAGCAGACCACGAACCTCTTTCTCTTGCTCAACAGGTACAAATTGCCGCTGCTAGTCAACAGGCGGCCGCTGAGGAGAGTGCACGCACAAAGAGGGATGCACCAATTGAGCCTCCGCCTGTGTCTATTTCACCTTTGCCCGCTCCCGCGGCTCAACGTAACCGACAACACGTGGCTGATGCACTTGCAGCAGAGTCGCGGTCGGCCTCTCAGACACCCGTCGAGACTCCATCGGTTTCCATCGCGCCATGGGCTGAGCGGACAGCCGAACTTGCCAAGGGGCCCTCTCTCAAGGAGATCCAGGAGGCGGAAGCCAAGCGTGCTGCCGAACAGGAAGAGCTAGCAGCTGCCGCACGTCGCGCTCAAGCCGAGCAAGAAAGACTACAGCAGACTCACGCTCCAGCTCCTGCGCCCGGACTTCCATCGACGTCCATCTGGGGCAGTTCTGCTTCGCCAGTCACACCTGGATCTCAAAGTTCGAGCGTTTGGGCCAAGCCGGCCACTACCAAGGTTACCTCTGGTGCTGCTCCTACGAAGAAGACTCTCGCACAAATCCAAAAGGAGGAAGAAACCCGCAAGCAAAAGGCGGCGGCGGCGGCGGTGGCGGCAGCAGCAGCAAATGCCCCAAATGCATCAAGTCCGGCTTCAGCAGCAGCAGTTGGAAAGCGGTATGCAGAGCTAGCGAGCAAGGTTGCTCCTAGTCCTCCGGCTACGACTGCAGGTGCATGGACAACAGTGGGATCGAGTGGCAAGGCCAAAGCTCCGCCTGCTGTAGTGGCCACACCTCAACCAGCCCCACGTGCCGTCAGTAGCTCTGGAGCCACTACTGCCAAAACACGACCTACCCTGCAGACGGCCCGTAGTACCACCCTGTCCACCCAAAGCAAGGCCAACGAGGAGTTCACGAAATGGATCAAGGGGTCTCTGAGCAAGGGATTGAACAGTAACATCAACCGTGAGTATCCTGCATCTCCTACCTTGGGTCATGCTAACATTTTCTGCAGTCGATAGTTTCGTGCAAGATTTACTGCAGCTCCCTCCCGAGATCGAAATCATTTCCGACTCTGTCTACGCCAGTTCTCAGACCCTCGATGGGCGCCGATTTGCCGAAGAATTCGTCCGACGCCGCAAGCTCGCTGATAAGGGCATTGTCGAGCCAGCGGCAAATGGAACTCAGACAGGTGGTGCAGATAGCAAAAGTGCTGGCGGTTGGAGCGAGGTTGCAAAGAAGGGACCAGCTACCACGGCAAAAGAGGAGAGCAACGCAGCGTTCAAGGTCGTGGCGACCAAGAAGAAGGGCAAACGGTAGATGCAGCTGTAGCGGAAGGAAGACGCACTGTAACTGTCGGTGTTGGTGTTGGTCGCAAGGAAAGGCTGTTTGATGAGTTATGCGATGAGATTTTATGGCCTGTGCTTTGCGTATGACTGAGATGCGGTGTGGGACAGATATTTGGGTAAATGACACTGGCTGGCAGAAGGGCTCTCGTGTCACTGGCATTGAGGAGTGAAGATAGCTGTGAAGTAGATATGTCGAGCTGAAGTCGGCCAATGTGAGCAGTCTGAGAGTCTTCTGCAAGAAGCCCTAGCCCTGGTTCGTTGACTCACCTGCATGCCGCCTACGAGCCTACCTACAGTATACCTCGTACTTAGTAGACGACAGTCTAGGTGACAGTAGCCTTCATCTCATTGGAAGTTGCTGGATGCGCTCAGCAGCAGCCGTTTTTCTCTCAACAACACCAACACCAACACCAACACCATTCTCACCCGCAGACTCTTGCGGAATATTGCTACAACCATTACCCACTATCTCCCGGCTGGCCTCTTGTATTGCAGATACTTGCCCCAGACAATCAAGGTACAAAGCCATGACCCGCCGTGACAGCACGTTGCAGACATGATGATGGTCTCACGGAAAAGACGGAATCGGTGGAATCTGCAGACATGCAGCTGATCTTCATCTCCATCTCCATCCCGTGCGTCATCATCATCATCGTCAAGATCTCGCAAGTTTCACAAAAGAATGACAGAAACATCAACTTCTGCAGGTACACCACGTCCTAGGATAACAGAGCCATGAAACTGCACGAAGCCTTCTTGCAGGATGTCTACTAGCGCGAGGTCCTTCAACGATATCCACACTTTGCGGGTAAATTCTTGACCAGGTGCCAGGTCCTCAACACAGTTGCAGGTCCTCACTTCGACCGCGAGCCACTTATTGGGAGAAGATAATTCTCGCTCAGATCCAGAGGTACCTTTCTCGAACCATGTTTCCATGCCCACAGACAGACTTCTTGTTCATCGCTCTCAGTAGAGAGCGGGTTTGAAAGATGGGAGGAATTTATAGCAAAGGGATGCTCGGCCTTCTGGCCCTGCTACAACTGACCTGGCATGGTCAAGCCGTTCCACTGAACAGCTATCAGAACCTCCCAGCTGGTATCAGTCAACATCTGCCTCTGAACATCACCCGTCGTGCCGCACCGACGCTCAACCAAAGTCTTCCGCAGCAAGTCATCCCGCTGAACATTAGTGATGACGGTACGTCGTGCCTTGCTTGTACCAGGCCCTGTGATGTCTTCTAAGATCAATCTAGCATCGATCCGCCGAGCTGCTGCCACAGCAGCATACAGCCTACAGTCCATGTACAATGGTAATAGCACGGGTGGGGTGTTGGGAAAATTCCCGTACCCTCCGTTCTACTGGTGGCTCAGCGGTGCCTCCTGGGACGGGATGCTGCATTACTGGCTCTACACCGGAGACGAGAGTTATTATAATGTCACTTGGGAAGCTTTGGTCGCCCAGATCTCGGAGACGAATAACTACCTACCGGTGGCGGAGAAGTTTGATGAGGTATGTGTCCAACCTGACCCATGCGTGCCATGCCATCTTTGCTTTGATGCCAGGGTTTTCACTCTGCGTGCATGGCATGTCATATCCTAGAGCACATCTATCTGGCCGGGCAATGTTGCACAGAAACCGATTGATTTTTGGTCCAGGGAAACGACGACATCGCCTTTTGGGCCTTTGGCGCCATGTTCGCCGTGGAGCACTCCTTTCGGCCTCCACCGCATCCGTACCCGTCCTGGCTCCAGATTTGCGACAACGTGTTCAACGACTTTGTCACGCGATGGCGCGCTGCAAGCGATACATGCGGCGGCGGGCTAAGATGGCAAGTCTTCCCCTCCAGCGCAGGGTGGGACTATAAAAATTCCATTTCGAACGGCGGCTTCTTCCAGCTTGCGGCCCGGCTGGCTAGGTACACGGGCAACGCGACGTACTTTGCCTGGGCGGAGAAAGTGTGGGACTGGACCGAACGTGTGGGTCTGATTGACGAGGACTTCAACGTCTATGATGGCGCCGGGATAGACGGCGGGAAGAATTGTACTAGCCTCGATCATACGAGGTGGAGTTACAACGTGGCGATTTATCTTTACGGAGCCGCGGTGATGCATAACCTGACCGTGCCGGCCCCTGCGGCTGGGACAGGCGGAGGAGAAAACGGGAGTATCTGGACGAAGCGCACGGATGGCCTTATTGCGGCGGCGGAGAGGAGCTTTTATAGTCCGTACACCAACAGCACGGGCGTCATGTATGAACAGGCGTGCGAGCCTGGATGGAAGTGTAACGTCGACCAATTCAGTTTCAAGGCATATTTGGCGAGGTGGTTGGCGGATACGACGCTCATGGCGCCGCATACTAGGGCGACAGTGGCCAATTTGTTGGAGACAAGTGCGGCGGCAGCGGTGAGGGCGTGTACGAGTACGAACGCTGGAGCAGCGAGGGTCAAGTGTGGTGCGCATTGGTATTTGGGTCACTGGGACGGGACGACGGGTGTAGGGCAGGCGTTGAGCGTTATGGAGGTTGTGCAGAGTTTGCTTGTCAATGGGACGAGACCACCGGCGTTCAATTGGACTTCGCTGGGAGGGCCAGGCTGAGCGGCAGTGTTGGGTCAATGAGAGCAGTGGAAGGAGGAGGGAGGGCAAGGGGTAGCAAGAGAGAATCTTTTGGAGAGGCCCTGTGGAAAGCACAGAGTGTACTAGTAGTGGCATTGTCTGATCAGGAGCAAGTCCTGTCTTGTCTTGCGCAAGGGGTCCTGCTGACCCTTTTGACGTTAGAGTCTTTCCTGGATCGTCATTGTAATGCCTAGACTTCCCACAATACTAGTAGTATATAGACATACACCTAAGTACTACCTACTAGTAGGTAGAGATCCCAGGCGAGAAGTGGCCATACAGAAATCGGGTCCGAGCCTGGTTTTGTCCAGGGATCGAAGTTAATGGCGATATGAATGGTCCCCGACCGTTGTCAGAAGGCTAGCGAGGCCCTCGGAACGGACGCTCTTCGAAGGCACAACAGAAGATAGTCAATAAGGACCTCAGACACGGGATTAGGTACTACCTGCTGCACATGTCTTCAGAGATCTACTTATAGTACTTACTAGTATTCAGCATCTTAATGAGTCCTGTTACAAGGTCATCGTCACGGTTCAAGGCCACTTATGTGAATGGATGTGTGGCATTCCACTCGGCGTAGCTGACGTCCGGATGAAGCGCCAACGCCGGGTCCACGGCAGGAATATCTGCTTCATCCTCATACGTGCCGTCCCAGCAGTATTTCTGCAGACACTTGTCGCACTTTTCGGGCCTGGCGATTTCGAGCTTGCTCAACGTCCTGTCCACGGCCGCACAGCCGATACATTGCACCCAGTCGGACTCCAAGGTGCCGTTGCCTTGAGTCACCAGGTCCCAGCTGTTGACCAGGATCTCGTGCATTTCCACGGGCGTGAAGACCGTCTTGAACCAGGAGTAGTTTGTGTATGCGCTGTACGGGGCGTTGGTCATCTCCAGCACGATGGGGCTGTCAAGATTGCGGGTCGTGGTATATTGAGGGTTGCACCCGAAAAGGACGGGCTTCTGGGTGTAATTGCGCTTGATGAAGGTCGCTGGAGGAGGGATTTCCGGGAATGGCAGGCCGTGCCGACGGGCTTGGATGAATGTGTTGTAGATGTTGGTGCCGTTGTTCCAGCCGTTGGGAGTGGAATCTTCGTCATTGTCCCAGGATATGCTGCGAAGCGGCCGGATGGTCAGTACTGTATACAGTATTAGGGCGGCGGAGAGAACATACAGTCGCTAGTGAGGCATACTGAGAGAGCCCCCTTGAAGGGGCCCCAAGGGAGAAGGGAGAAGGAAGGGGGGCTCACATGAAATCCACGTTTCGAGCAGGCTGAAGCATGGGCCAGAAGGGGATTGCCTGGCCGCCTTCAGATCCGTCCGCTAAGGTCAATGTTGCTGGTTCGGGCCCGCTGGCGCCCGGCATGCCTGCGAACGGGTTGGGGACAGTCGGCGAGACGGCCTGTACCTTGGTAAGGTTGAAGTATTGCTGGTATGCATCGAATAGGTAGTTGATCGTACTCAGAGGGAACCCGGCGCGCTTCCGGAGATTCGAACGAATTGATCCAGGAGGAAGTAGTGAATTTAGGGATCTCTTTGAAAATTGGGCCAGTGTCCCGTTGGACAGGGCCTCGATGTACCAGGCATTGACTGCAGATGCCGCAAGCCCGAGGATATTGCTTTGTACAAGAAGTATTAGCTGTTTTGCCCCAGTGCGGTGGTGGTGATGGCTCGCGTTTTGAACACTACGAGTAGTACATACCTTCCTCTGTCGTAACCTATCACGCAGGCAGAGCTGTTGGTCACTTTGCCGCCGCGAAGCTTTGTGCCCATGTATTCCATAGGGGTGAAGCCTGTTGCCGAACCGTCGGAGCCTATCCAGGCGCCGAATTCAAAGGGGGTCATCTCGAACTAGCAGTATCGAAGCTCCTAAGTTAGCATTACAGCCTCAGAAAAGTACTACTAGTACTCTTCGGCGAAGGAGAGAGGGGAATTTGATGGGACTTTACCAGACTGCTGTTTGCATATGGGATCTTCATTCCGTAGAATTCAATGTCATCGTCACTGAGCCTGGCCGCTTGGAATATGGGCATCGGCATCGAATGGTTTTGGAAATTGCTCAGACTTCGAACGCCGGAAAGCGTGACATTGACGCCTGCATGTGGAGGAGGCAAGAACTCATAGCCGAAACCTATGCCCATGTAGTCGGATACGCTGACGGCGAAGCCTGCTTTGTATTTCGCGTAGACGTCGGTGAACATGGACGTCGAGTTGGCGGCGTAGATGGTATTGTTCGGTTGGTTGAAAAGTCGATCGATGTCGGTGTGCCAGTTGGCCACCATGTCGTTGATCGTGGGGAAGTTGTACGTCGCCAACGACATGGGCGGCCATGCTCCGCCTGAGAGGCCGGCGAAGTAGCTCAAGCTCTGGAGAATCCCGCCGGTGCGTTGATCAATTGCATCGGAGAACCGAGCATCGAAGGCTCGTAGTGCGCCGGTCCCTGTGAGTGAAGACGCCCAGCCACCACCACTAATGGCCATGCCGATCACGGGCACACCGGCGTTCTTGTTCTCCTGCATGGCCTTTCGCAGGCCCGACACGTTTAGATCTGTGATGTTGAGCCGTTCGAGGTACGAGCTGAAAGCGTCTAGAACCACCGTTTTGCGTCCTTGGATCCAGGCCGCTTCTTGCGAAGACAGGCCCTTCGCAGGCCGGACCCATTGCTGGTCCGAGGGACAGCTTGCGTAGACCGGAGCATAACTAGTGAAGCTATATGCAGAGACGCTGGAAGTGATTGCTGCGGGGAGTGAGACAGACTGAGAGAGAGAGACGAACAGAGAGACGTACCTCCAAATAGGAGTGTCAGGTAGCAAGTCCAGCGCATCGTTGTCTTCTTTCGCTGGCGTAATTGAGTCGAGCTTTTTTCGATCAATAAGTATCGTTTTTGAGGTTTTCTCAACCTTGGATGGATCACTGCGAGTGGTCTTCCGGAGAACTCTCATCTTATATACGGAGTAGGACATTCAGTATGTCCTCTAGGGCTCACCGTGGCTCACCTTGCACGTTAAGTGTGCTCCTCTGCCCGGCCCCCAAAAACCGGCGCAGCGAATTCCAGCCTGGTCCATAGACGGGACAGTGACTTGGTCTGTGGCTATACCTCGCGGATAGAATTCAATGGACATGTACCAGTATGAGGTCAATGGCCTCTCTGCCAACTCCGCCTTCATGATGGACGGAGTCAGAAAGGATGGGACGCCTGAGAAACACCGCTTTACCGGGATCCATTGGCAGGCCCACTAGCAAGCAAAATGTAGTCCAAAGGTGCTGCCAGCCTTGCTTGAACAGGAAGTCCATTCGACACTATAGCCCACACTCTCATTTCGGGAGTAAAGAAGCTGAAGTTGGAGAGCCTGAAGGTGTAGGAACGTCGTTAATTCCATGCTTGAAGCTTCGCTCCTCAAGGCTTGACATGCCGTAGACATGGTTTCCCTTGGTGATTAGTCAGGGGATGCGTCACCAACTAGTCTAGAGCCTCAGCGGACTCCTTCGTCTGTTCACGGTGCAGATTCTTGCCAGTAGATCGGTACAGCCAACCAGCGCCAAACTCGCTCGTCCTTAACGTCAGGCAGCGAAGTTTCAATTGAATTAGAAGCCTAGTTATTCCATCCGAGCAACATCCAGACACAAACAAGGATGAGAAAGGGGTTGCAGCCTCACTTCAGACCAGCAAGTCAGCCATCACTGACTAGTCTTAAGACAAGCACACTCTGTCTATCGAGCTTCAACATTGGCACTGTACTGCTGCGTAATCCGATTCCTAGCAGAGTAATCGCCGCAGAGAACAAGTTGCTGGCGCTGTGATCTCGTACGATCATGTCAGCCTCAATATTACAAATCCGGTCCTGCAAGGCTGGCTTACTTGGCGGAGATAGCGGTCGGACTGGCTCAGCACACCGCAGAGAGTTTCCTCACTCCCACTGTGTGTTCTGCGAGGCACCGTTATTAAAGGCAGTTGCTGGATGTTGGGATGGAGTATATATAAATATGACAACCATGACTTACAAAATGATGTCCCGTCCTATACTTAACCCGAACTGCGAGGAAGACGCTAGAGGCTATTCGAATACTACTAGTATACTATCCCAATGGATCAAGTAAAGCATGTTGCCCTTTTTGGAGGTACTGGTCTACTAGGCTCGGCTGTTGTGGAAGCCCTCCTAGCCAGAAATGACCAATTTGAACTCACTCTCTTCACGCGAAGCAGTTCGACCCACGAGATCCAAGCTAAGGCAAGAGTTGCGGCCATTGAGTCCTTCCACGATATTTCGGAAGGCAGCACGCTCGTGCAATGTCTCCGTGGTCACGATGTGCTCGTGTCGACATTGAATTCAGCCGTGGCTGTTGAGTGTAAGGACCGCGCCGCTCCTTTGCAATATATCAAGTCCCAACTGACCTCCGTCGTACAGTGGAACCCAAGCTGGTGGCAGCCGCCATTCAAGCGGGTGTCAAGCATTTCTTGCCGTCCGAGTATACCTTGGACGTGACGCATCCCGCAGCTCGAGTACTTGGCAATGCCAACATGCTCGGTGCACGAGCATCATGGGCAGACAAATTGGCGATGATTGCCTCCTCAGGCCAAATCACCTACACCACTCTTGTCACAGGCGGCTTCCTCGACTGGGGCATAAAGAGCGGCATGCTAGGTTTCGACCTTGCACAACACGCTGCAACCCTCTACGACGGAGGCCAACACAAAGTGACGGCTTGCACCGTCAGCTTCGTGGCGAAAGCGATTTTGACAGCATTACGAATGCCGACTGAGAAGACGGCGAATAAGCGTCTGTACGTCGCTGAGGTTGAATACAGTGGCGAGGAGCTGCTTCGGACCATCGAACTCGCTTCGGGCGGGAAATGGAGTGTCACGCAACTCGGTACAGAAAGTGCTAAGGAGAATGGAATGAAACTTCAAGCCCAAGGCAATATGAGAGGAGCATATCTCAATCTTGCGCGGGCCTTGAACACTTCGACGGATGCGGAGCTGCACACCTCAGATCTGGACTGGAGTTCGGCAAGGAAGTCGACCTTCAACGGCGCAGCCTTTTCGACATTGTTCGAGGTGTTATTGATGAGGATAAAACATCGTATGGACACCAGCGTACTTGAAGACTGTCATGATACAACCGTAGGGCCCATCATATGATCAGCCACTGTATACTTCCGTTTCCGCAGTTCCTTGAGCAACTGCCGAGGGTTCCCTGCTACAGGACTCCGTATGATACCTGACATTCCCCAAGCACTAACCCCACCATTGCCACATCCAATGCCCCCTACCCCACATTCTACCACATGTAAGGGTAATTGCCGCTGATGCCACGATACCCGTCAGTCGCCTTCAGTTGGTGCAGTCGTATCCAGTACAAATTAGGCGAAGATCCCCTAGAAGGCAGGCATAACCAGATCCTTTCCTTCTACGACTCCTGAATTCAAACGCCATTGGTAAACGGCGGTAAATATGTCGTCGTCGAAATCACCCCCGTGGGCCATCATCGTGGGCGCCGGTCCCAGTGGGCTCTTGCTGGGCCTGCTCCTCGCCAAACGGGGCATCCCCGTCCAGCTGGTGGACTTGTCGTACGAACTCGACAAGAATCCGCGGGCAACTCACTACGGCACCCCGGCCATGTATGAGTTGAACCGGGCAGGCGTGGTCGAAGAGATGCGCGCCCAAGGATTCCACCCCAACTCGGTATGCTGGCGGAAACTTGACGGCACGTACCTGACGGGCATCGACATGACCATCCTGGGCGACTACCCAGACCGCATGGTGTGCCTGCCCCTCAACAAGCTCGGCAAGATCCTGTACGAGCATATCAGTCGGCAGCCCTCCGCCACCGTCAACTGGGGGTATAAAGTCGTTTCGCTCGGTCAGGACGATGACAAGGCTTGGGTCAATGTCGAGACCCCCGAAGGTCCCAAGAGGCTCGAGGCCAAGTACATTATCGGGTGCGACGGTGCCAACAGCCAAGTTCGACGGTCGTTGTTTGGAGACTGGGAGTTCCCCGGAAAGACTTGGGACCAACAGATTGTTGCCACGAATGTGAGCTACTCCCCCAGTGTCCCCTCTTCTCTCGGTGTCTCGATGGAATTCAAAAAGAAAACACTAGTCCTAGGCACCGTGGCACGGTCTGGACTGGCTTACTACTAGTAGTACAGGCATTTTGTCTTTTTGGGAATACCTAGTACTGATTATTGTCCGTGCTGGCAGACATACTACGACTTCGAACCTTACGGCTGGCTCGACTCGAACTTCATCATCCATCCGGAACACTTCTTCATGGCCGCTCGGATCGGCAAGGACGGGCTTTGGCGCATCACGTACGGCGAGAAACCTGGTTTAACGACGGAGCAACTGCGTGAAAGACTACCCACCAAGTTCAAGACGTTCCTACCTGGCCACCCGGAACCCGATCAGTACAAGGTCGTCAATTTCAGCCCCTACAAGATCCACCAGAGATTGGCGCCCAGTATGCGCGTTGGACGTTTCTGTCTAGCTGCCGACGCTGCTCATTGTAAGTACTACTACTCACACCCCCACACTGGACTTTCAAACGGGTCATGATCGTGGTCATGGTCATGGCGAAGCATGTCGAAGCGAAGCAGCGTACTGACCCCGTTGGCTGTCTAGTATGCAACCCCTTCGGCGGCATGGGCTTGACCGGCGGAATCGTCGACATCGGCGGGCTATATGACTGCCTGGTCGGCATATACGACGGTCTGGCGGACGATTCCATCCTGGACAAGTACTCGGAGATCCGGTCGCAGAAGTACAACGACATCATCAACCCGATCTCAAGCGACAACATCGTCCGGCTGTTCGGCCAGGATGCCGACACGGCGCTGGAGAACGATGATTTTCTGAAGATGCTGAAAAGGGGTGAGACCGATTTGGAATTTGCAAAGGAGTTCCAGAAAGGCGCGTATGCGCTGCAGCATGATTTCACGCAATACTACAACAACCACAAGAAGCCGAGTGCTGATGCACCGAATGGGGACGCGAAAGCGAACGAAAAGGTCGTCGGAGAAGTGGCTCCTCAGGTCCCTCTTCCGCAGGCGGTGGCTGCAGGGGGAGTGACGGATTGAGATAGCAAGATACTCTTGTCATTATATTCAATCTGTTCAATCACAAGTATAAGCCTTTTTTGACTATACAACTGGGCGTGAGGTCGTCCGCCTTGGTGAGACGGGAACCGACGAAGGATAAGGTATACCCCCGTGACCACAGTAGACTTGATGCCCGCTTGTCACCGGATTACTATCCAGAGCAAGATCAGATTTCAGCCTTTCTGATCTGCTCGTCACCCTCGTGAGTTTCCTCCACTGGCGAGAACACCTTCCCGAATCTCAAATGTGCCAAATCACTAAGCGTCCGAGTCGTGTTCCGCAAGTTCTGGTTGACGAGTTGGCTCGTTGGCTGGCTGAAGATGAGATCAATCTCTTCGAGAGTCTTGTTCTTGGTCTCGGGCATGAACAGAATTTGATAGACCCAGCCCAGGACGGCTATGCCTCCGTAAAATCCGAGCGTCAGGCCAGTCTTGGTCATGGCTCGCTGCATGTCGGCGAAGAAGTACGTGACCAGCCAGCTGCAGAAGAACAAGTTGACATCAGTGGACTCCATGCCATAAGACCGCAAATATGTCGGGAAGACCTCGCTGGGAAGGACCCAGGTGAGGCAGGCGTATGAACCGAAAAATCCGTTGTACAAAATAATGCCAGTGAGGTATAGGCCTTGAGTACCGGCTAGGGAGGTCAGCTGGTATGAGACTCCGACGAAGATGAGGCCAATGAAGAAGCATGGAAGCATCATGTTGGCCCAGAACCGTCGGCCGAACTTTTCCATGAACAAAACACCCGGAATGGTCCCCAGAAGCAAAGAACCGCCACCGACGAGCGACATGAAGACGGATTGCTTCCGGTCGAAGCCAATCTGGTTCATAAGAGTCCCAAGGTAATACATAATTGCATTTATTCCAGTCAATTGTCCGAGAGCGATCATGATATTTGCGTAAACAATAGCCCTCCTGGCGCGTGGGTTGGTGAAAAAGTCCAGCCAGACGAACTTTTTGCGCTTGGTAACGCCTTCCTGTACCTCGGAATCGAGGGCGTGATGCATGATGAAGAACTCCTTCCGGTCTTCCGGCTTGTCAAGTCCCCGAATGCGTTTCCAGACGGCGAAGGCCTCGAGAGTCTTGCCCTTATGCATAAGCATTCTGGGCGACTCGGGCATGAAAACCATGCCAACCAGCATGATGGTACTGAAGACCAATGACGAGCCGAGCATATACCGCCATGAGCCGGAGTGGACATTGACGAAGATGGCGGCGACGACGTAGCCGATGACCTCTCCGAAGGCGATCATGAACTGGTACAGGCTGACCAAGTTACCCCGGTATTTCTTCTCCACGGACTCGGCGACGTAAACAGGAACGGTGCCGCCCTCGAGACCAAGGCCCATACCCAGAATGACTCTTGCCGCAACGATCATGCCGAAGTTGATGGCGCCAGCCTCGAGAGCACCGCCAATGGTGTACAGGATGAGTGATATGATGATCGCCATCTTGCGGCCGACGAGTTCGTTGGTAGGACCCAGGAGCAGAGCACCGCCAATCGCACCGAGCGGCACGGCTGAACTGGTCAGGCTGACCTGCGAAGTGCTGAGACCCAGGTCATCGGGCATGTAGAGCAGAGCACCTGAGATGACACTCTGGTCGAGACCGGAGAGCATGCCGCCCATCGAGGCGAAACCGACGATAAGCCAGGTGAAGTGGCGAGGGTCGTTGAAGGAGATTTGCGGGTTGAGGAAGGAACTCTTGATGGGCGTTTCTGCCAGGGCGGCTTCGAACTCTGCGATTTCCTCATCGACGATCGAGGACTCATCCGCGAGCCTCATCGCCTGCGCCTCGCTGAGTCGGCGAGAAGCCATCGACATTTGCCGTGCTGTACCAGGTCGTGAAATGTTGACCTTGTCATGCTCGACGTGGGTGGGAGCTGTGGAGTTGTCGACGCCCATCTTCTCGGCGGATGCCATTGTTGGCGGCAAGGGGGTTAGGTTACGGAAGGGTTGGTCGTTTTCGGAAGCCTCAAACATGCACGAAGCACGGCGAAGGTGAATCGCTTCTACTTATAATAATTTGCACAGCTGAAGTCTCCAGTGGATATCCCATATCTCCAGCCCAGGTGTGACGTGGGTTTGTTGCACACTGGATGGAGACCTGCGTGCCATTTGGGACCGTCCGTGAGCGTCGCATCAAAGTTACAGGCTCGCAGTCGGTGAAAGACTCGGGCAAATTATGGATTAGTTTGTCCAACAGGAGATGTGCGTTCAAGGTCCATCACATGCTGGAGAAAGGGACTTCCATGCATGGGCCGTCTAACATTTGCAAGGGAGGGTCGTCGAAGCAATAGGCAAGCTTCTGGCTTACCCGCTTATCCATCGGTGACCCAATTGCGCCTAGCAAGGCTGTCGTGGTGGAGCTGATGGAGCCTTGCCCCTGGTCAACGGCACAAAATCAACAAGCACATGATGGCCATCGTCGTCATCTTGCTGGTTGTCTGCCACTGTGACTGGTCGAGAAGGTCGAAAATCTTTTCTCGAGGCCCCTGAAGCCCCCAACGTCGGCAATTGAGAAGCCAGATAAATAACCGTGGACGCAGATGATTCGCGATACTGGTGACTGGATACCATTATCGTCATGTGGAAGAGGTTGAGAGTGGTACTCCTACAATTACTGACAGCCTCGCATGATTCCACTGCTTCAATATCCGCAACCGCAACCGCAACCGCAACCTTTTCGGGCTGGAGCAATATACACTTACAGCTCGACCACAATCTTCTGCGCAGACACACCCTTCTTCTGTAGGTCCATTGCAGCTTGAATGACTTCCAACCCCCCTGTTATGACCTTGGGCTTGGGCTTGGCCTTCAATTGTCCAGCCTCCAGCGCTGCAGGCACATAATCTCTCCAAAGTCTCGCACCTACGTGGTTCTCCACCAAGCCGGGATTCGTGGCGTAAACTGATGGAGCAGGTCAGCAAAGTTTCTTCCTAAAACTCGAGGAGCCCAAACGTACCCAGGACAGGCTTCACGCTCGGCGGCAAATTGGCCGGCAACGGCCAGGTCACGATTGGAAGCACTCCCCCGCCCATCTTGCCCAAAATATCTGCACACGCTGCCTTTGTCTCATCTGTCCCAATGCAGTCATACACCCCAGCACAGTCCGAGCCTTTGAGAGCCTCGATGAGCAAGCTGGTGACATTTGGATCGGAATGGTCAAAGACTGCGGTGGCGCCCAGTTCTTTGACATATTCGTGATTTTTTGCGCTAGCGGTGGTAATGACCTTGTAACCTGCCGCGGCGACAAGCTGAATTGCGATGCTGCCTATCGACGAGCTTCCTCCCCAGACTAGAACGGACTCGCCGGTTGATCGAGACTCGGTGCTGGGCAAGGCAAGTTGAAGAAGCTCGAAAAGAGCGACCATCGAAGTTGATAGGGCTAGTGGAAGCACCACGGCCTCGGCGAAGGGAAGATTATCTGGGATCTTTGCCACCACCACTTCACGACAGGTGGTATATTTCTGGAATGCACCGTGCTTGGCGCCTCCATACATCAAGCCGAGACAGTGTCTTGGTGAGAGCGTAAGTCAATCCGATTCATGATTGACCACTTGAGGGAAGTACTTACCCAAGGACACGATCTCCGGGCTTGAAGCGAGTGACTGCGTTGCCAATTTTCACGACCTCGCCAGCAACATCATTCCCCAGAACATGAGGGTATTCAAGTGGCAAGAGGGCTGTATCTTGGATCTAGATTTCTCGTCAGTCTAAAAGTCAAGTACAACAGATTTCGTTGTGGAAATACCTTCCACTCGGACGGATTGATGGCGACATATGCCGCCTTGATGACGACCTCATCAGCAGCCGGTTTGTCGTGAGCTGGTCCTGGTCCGACTTCCAAAGGCTTCACCTTGGGGCCTGTCTGCCATGCTGCCTGATTGACGATTTCTGCGCCCATTGTGATTGCGATTGTGCTCAAGAAAAGATTCTGGATTTTGATGATTTGGAGTTGTTCGTGTGTCTGATGTTGTAACAGAGCAACTGTGCTTGCTCCACGTCTTTTATAGCCATCCCAGAGCCTGAGAGCATTGCATCTGCTTATTCAATCGGCCGTCGGCCATAAAAGGAACAAAGGCACCCTTGTTGTGGTCGCATCCTGGCAAGAACACCCCGACCGGTCGGTCTGATTGGCCGCTTCGGAGCCTTGTGCACAACAATAGTACCAAATGCATAACTTTGCCTTACATAATTCAGTCCATGTTGTGCTGAGGCTGCTGGGGATTCAGGATAGCCCATGATGGCCCCCAGTGATCTTCTTTCGGCCGACATGAACTCCAATGGTCGCTGTCGACTCAGCCCTTACTAATTCGACACTCTACGCACGCTCATGAATGAATATGTCAGAAATTGGTGAGGCTGCCATTTTCTGTCCAATTCGCGGCCACAGCCTCAGGACTTTGGACACAAAAGAAGCTGGCTGCGTGATCAGAGTCAGAATCCCTGTACGCCAAAGAGCGGAGGGAAGAGAATACGCAGGCATCAAAAGCCGCTTTGAAATGGTGTCATTAATTAATAGTATAATATAAACCTGTTTGCTCCCAAAGGTGCAACGCATGGTGCAATATTGCATCCAGGCACCTCATGATTCTTCTCATGCAGCCACATTCACCGACCCTCGGACGCTACCCCACTTGGGAGCAAAGGAAACCAAGAATGTGACACAGCAACATGCAATACAAAGGGCGAACGGGACCCTCAGCCCCTCGATGTACGCAGCGAGAATGCCGGGTATTTGGTCCGCATCGAACACTTTTCGTAGATCGGTCGCGCCGGTGGCGATCACGACGGCGGGATCCAGTCCGGGGACTTTGTGGGGGATGGTCTGGATGAGCTTGTTTGTGAATCCTGCCTGTCCGCCAGAGATGAGGATACTGCCGCCGGTACTCTGGAAGAAGAGCATGATCGCGGATATCGAGGAGATGTCGGAAGGCTGTACAACGGCTTGACCCACAATGACTGGGACTTGAATTACGAGGCCAATTCCGACGCCAATGACCGCCTGGTAGCCGATCCACTCGCGGGAAGGAGAGTTAACGTCGAGGGTGTAGATGAGGCCGGACCCGATACTGGCGAATATACTGCCGACGGCCAGGACCGGCACGTAGTATCCCCAAGTGGAGAGCACAATACCCGACAGAATCGTAAATAACGATGTACCCAGAACGAGCGGAATATTGTCAATTCCCGATTTTGCTGCCGAGACATTGCGCGTCGCCTGGAAGTATATCGGCAAATAGTAGAGTATTGTGAAGAAGGCCCCGGAGAGGATGAATTCGTATAATGCCATGGCGGCGATCGTCCTGTCTTTTAGAAGCCTGCCCTGGAGGAGTGCTCGATCGCCTTGGAAGTACTGAATAGCGATGAAGGCAACAATTAGGAGTCCGAAGAACACGAGAGGAGTGACCACAGCAACATCAGACCACGGCTTGGTGGTGCCACCCCACTGTATGGCAAGCAGATAGCAGACGATGGCGGCCATGAGCGTAAAGGTTCCAGGAAAGTCCAGTTGCAGGAGAATCTCTTGCCATGGCGCTGGTTCGGGCTTCACCGAAGCTCGAAACCAGAAAATGATGATCATGGCGGCCATGCCCCCAACTGGAAGGTTGATATAGAAACACCATCTCCAACTGAGAGCGTCCGTAAAGATGCCTCCAAGAAGCGGCCCCAGCACCGAGGCCATGCCAAAAGTTGCCCCCATTACGCCTGTAAACACAGGTCGACTTTTCGGCGGTGCCGAGAAGGCGATAATGATATAAGCACCAGACACCACACCGGCAGCACCTACTCCAGCAACAGCTCTGCCGATGATCAAGACCGTAGAATTGGGAGCGACAGCGCATATGAGAGATCCGACCTCGAAAATGAATATGCTCGCTAGGAAGGAGATCTTGAGGGGTGTATATTTGTACAATTTACCCCATGCTGCCTGAAAAGAGCCGGTGGTCAGAAACTGTACAATGTTAGCTGCATCGCAAAGGTCGCCGGTATGGATGCCTCACAAATGCACTGCCGTACCAGCCAATCTGGTCGAGGGAATGGAAATCTTCGGTGATTTGAGGGATGGCGGTGGCTACAATAGTCATGTCGAGAGCGACGAGAAAGATGCTGCAAACTAGCGCGACCACAATCATGGACAATGAGAAAAGAGAGCTCTCCCTATCGTTCCTATGCTTCAGCACGTTTCGAGTTTTCAGGGGCGTTTGAAACTTACCACTGTTGTTCCCCCTCGGTCGCCACGGACATATTTGCAACCGACTGAGCTTCCGGGTCAAAATGACTGGCCTTCAAAGCCGGTAACGACCATGTAATGTCAAGCATGGCCAGATTTTTCTGAATGGTCGGGTCCATCTTGGTTTCTATGTCCTCAACTGAATGAGGCATCACAGTCTCAATGGACGGGACATACAAAGCCGGACCCGACTGCATACGTGGATCGAAGCGCGAGGTGAAGCGCCGTGATAGCGTCTTTTCGCCATATCCAGTTGTTGGCTCGGAGTTTCTTGCTGTTTCTCGGGTGGATGATCTTCTCGATGGCCATGAGATCCCCTCCGCTATCCAGGAAAATGTCGCAGAGATGCTCCTTGAGGTGCTAGGTCGGCCTTGTAAGTCCTCGGATCGGCGTGGGACGGGTTTTCGCGCTATTCTATGGTTATGTGGTCTCCGCGAACTGTTCATCCTCCCTAAGGTGGTTGGGAGTGAGGGTAGGGTGTCGCTTCCATCTTGTCCATAGGCGTCTGGAATGCTCCCGAATGGGTTTGTGAGTCTTGAGTTCTCCATGTTCGGACGAGAATTGGGCGGAAGAACCTTTGCCGGCCGTATGCAGACCTCTGTACAACGCAAGGAAGACAGCAACAATGCAACGGGAAAGAAGAGGAATGATATGTCGATCAAGTGTTTCGACCTACGGCATTGAGGGTCCAGCTATACCTATACTTAGTTTCAAAGTCCGGTCGGTGGAATCTTGCCCGATTGCCTGCCTGCCTGCTTGCCGGGCTTCCCTCCCATTGCAGACGAAGTGCAGATGCCCTTCCGGTATAGATGAATGAAACGATGGGGCGAGACAGTGGACGGCTCCGGTATGGTGATAGGCTGATGGATCACAGTCGTAAGCCAACCTGCCAATCGATGACCGAAAGCTCCTTAGATCTCACATTAGCTCTGCCAAGATATTGCTTGCCTTGACGCCTCAATGGTTCAGCCCGACTGCGGTAAGGCGGCCATAGTAAAGCCCGTCTCATTACTCTTCGAGCATGGGCAGAATGTTGTAAGAGAAGAGGTATCTGATGATTGAACACCGGGTCGAAACAAGTTAATGGACGTATACCCGTCGCGATTTCAACCCCCTTCGACTAACACAGCGGATCTTAGCCCCAACCGCAAGGGCACTCTGAATAGGGAGCGCTGCAAAGCTTGGGTGATACGGGCGAAGACTGCATGTCATTGTGCATCTTTATCCACAGACCGAGCATTGAAGGCTGAGATACTCGATCGGCAACGTCTCGACCAGGAAAAGACTGCGAGGGCGAGAAGTCGAGATGAAAGAGAGAGAATGCGAGAGAGTCCGAGAGACAACCACAGTGTGGTTGTAGCGGCGGAAGAGATTGATTAACTAACTAATCTAAGAGGGAAAGACTGGCCGCTATATGTAGTCACTCGTAACTGAGCGCAAGGAGGGGGAATACTAGGCTGGGCAAGTATCCCGACGCTAATATCACATCCTCCTCTACTTCCTTACGAGCACCTGCGAGTGACGTGTTCTTATTATTCTGCTAAGCCGTAGGGCTCGCAACGCATTATATCTTCCCTCCTTTCCTTCTATCTCATTTCTCTCTCTTTTATAATATATAAAAGGTATACTGTCTCCCCTACTATATCGTATTTTAGGGAGTAATGGTCTATTAAGGTCGAGAATAGCTCGCAACGATAGCGACGACGCCGCGCGAGGTATAGAAACCCTTAGACCCTAGCCCTTTTGTAAGGTTTAGAAGTTCTTATTTTGGCTCTTTTATAGTTTCCTTAATTTACGCTATTTATAACTAACAAATTTAATACGCGATAATAACTTAAGTCGTTACGTATTCTCACGACTAAAAAAGAGTAGATATATCTCGTAAAAGAGATAGGAATGAGCAGTAATCTCTTAAGTTAGTCTCTAATATCTCGTCGACTAGTTAGATATTATAGATATCCCTATATCCCGTAGAGAGTATCCCTTCTAACTCGATACGCGTAGATTCGCGTAGGTCCTACGAGGTTCGAACCCCGTCGTTATCGATCTTAGACCCTTTTTACGCATCTCTATAACTATACCAGTATAGTTTATTGATTAAACTCGCTAGATTCTAACTAACAATTAATCATTGCGCTCGTCCCCTTATATTGCACTGTAATTTTAAGAAGATATACTAATTTATAGTTATTGTAGGTCGTTTCGAGAGCTTTCGCTTTAAATCGGTAAAATCCTTTCTTTAATTCTTAATTAATACTTTCGCAGTAATCTACAACAATTCGTAATGGCTAGTAACAATGTACAATATAATATATTAACTAACTTCACTATCATCGCGACCTCGCGTCGCTTAGGTCGATTGGTTACTAACTATCCTAATACGCAACCCATCGTATTTCGACGTACCCCCGATTAGACTTAGTCCGTAATTAATTATAAGTAAACTCCTTTCCTTTGGTTCGAAACCGTTTATTAACGCTCGTAATAGACTATACCAGTTATACTAAGGTATACTATATACAATCGATCGGAATCGTTAACAATCTCAATAAGTTTCCTCTTTATTCTTTACGTATTCATTAGCAACTAATAGTAATAGGCTATATCTAGTGTAGAAATATATAGGGTCTCTTCTCCTCTTACCGTTCGGTCGCCGATAAACTTAATAGTGGTAAGTACTCCGTATTCCTTCGTAACTATTCGTAACCGTGCGAAATAGCTTATATATATTGTTACTGGGGCTAGCGTGTAGCTAACTACTCTCTTAACCAAAGTAAGTACTGTCCGTTCCGCTCCGTTATGTATATTAACGTACTAGAACGCTACGATACTACTAAGCCGCGTAAATATACCAAGTAAGTTTCCGTTGGTTTTTTATATTAATTCGTAATTAACAGTAATTGTAGAAAAGAGCGTAAAGATAAGGGTAAAGATAAATCGTAAGTACTCGTAATTTATATAAAACCTTTCGTAACTGACCGCAATAGTACGTTAGCCGGCGTAACCGATAATCACTCCTCGCCTATATTAGTAACGGCCTAAAAAGGTTCGTAAGGGCCTATAATCGCGCGTATTTATTTGTCACCGTAGAGTAACCTCTTTCTTTCTTAGAAAGAGTGCGTATCTACACAAAATATAGCATAATAGGTAGCAATAAAATAATTACATAAGATTTCTATTCGTAAGACGCCGTAAAGTTCGGTAAGGACTATAGTTCGTATTTTTCTTACTCTCTATCCTCTAGCCTTTTCTTCGTAGGCTAAGGTCGTAGTCCGTAACGAGTTGTATCTTATTGGTGTTAAGCAATACTTACTGCTAATTCCTTTTACTATATTAGAATAGACGTCGCTCTTTTAATGCCCTTTATACTATTAATCGTAATAGTAGGTTTTGGATCGAAAGAGTCTATAACTAAAGGATTATAATAATTAGATTCAATATCCTCTACTAGGACCTTAGGAGGAGATTTAGGTATTAGTTCTCTTTCTTCTAATATAGTCTTATTTTCTTAATCCTAGTTAATTTTAATCGTATTTAACTATAAGGGCTAGAACTATAAGGTTGGAATCTTCTATTCATCTTAGTTTTCCTCCTCTATCTAATCTAAACGTACTCCTGGATATTTATCTAGATTAAGAGGAATAGTGGCTAACTCGTCGTAAGAAGGAGTATTGTTTTGCTCCTTTTTAAAGAGTTCAACTACTTCTAGACTAGCAGTATCGATTTGAACAACTTATTTACGTAACCTTCCCTAGATTTTCGAAGAATTCTAGAGCGTTTCGACTCGATCCCCTCGTAATCTAGCTAGAATGAGTCTCTAGCCGTTAATTAATGTCCTAAGTTTATTACCTTTCGGGTTGGCTAGATAGTAAGTTCCTAATGGTATAGCCTTTACTACCTAATACGGACCGAACCAGTATCCTTCGAACTTATTACATTCTTCGACTCTAACTAAGACTTATTGATCAATAGGAAGAGAACTCTCTTTAACGAGTTCCTTTCGAACCTTACTAGCTACGATAGCGCGATCGATTAAGCGTTAATTCGCTTATATACGAGCGTATTATAGTACCTCGATTCTTTATAAGATTATCTCTTAATCTTCCGAGATATTTAATTATCGAGGATTATTATCGTTAGTAGAAAGTCTTAGTTAATAGTCGAATAAGAGGTAATACAGGGATTTCTTAGTCGTTATATAGATTTTAATCTATACGGTAAATAAGGCTTAAGATAGATATTAGTCCTATAGAATAGTGGGTTAGTTCGTAAGGAGACATATTAACGTCATCCCTAGAAATCCGTTAAAGTTCTCGACCTTTTCGTTCGTTCGCGGATAGTACAGTATCGTTACGCGATATCTCGTCTTTAATAGCGAGATATAATAGATTATTACCTCTCTCGTTAGATTTTATCCGTTATCTAAGAGAATCTCGCGTAGTACTTTATAAATCATTATAATATAATCATAGAGGAATTTTATAATTATTTTAGCTTTAGTATCGAGTATAGCGAGAGCTACTAGCTATTCAGTAAGATATTTAATCGCCATAATAATTCAACGATTACCTACGAGTATTTTTAGTAGGATATCGATTAAATCAATCGCCTATCTATCGAAGATTTATAGTGTTTCCTTATTAAGGGTTTATAGTTATTCTCTCTCTTATCCTAGATAGCTATATTAAGAAACCTAACACTATAGACAACTACGTATAAAGGCACGTATATCTTCTTAAAGAGAGGACCACTATCCTTATCCCTAGATAACACTAAGAATACCAGGGTATCCAAGATATCCGTATTCGGTATATATTCGTTCGAGGAAGTCCGTACAAAAAGATATTGGAATGTAAGGACTTTAGACGTCGTTCTTAACACGATAGAGTGTATCATCCTTAACAGTAAATAAGAACCGATCTTCGTATAGTTTCGAGCGAATATACGTAGGTAGCTATTATTCTTCCTAGAGTAATTTAATTATTGCTTTAGCCTATTTATCCTCTTTAAGGCCGCGTAATGTAGTGAATTAAGTCGTAAGGTTCCGCGGTCCTTATCCTATAAGATTAGGACGTTAATTAATAGTATCCAAAGTAATCATTAAAGAACCTTTTCGATAGTAAATCTTTAAGTTATATTTAAAGAAATTAGTAATTTAACGAGCGAGTCGTTTCGTAGAGTTTCGTATTATTTAGAGATATTTTAAACTTTCGTAATCTATAAAGATTATAATCGAATAGTCGTTTTTAATATAAATACGCTATATATTTAAGGCGTATTTAATCGTAAGTAGTTCTTTTTTATAAATA